TGGCTATCAAACATCTCCGACCCTAATTCCAGACACCCTTGTAACCCTAACCCTAACCCTAATTATCCATGACTTGCCTTAGTTGGAGCAAGCTTGCCTCTTGGTCTCCATAAGCCCCATCTTGGCAGCACAAACAGCTGTTCTCATTGCTGTTCCTACTGTCTGTTTCAAATTGCAAGCCCCATCTTGGCAACATGAACCGCTATTCTCATTGCCATTCCCACTGCCCACTCCAAGTCGCAGACTTCCTTGTCCTATAACGGCAAGTTGAGCACCCATTCCACTCATTTTCAGGACAATGTCTTGCTTAGCCAATTGCCAATTAGCTCATTCTTGCACCACCTTCACGGCAATGTTCAAGGCCCCTGAAATCTGTCGATCCGTTCAAAGCCTCTACACAGCTCCAAAGTCGTGACCCCCATCAATTGCATGCCTCTCATTGTCTGCAACTAGTTAAGCTCCTTCACTTCACAGTAGCCCACATTGTGTCCTAGCTGTATTGCGTGCGTGCTACGTTGTGTGACTAGCCCAGAGCCAAGTGACCCATGAACTCAGCTTCTGGCTTTGAAGTGCATGGCTTGTCTGTCGAGGCCATCACATTGGGACAGTCAACAAGTTAGCAAGAGCAATTCTTGCCAGAGCAATGCACCTGTCTTTCCTTGATCCGCCATCCATTCATCTCGTCCATTTCTGCTCCGATTGCAGCTTCGGTAGTCCATTCATGCACATGAGCTGCCACCAGCTTCATCTTCTTGACCTGCATCCAAACAACAGGGAGGCGGGAGTTCTGATGCATGTCTTGCCAGATTCTCATTGTTGTGAGCCGTACTAGTGCTGATTGCTCGGTCTAATTGCCCTGTTTCCTCCTGACAGTGCAGCCTTTGTCCGACACGCTCTGTGAGATTGCTACTCCCGGGGCATTGGATGCAGGGAGTGCATGGGTAGCTTGCGGGCTGAATGACAATGCCTTCAGTTGTTGAAGAGGCCAAGAAGCAGGCAGGGTCAGCTGCAAAATAAGACAAATGCACGCATCCAGCAAGACATGCTTTCTCAAAAGCAAAGCATTGTTGCGTGGCCCATCAAGCAAAGAGTTACAATGGCTTACTCTGCATAAAACATATGCATGTTCCTGAGTTGCTTGACAGCACCAATTGCGTAATCCTGCCAAGGAGTGTAGCCTGCTGCAGGTCTCAGCTCTCCCCAACATGACTGCCACGGGGTTTTGGGCTGCCGCTTGGCTAGCGGCAGCCTGGTGTGCTGCGGTCATAAGCTGCCAATGCCTCGTGTCTCTTGCTGCTAGACTGAGGTCCACCTGTCACGCCTACTATCCAGTCATCCACTTGTTGGCTCGGCGCTCAGGACTGCAATCTCCTCCGCCTCCCGCATAAGGGCATCATCCAAGATTGCTTTGCCACGGAAATCGACACAGTATTTGGCGTGTCAACATCTTGTGGAGCTCCTGTGAGTGCTGTGCTTGTGCAAGACGCGCTTGCACCGCAAACTGATAGTCTTCATGTTCAGCGTTGCTTTGATGCTGCTATGGCAGCCCTTGGCCTCAAAATTCCCCCACGCAGGATGCTCGATCGTCTCAATGGCCTGGGCCGAGGCGCATCATACCTTGACTGGATGGGCCAGTTCTAGAGCGCGCGCGCGCGTCTTGAAGGCAGCTATCAGCAAGTGTGGGCCTGGTGTCAGGACTCAGCTTGTCCACATTGGCCCAACTACTGAGACGGCAATGGCCAGAGCACATGCAGGTTGCGCTAGAGTGAGTGCGCAACCGTGGGAAATGCATCAGCAAGGCAGCTCTTGCTGACCATCTTTTGCCATGACAACAAGTACGCAATCCTGCACAACCACAAAGTTACCTCTTGCAAGCAAAGAAGGTCCGCTTCGTCAACACGCAAGTCATCAATCCCTTTGTCCTACCCAAAAACTTGTTCGGCTTGGAGAAACTGCACACCCTTGAGCACATTGTCATCAATACGTGCAGGAAGGATGCGTCTTGCCAACACAACATTTGGATCCGCCGCCTCTCGAGCAAGGGCCGTTCCGAAGCACTGGCTGCCGTCCTCGACACGAGCCGCAATCCTATGCACGCACCAGTCCGCTGATGCTGTTGTGTGGATGCTGAGGATGCGATATCATGTGACGCGCCACGCGTGCCGCGCACGAGTCTTCATATTGACTACACGCAGAGAGCATGACTCTTCGACACGATCACTATCATCACTCGACTTCACACAAGAAGCACGAAACAGGTGTATGAGCCCAGCAATGCAGACGTCGACTTTGTTTCTCGAGATCACGCCCAGGCGTAGTGGTACGGACACCACGATGTTGACTCATGGCATTGTGCTCGCCACGCCTTCGAGTGAGGCCCTCCGTGTCTCACTCACAGCCCAAGTTTGTCTGTCAGCTTCTCCAACCTGCTGCGATTGCTGCGAGCACGATGCTCGTGGCGGCGGCGACGAGCCGAGCTAGAAGTGTCCGCCTTTGAGCTATAAGGGTGCTTCACTTCGACCACGAACGAGCCTTCATTCTCGTCTGCAGACCTGTGAACCCTCGCGACTGTCAGAGATCCGTCCGTTGAGCGATTTAGCCACCGCAACCAAGTGACTCACCATCGCACATCGTAGCAATTGTACAGACAGCCTGCTCCAATGTAGCAATCGTCTTCATCATGACTCTTGGTGAGACATTTCCCCGACGATGCGCAGCATTTGGAATCGTCGCTACACGCGCAGGGATCGCCATCCGGGAAATCTCCGCTGGGAAACTGCCATGTCGGAGCATCTGCAACCTGAGTGAACTGCGGGTCCGCAATCAGAGCCAAGTCGGCAATGTCGGTGCAGTGATCGATGCAGCCATTAGTGGACAGGCAGTACCACGTGTCGCTCGGCAGACACATGTCCTCGCCTCCGACATTACTGCAGCACTCGGTGGAAGAGCAATTGCTGCAGTTCGTGTGGATGGGTGGATAGCTGCGAGGACGCACAGTGGTCAATCACTGCTGCGCTCTGGGTCCGAGCGCTCGCCTCGACTCACGTGTAGTTGCTGCCGATCGGGCCAGCTCCACCATCTTGACCGTCGGGTATGCTCACGCCTTGATCGCCTTGACAATTGCCTTGACACTGGTATAGAAAGAATGCTAATATACGATCAGTCTGCGCAACGTCTCTGCCAGTCCCTGCGCCACCACTCACACCCTCGTCGCGCTTGCAAAATTCGGAAGCTAGCGGAGCGCAGACGCTGTATTTTGAGCAGCAATGCGTATCCTCGTTGCATTTCGAGCACAGCGGTAGATCCGTCGAGTTGCCTTGTCCTCCAGCGGGCAGCGTGGCGTTGCCATGAGCTTGACAGACGATGGAGCTCAGAATCAAGGCATCGCACTCGACGGCTTCCTTGCCATAGTCATTGACGCTGGTCCACTCCCGAAGACTCATGGAAGCGTTCTGAGCCAGATCGTAGCACGTGTCGTTGTGCTTGACGATGTGCAGCTCGGGACAAAAGTTGGCATCGGGTGCAAAAGTGCAAAGCTGGTCGCCTACGCGCAGGTGGCTGCAGTCGAGCGGATAATTCAGTCCTCGCAGCTGGACAGAAGTGAGGGAAGATCGAGCAGCAATCTTTTCGCAAGTGTCCGCCACTCGCACCGGAGCGAATCGAGAGCAGCCCGATGACGCAGGCGGCTCGTCATTCGGACTGCGCTTAGCTACGCAGACGACCTCATCTGGCTGAATGTTGGAGCAGTTCTCGTCGATGTTGGGATTGATATCGTAGAACTCTGCTAGGGTGAGATTGTGAGTCTGCGAGATGGCGTAGCAGCTGTCGCCCGACTGGATGGTGTAAGGCTTGCTGCAACTCCTTTTTGCACCGTCGACGCACAGCGCTTGGCCCGACTGCAGCGATGCACAAAGCTGATTGCCGCTGTTGAGCTGCTGCAGATCGTAGAGCGTGACGTGAGCGCGGTTGCAAATGTCGTTGCAGCTTTCGCCGGCCTGGACGGTCGTGTAGAGGGTGCACGCTCTGCTCTCGCCGCCGCCGCCGCCATCACCGCTCGTCTCGGTCGGCACGGGCGCAGAGCTTGTGGTTGTCGAGGTGGGAGAAGTATCGCCGCCGCTTCCCGGTGTGGTCTTGGATACGCAGACCGAGTAGCCTGGATAGATGGCACCGCAGTCGATGCCGGGGTTATCCGCATAGAATTGATCCAAAGAGATGCCGTTAGCGTCTGCGATGGCGTAGCAGCCGTCACCAGACTTGACCTGCACGACTGGTGAGCAGTCGTACTCTTTGCTTCGAAGACACAGCTCCTGTCCGACGGTCAAGCCTGCGCAGTTGAGAGCATCTCCGTTGAGGTGAGCGAGCTGATAGTTGGAAATGCCGTTGGAGGATGCAATGGCATCGCAAGAATCGCCAGACTTGACGCTGTACTTGGAGGTGCACGTGAGCGCGGTGACAGGCTGCAGCAGGCCAGCGATGGAGAGGATCGCGACGAGGGCGGGTAGGAAGTTGAGGATGATGATCATGATGCGCAAAACGTGGAGAGGGGGGATGGTGTGTGAGGAGATGGAAAGCATATCGTCGTTCTGCTTTCCGACTGAGTTGCCCTCAAATCCACCAAAGCCATGCCATGTGCCCGTTCATCGACGGCATGGCAGATCCCCCTTGATTGTCCGTACGGCTGGCTAGCTGAGCGCCAGTTGAGGTTGCCTTGCGCGACTACGATGGGCTCTGCTCGCCATCTTTCGCAGTCGGTGCTCCCTCCGTCGAAGCAGCAGCACATCAGCCGCGGCCTGGCAAACCGCAAGAGTAAGGCCAGGCGGACGTATGATCCTTTAGCGCACTTGGCAATCAAATGCCCCGCGCTTCACGATGAATGCTTTGTGGGCGCAACATTGCATTGCATGAAGCTTTGTAGCCAATCTATGCGCTTACAGCCCCAAGTCTCCGAGGTGAGGTGAGGTGCAACTCGCGCTGACCGGCGGCCAATCAGGCGGTGCTTCTCGCTTTGCAGAGCAACATCTTCTGTTTGGCATTTGGAGTGGTGAATGCGAGTCGCGAGTGCGAGTGCGAGTGCGAGTCGCGAGTGCAAATGCAAATGCAAATGCAAATGCAAATGTGCGGCAAATGTCCGCGGCGCACGGATGGCATCGACTGTGGCTGGCTGCATGCACGCATCACAGCTAGCAACCCATGACACGATCGAGTGTGACACTTTTGCTCTCGCCGCCGCTGTATCGCGTCGGATCTCCCGCGCGCCGACACTCAACACGCACGCATGCACCATGCACTCGTGACTGTAACTGTGACTGTGACTGTGACTGCGACTCAACTGTGACTGTGACTGCTCCGCTGAAATTCTCGCTTTTGAATTGCCAAGACCAGCGCACCGCGAGATTTCGGCACGCATCTGTATAGCGTACCGGTCAGGTACAGCTAGTGTACCCGTACGTACATACTTGCGGTCCTACACTCACACCCACACCCACACCCACACTCACACTCAACACCGAATAAGCCGCGGCCCGCTCGGGAGTGTGCTGCGGGTGCATGCTGGGTGTTCCTGTTCCTGCAGGCAATTAAAGTCGCCGCGGCGCTCGTGGTTTGCCCGCGCGCCCGCCGCCGGACATTTGTGATTGCGCGAGCGAGCGTTGCGGCGGGCGCCAAATTGCTTTGGTGGGACGCTTGCTTGCTGCATGCATGCATGCGCGCTACGAACTCTTCCGTTGTGGAGGAGAGGAGCGGAGGAATCGCGCTGCGCTCCTGTTGGTCATTCACCATTGCATCCGCACCTGCACACTCTCACCACCACACCTACACACACCTTCCCTCTCGTCCCTCATCCCAACTCGCGTCGCACTCGCACGCGGCAGTCATGTCGCGCACCTACGATGACGACTTGATTGGCGACATTCGTCACAACGGTGAGCCATGAGCCATGAGCCAAGAGCCAAGAAGCGCACATCCAACAAACCCCTCCGTGCACGTAAGCTCACGTCAACGCCTCGAACCGCCTCGATGCAGACCAGCCGAGAGCGTACGCCGGCTTGCCGTACTACGAGCGACGGGAGGCAGTGTCGGCGTTCAGCGATGATGCCGCACCACCGCTCTGGCTGTATGAACCGCGATTCGCTCGCCCATTTGTACGTCGCAGGGGCGGTCGCCGGGTGGGGGGAGAGAGAGAGACGATTGGAAAAGCTGTGCTGGTGTTGATGCTGCTGCTGGTGCTGCAGGCTGACCGCGGCCTTCGACTGGTCAACTCCCCGACAGGACATTCTCACGGAGCACGATGCTGCCAGCTGTCTCGGCTGGAACGAGATCGCCTGGCAGAAGCATCACCAGCTGCCATTTCCCTCCAACAACTTTGGGTCCGGCAGCGCGCGACTCGTGGTAGACTCGCTGGATCACGCTCAGCCGGGCGGTTATGGCGACGACTTGTCAAAGATCGAATGGCTGCAAAGACGCTTCGATGAGGTTCCCATCTGCAAGGCAGTCGCTACCATGCGAGCGGACGCGGTGCAAGCGGCCATCAGCGCTGCCCAGCAGGCCATCGATCGGAGCGACTCGTTTGGCTTGGAAGCCCAAAGTGGCCTGGCATCGCTCATGCAAGGCTTTGGCGAGCAGCACAGCGACAGCGACAGCGACACGGCCCAGTGCACGCTGGCAAGTCCAGTCACCGGCGAGTCTGCTCTGCACGTCGCCGCGGCTTGTGCCCAACCCGATCTGCTCCGCGCACTGCTCGAGAGCCGTCTGTACGTGGCAGATGTGCAGGACAAGTCTGGCATTACGCCCCTCATGTACCTTGCCTGGCACTCCAGCGAGCCTCTTCGAGCGGGACGCGTAACGTCGCAGCAGATGCGAGACTGTCTCGAGCTCTTGCTGCAGCACGGCGCTGATGCCAACCTCGTCTGCTTTGGTGGTCACGGCGGCGAAAGGTCGCTTTCGCGCACCACGGCGCTGGGCTGGGCAGCTCGCGCATGGAACGTGGCGTTCATCGCCGTTGCTCGCCAACACGGCTCTTTCGACTTTGACCCGCTCAGCAAGACGCGAGCGACTTCGAGATTTGCCAGCTTGAGACCCTTGCCTCCGTGTGTCGTCGACGAAAGTTTGCGGGCAGAGGAAGACGAGCATGAGAGGCAAGACATGAGTCGTGTATTCACCGAGATGGAGCAGGACGAGTTTGAAGAGCATTTGCGCGGCGTGCACGGCCTCGACATGCAGGAAATGGCGCGCGAGAACGAAGCTGCGTATGGGATCGCACGTCGTCTCGTCGGTCAGAGGTTGGAGCATGTCGGCTTGTGCTTCGTTCGAGCGGCTCACGTGCCTTTTGGACCTGGACCGGGACCGGGACCGGGTGGCGTCGCGCTAGATCCGTCGTCGTCGTCTGTGCAGGCTCCACACTGGGCTTGGGATCATTCGGCTTCGCGATTGCTGCCTGACGGCAACGCCTCCAATCGCGCTCTGGCTCGACGAGATGTGGTTCGGTGGATGCAGACTGTTCGCGAGCTCGTTGCTGGTGGTGCTCGCGTCTCCTTGTTCAGGGACATTGCTGGCGTCTGCGGCAACGTGCCCCCGCCAGAAGCTCTCGCGATGCTGCTCGATCTGTATGCAGAGCAAGAGTCTCTGTCCTCAGCTGCCATCCTCAACCGCCACACCACTCACTTCAATGGCGCGATCGGCTGTCCATGGGCGCTGATCCTAGCCGCGTACGCTGCCAAGGGATGTTCAAGCGATGATTTTCTCGCCTTGGTCTCGCTTCTCGACGCGCGTGGGGCGGACTTTGCCTCGGCCGCAAACTGCTACGTCACGCCGCACGTCGTCAAAGCACATGGTCCGCTCTTCGATTTGTTGAGAGCCATCGACTTGCACCGAGCTGGAATCGAGCTGCCACCCAGGCTTCGGGATGCGTCGAGCGCAACCAAGGATCAATTCTTCAGGACGCAGTATCGGAAGAGGGTGGAAGTGCTCGAGCCAGTTCCGCTACTAGGCATTTTGGTCTACCTCGCTCGCAAAGAGGAGATCAATCATCTGCTCGATGTGGGTGTGCCGGCCGAGGGCCCCACGACGCAGCGGTGGGAATCGTTTGCGAGAACCGCAAATGACTCGACGGCAGACACCATTTACGCACACACACGATCGACGCAATGTTAATGATAGCATGTGATTCTTACGAACTGTTGATATGACGAGCATTCTCGCCTTAAATGCACTGCGATTTGGCTTTCTGGAAGAGCATGAGACCCTTGTTGCAGTCGGCGAGATCGACAACATCCCACGTGGCATCAGACTTGCAAAGCCGCTTTTGTTGTGGAGCTGCGTCGTCCCCTAAAGCTCCTGAGCGATTCTCGCACAGCAGCGAAGCGGTGACTCCGGCGGGCGTTGGGAGCCAGTCGCCATTTTTGGGGCACGAGTTGCGACCTTCTAGCACGCTCCTGGTAAATGAATAATCCTTAGTGTCAAGGTCGACCGCCCAGATCATGCCGCCTCGGAGACCATATTGTTTGATTAGCGCGACCTTCTCCGCGACGCTGCGGGAATCGTCGAAACCGACCCACTGATCGTCAAAGGTGGCATAAGCACCGTCACCGGGGACGTACTTGAACACCTCGTCGCCAGTTGTCAGTCGATCCTTGACGTTGAGGATCTCGACGATTTCAAACCAGCCCATGTAGCCTGCCAGTCCAGTGCACCTACCAGCCGTACCTGGTCCACCCTGAGACCCTGGCGTATTGCGAGTGACGTCTTGAAGCGTCCAAACGCGTCCATAAGCGGGAAGGCCAGCATTGATCTTGGAGGCAGAGACGCCTGCATCCAGGTACAAGTGGATGGCCGAATCGAAAGACCACGTCGGCTTGAATGTATCGTAGACTGGCGCTGTAGAGTCGATGGTCGGATCCCAGTTGCCATAAAAGTCGTAGGACATTAGATTGTACCAGTCGATGTACTCCTGGCAGGCCTTGATGTCGAACAGAGCGACCTTGGCTGGGTCCGCTGGTGCCGCGACAGTGATGAGCAGCTCCGCCTTACCGCTCGAGGAGGCTTCCGATCGGAAAGCCGCGCGCATTTCCTGCAGCAAGGTCAAGAAATTCGCTCCATCCGACGTGCTGCCGCCTCGCGAAGTGTCTCCCACGTACTGAAGACAGCGAGGGGTGTGAGCATCGTAAAGCTGGTGACGTTTGCTCAGCACAGACTCACCTCCCAGTCGAGGTCAATGCCGTCAAATCCAAGCCTACGACACCAGTCGATGCAGCTGTCGATGAAGATTTCGCGATTCGATCGGGTGGAAACAAGCTGCGAAAAGACTTGGGAGTAGTCGATTCCGCCAGTGAACCTGCCAGGCCCATCGGTAAAAGTCCAACCACCAAGAGAGAGAGAGGTGCGCGAGCGAGGGTTGTTGGACTTCATCCAATTGTTGAGGCGCTTCGAGAGGTCCTCATCATCGAGCTCGTGCGGGATGATGGTGAAGTCTGCGGCCAGAGGCGCGGTGGTTAAGGAGCAGGAAGCGGGATGCAGGAGCAGCACGACTCACTCGTGTTTGAAACAAAGGCAAAGGCGTAGTTGATGTCTGCAATGCCATCGAGCGTCAACTGGTAGTGCCGCGAAACACGCATCTTGGAATCACGTACGTGTAAAGAGGAAAGGGTTGATGTTTTCGGGAAGATGCTTGTCTTCCTTCTTGCACGCAGGAGTACCTGGGTCTTCGCCGTAGCTGAACGATCAAAAGGCGTGAGCCAGCTTAGCGGGCCACTCGCGACGACGTGAACATCACTGCTCGATTTGACTCACTACTGTGCCCAGCTCGACCAGTAACCCACCATCTCAAACCCATTGAACACGCCATCGGGAGGTCTGTAAAGCGATCCCACATCGATATTGGGCGGCTTCGGGCCTTTCGGAGGCGGTGGTGGCCCGTCGTCGATGCAATTCTACGACGCATACGTAAGCGCAAAGTTCGTGAGCTGGCGGCCTCTCGGCCAAGCTGCAAGACGTCTCACTGATTGACAATTCTTCGACGTGAGGCAGTACTCGTCGGTCGAGCCTGCAGCGAGTCGTCAGCTTTGTCGTCCCATCGGCACGCGATGATCCGCACTCACCACAGCTGCCGTACTGGCTACAACACAAGCCCTGTGAACACAGCGCGTTGCCAAAGCGAGCGCCGCAATTCTCTTCAAGGCGCGCTCACGGGTCAGACAACGACGGCTGATCAGGCCAGCGCAAGTGCCTACTCACGAGCATGTGCACCTAGCACACAGAGAGTAGCGAGTGCCAACGACAGCGTACGCAGCAGCATGGTGGATGATAACGATCAAGAGGGTGATGTGACGGAGAGTGAAGGAGGAGGCGCGGATCGTTTGGACGAGAGCGAAGTGTAAGTGTTCTTCTTCTCTGGGCGCGCCCTCAGGCCAACCTCTGAAGATGACTACGCCGCTTCAGATTTCTCTGCGCGACTCTTACGCATATCCCGTTGCAAGACCTCGCAGTGGAGGCGCCTTCGCCAATCGTTGACTGTCTGCGCGGGTCTGCTATGAAAGCTCCCTCTCCCCCCCCCCTCCCTATCTCTTGGTATGGGGAGCGGGTGTAGAAGCGTCCCACCAAATTTGCGCGTTTCAGTTTGCCCGAAGGCACCGCGCGGTCCGCCATGCGCGCGCGCATGCATTCGGATCTGCGCCAAGGCCAATTTGCTTGCCGATTGAGCGCGATCGATCCGAAATTTCTTTTCTTCCGTCCACATTAAGCGCCCACTCACATTTGCCGCCGTCGGACATATGGACCTTTGAGAGCGGGTATTCCTGGCATGGCGCGAAGAGGTGGTGTGGACAAGGAGGGAGGGTGGGGGCGACGTGTGTCGTCCGAACAAGCGCTCTGGGTTGGCCGCTCGATGCTATGCGTATCCTGCGACTCGCACAAAAAGGCGTGTGTGCCGAACACAAGACTCGCGACGGCCGCCTGGAGGCGAATGCGCGGAGGCAAAGGAAAAAAAATCATATGGCTATGATTGCATCTGCGACGCACACCGCGTTATGTATCCCGCGAGGTCGCTTTCGACTCGTGACTGCGACGAATAAAGTGTGGATCGATCGTGGCCCGCTGATTGTCCTTGAAGGAGACCATCTCACCCAACACTCACGTCGCTTGTCGCAAAGATGCGTGCGACCGTTTGCTTTATCGCGCTGGTCCTAGCATTGCTGGCCAGCGTCGTCAGCTCCAGAGCGGTAGACCATGTTGCCCATACCGCGCGGCGGCACTTTGGCAGAGCGGGCAGTCTACGAAAAGCCCTCGCCGAACGCCAAGATGCAAAGAAATCGATCATCTCGCCCAGCAACAGCTCTTCCGAATTCTCCAATACCAGACACGGCGCGGTGCACGGCAGCGCGATGTTCAAGCTGAGCCCAAACAAGAAGCGCGAGGTGTTGAAAGGTCCAGGTGCAGGCAAGCAATTCGTCACCATCTTTGATCAGGACGGCGATGGTCTCGTCTCGTTGACCGAATTGCAATTCGGTCTAAACTTTGCTTGGCGTGACCAGCAAGAAGCAGACACCGCGCGCCGTGTCGTTGATCTGCCGAGCCCAGAAGACGTCATCAAGCACGGCGACACGGATGGCGATGGAGCGCTGAACAGTGACGAGGTCCAATTCTTGCTTGACCAGACCAGACGAGCTAAAGACGGAACGCCGCGGGACTGCAGCGTGATCGAGGAAAAGGTAGCAAAATGCAAGTCTCGTCATGTGCTTCGTTGCGGAGGTGAGGCAAGCAACGTCGCTGAAAGCGACCACCGAAAGACTGTCGATTAACTTGGCCGCTCTTTGCTCTCCCTCAGGCTACGTCAATTTGGCGGAAAATGCGTGCCACCTGGGCTACGGGCAGCAGCGGGTCGACTCTTGCATTATGAATTCGTCGTGCGAGAATGTTTGCGCATGCATCGACAAGGTCGCCAAGAGTGTGGGAGCCAATGCCGAAGGCAACGTCACGTCTACGTCGTCAATGTCGAATTCCGCAGCTTCTACCGTAGGCGCAAGCGCAATCGCTTCTACTGCCATTTCTGAGATAATGAGCAGCTCGACCGCATCAGCAACAGCCTCTATTGCCACGGGCAACCATTCCATCTCGGAGACGCACCAGCACGAAAAACGTGAGTCAAAGATTCGCACTACACCGCACTTCATGCTACTCCCAGCTGAGCACGAGAGTTGTCCTTCAGGACTACTTCTTCCCATCTTCTTTGGCCTCGTCCTCGTTGAAATCGGCGAGCTGCTGACGTTTGCGCTCGCAGAGATTGTCCGCAGCGCGAATGAACTCGTCGCGGCGGATTCGGTATCGCGCTTCCTAGACGTCAAAGTCTGGGACCCAGACTCCGGCAACCAACCTCCGAGCTGCGCAACCTACATCTACTGGTCGCAAGGATGCGGCGCCATCGGCTCCGGTACTGCCAAAGGTTGCAAGCCCGACGGCGGTCGACTTTACGGCAAATCGTGCGTCACCCACTTCAACAAGGGCTCCAAGGGTGAGTGGTCGCCGCTGCATCGTGGGAAAGTCCGCGCTACGAGCGAGCAGCGCAGCACAGCGCAGCGCTCAAGTCACATACCACCTGCCCATAGGATGCGGCTTCCTGAAGCTCGGCTGCAAGTCTCTGTGTTTCGCCACGAATACGGCAGGCTGTGGTTGCGACTTGTTCGACTATGAAGAGTTCGACGATAAGCAAGTGAGTGACGGCAGCAGCACAGTGCATCGCGGCGCTGACTGGTGCAAGCACCCTGCTGCTGCAGTTTCCAAACCACGTGTACGCTTCGTACAAGGTGGATCAAGTCAGCGAATGCGCCAAAAAGTGCACTGCCGACTCCAGATGCGTAGCGTTCGAGATTCCGCCGCTGCAAAAAGATATCGACACTTGCTTGCTAAAGGATGGCGGAGACGATGCCATCACGCTCAAAGGCGTCACCACCTTTGTCAAGATCGGCTTGCGAAACGGCGGAGAAGAGGACTTTTGCGACATCAAAGCCGATCGCGGCTCCGACCTGCCCTTTGGCGATGATTGGGGCCCAGGTTCGCCCTTCAGCAAACGAAGCGACTTGTCCGATCGCGACGCGTCCTCCTCCTCCTCCTCCGTCGAGCGAGCTCTCGACCCCGAAGGAAAGAAGCCGCATGATTTGGCATTCACCTATCTCGTTGTGAGCCCAGCCCAGCAGCGTCCAAGCGTCCAAGAGCTGATCCGCACGAATTGCGATATGTTGCTGATCTGATGCCCCCGGTCTGTTGGCGTCTGTGGCGCAACAGGTTCAAGCGCTCTGGGCAGCGTTGCAGCGAATGTACGCCCGTGGTGAGATGCGCGGCGACCCTTTTCTGCACTCGGAAGCCGACAACATGTGGTCGACCATCCAGACGCCGGATGTGAGGCCGATCGGCGATCCCACCCTTCCGCGCAACATCAACCGCGGTACGGCCGAGCCCATCGCGAATCGCAATGGCGGACGTTGGAGCTACCACGAGATCGTGCAGCGCATCGTCAACGTGCATCGACAGCTCATCAACGCCGGAGGTGTGCAGCCAGTGCTGGACAGCAATGCAGCTGGTTTCAACAACGTCTTTCCCGCTTCCCTGCGCAACATTCTCATCAACAATGAAAACACTGTGAGGAATGCGGTGAATGGCCAAGGCAACACCAACTGGTACCACCAGCGCACGCTGGCCACAGGCAAGTCCATCGACCCCGTGACGGGCATCGTCGTGCCTTTCGACGCCAATGTCAACTTTTTCCAACGCGGCTTCGTCGGTCCCCTCACCCTGGAAGCGGCATTCATTCTGGCCACGCAATTGGCAGGCGTGGATTACGCCAGGGTGCAAAGGAGCGCCAAACGGGCCAACTTGCAGCACCGCGGTCTGGGAGAGTTTAGCACCAGCTACATCCTCGGCAGGGTGCAGAACGCCAGAGCACTGCCAGAGGATGGCTGCATCGGTGAGTTCGCGGTGCGCGGTGCGCGGTGGAGAAGGCTGAGCGATGCGCGCAGAGTAGAGCCAGTGCATGCGAGAGGAGGAGGAGGAGGAGGAGAAGGCTGACGAAACAAATTGCGCCAACTGCTTCGATCGCGGCCGCCACGATGCGACGTGATGGCAGGCGTGCCCATCAACACGACGACGGATCGCAATTTGGGACGAGGGTCGATGAATCAACAAGTGCCCAACGATGCGTACGCCGATGCTGGAGTTCAGATTGCCCTCGAGCTGGTGAGTCGCGGTGCGGTGCGGTGCGGTGCGGTGCGAGAGGGGGGCGGAGAGCATGCATGGACGCGGAACGCAGACGGAATGCTACGCGCTGCGTTCTCTCCGACGAATGTGAATGTGAATGTGAATGTGAAGCTGACGCTGTGCCCATGCCACGCAATACGCGTTACCGGTCCTTTCGATCCACGTGATGCGCGCACGCACGCACGCACGCACGCAGTCTCCCGATGAAGGCGATGCGCAGCAAAATGTCCTTCTCTTCGTATCGCACTGGACCGATCCCAGAAGGTGAGCAGCTTCTGCCGCGGGGCCAGTCACGAGTTGCAGCCACCGCTGATGACAGAACCCTTGATTCGTGATTGCCTTGCACGCACGCACGCACGCCCACGCCCACGCCCACGCCCTCACGCACGCACGCCCACGCACGCCCACGCCCACGCCCACGCCCCCACGCCCACACGCCCCCACGCCCACGCGCAGCTACATCCAAACCACGCGCGGCAATCCGCTGGCCAATCCGTCGTACGCTCAATCGTACGAGTCGCAAAACATTCCCTTAGCCCAGAGCGACCCGGCCACTGCGAACACCGCCGCGCGACCAGCGCGCAACACGCGAGCATTGGCGCACGCCCACGTCGCCATCCTATCGCGATCCGAGTGGCAAGCATATCGCAACAATGGCGGCCTGCCACCTCGCTACGTCCAAGTCGGCAATTTCCACTTCTACCTCAACCCCGAAGATGCTCCTGGTCAGCTGAGGAACAACAATCAGGGCGGCGGCGCCAACGATGGTCGCGACGAGCTCAGAAGATCCTGGGCAGAGGAGGAGGAGGAGGAGGAGGAGGAGGAGGAGGAGGAGGGCGGTGCGACGTGGAAGCAAGTGAAGGAGCAGGAGGAGTTCGACGACGGCTTGAAGCGAAGGGCACGCGCGTTCCCACCTCAACCGAAGCCGAGCGATGGACAGGCGTTCGGCTTGGGCAAGCGCATGCTGAGCAGGTTTGCCAGGTATTCGCGTCCACAGTGGCCTGCCTTTTGGCGACATTGGCAGCAGCGGGGCGGCGCAGCAGGCAGAGACGCATCACCAGCCATGCTTGGTCGCCGCGTGGATCTGTGATGTCGAGATGGGCTGGACTGGGATGTGCGAGTGCGAGTGCGAGTGCGAGTGCGAGTGGATCAAGGGAATGCAAATGTGATTCTGATTGTGAATGTGCTGCACGCGCCAGGCAGGCTTGTTTGCTCGTGGGGTCATGAGTCGTGAGTCGTGAGTGTTGGTGTCAAAAAGGTGTGAGCGCACAAGCGCGCAGGACTACAAAAGCACGCGCCGCTCGCACTCCTTCGCTTGCTTGCTTGCTTGCACGCACGCAGCCCAAAGTGCAGGCGCGTCACGGTGGGGTGATGAAGATGCGTGGCAAAAAGAGGCGTAGCTCGGAGCGGTTTCGATCCGCTGACCTTTGGGTTATGAGCCCAACGTGATAACCCCTACACTACCGAGCTGTCCGACCGAGTGTGACAATAAGTGATTCATATACTTTTTACCAATTAAACGCATGCAGATCAGGAGCGTAACCCTCCAGACTCAAATTCTTGACTCGCGATTTTCTAATTGTGCCACTCAAAATGGTCACCCAGAATATTCGGCACGTGTTCGGGCCTCGTTGCACCCTTTCTTCTCACGAACGCGTAGCACTGCGCCACAACTTTTTGCAGCTCCGACGCCAATTAAGATCCGCGCCAGAACACGGGCATTCAGTCAGCAGACACGTGATGCTCGATTCGATTCACCACTACTCAGATTCGATTCAAGATTCACGGTCCTCTTTCTCAATCACATTCTTGATTTCACATTCAATTCCCATTCAAAATTGACGCGCGATCGCAGGCTGCCAGAAGAGTCGCCACTCGTGACTGCGTGCAAGGAGCGTGCCCCGCCACTCGGGCTGATTCAGATTCGTGATTCTTGATTGGACGCACAACAGCCACACGTGAGCAGCAGCAGCAGCAGCATCAGTCGATCTTAATTCCCGATTGCGGAGATGCGAATCTGAATCACGAACGCCGAGATCGTGATTGGCGAATTGAATGTGCGATCGATGATGTGCCTGCCTGCCTGCCTGCCTGCCCCTCACTCATACTCATTCGCCTTTCCGACTCGGCCACATGTTGTGTATTGAATTGAATTGAATTGAATTGAATTGAATTGAGCGCATCGTCTTTTTCTTCCTTTCGGGCCTCTGAACCTTTCATGCGCGCGCGCGCAATGCAGGATGCCTGCTGCCTGCTGCTTGCTGCTTGCTGCTTGCTGCTTGCTGCTTGCTGTCTCGGTCGACCGCACGCAACTCTTGACTCTGACTCACGACTTGACTCTGACTCCACCCGCGACTCGCGACTTTAGAGAGTTCCCGCTCCCGCGTGGCTACAACTGTTGCTGTTGCTGTTGCTGTTGCTGTTCTGCTGCAAGGCACCCCTGCTGATCGGCGTTTCGGGGCGACGCCATGGCCTCGCGATTTTGCTTCTGTGCGCTGCACCTGCACTCATGACTTGCACGCTGCACGCTGCAGCAGCTGTGCGCACGACGCTAAGAGTCGCGCAGCGCTGCTGACCCGCGACCCACGACCCGCGACTCACGACTCTTGACTCACAGTGACTGCATGTCCACACATCCACACACGCAAAGGCGAAGGCGAAGGCGAAGGCGAAGCAGCTGCTGCGTGGGCCTTTCTCCATTCATGCGTCGGATGTCTGACTTGTTCATCGCTACTCCCTACTCGCTACTCGCGACTCACCTGACCCGTCTGTATTCGCTGCCACCGCGATGACCTGCTCTCCGCCAAGCCCAAGCAATGCCTTCGCCGGCGTCCAAGACAACTTTATTCAAAGCGGGCGAGTGACCGGTTTGAGTCACTGACACTCGTGACTGCGTCTTGTGAAGCGAGCGCCCTTTGGCAGCTTGATGCTTGACGGTGCGTGCACCCAATCAGGACGTTGGGCCCAGTCGGTCGAGTCGAGTTCAACCATTCGAAGCCTGCGGTGTTCCACGCAGCATCCATCACACACAAACTCACCCCCCGCGGCCCTGCCTCTCCTCACCGCGAACCCTCACCTTGCCCCTCCCTGCTGGTCCCCATTCGATCACAGGTCTTCCCAGCATGGCTACCCCACCTGCTCATTCCTTCACCCCCGAACAATTGGCCGCCCTGACGGTGGAAGCGGCCAGGCATGGTACGCCAATCTCCTACGTGTCCTGCCTTTGCCGTGAGTCAGCTCAGCTCAGCTGAGGCTTTGCGACGCTTGGTAGACGTGAGACTGACGATCCGAACGAAACAACTCATTCGCCTTGTTGCTCTGGCCGCGCGCCGGATGACAGTCGGTCTGATCCTTGGAGACTGGTTCGGTGCGCTGGACTTCGACTTTGCGCTGCTGAAAGAGTCTGGGGCCAGGACGCTGCGAAGACGCAAGGCTGCCATCGCCTACTTCGTCGCCCGATCGTGCGGCGCCATCGGTGTGGGCTTCTTCGTCGTCATGGTCTCTGTCGGCGATCGCAAAACGGAGGTTTGCAATGTCCTCATCCGTTTTGCCCCCGTCTTCAACGGTTTCGCCACGTCTGCCTCGCAATTCCTCTTCATCGGTCGCGTCGTCGCCCTGTGGCCAAATCCCAGCGTCAAGTGGGTCACCATGGCTGCGTGGATCATCGCTTCTCTCTCTTGGATCTCACAAGAAGTCGCTACAGAGAACCGTCAGAATCCTTTCGGACTGCTGCAGTGCTACCTTCCGCGTCTCTCAGGTGAGAGCTTGACGCTTGACCTCATCGCGCGACGCTCACGCTCTGACACACACACCACGCACACCACACACACATGGTGGTGATGGTCACGAACAGGCTTGGCGCAAGTCCCGTACTGCTTCGCAGCAGCATACGACATCCTCATCTTCACCCTCACGCTGCTCGGCTTCCACAGGCAGGGCAAGCTGAACGTTTTCAGAAGGGGACCGACGGACAGCAAGATCGTGCACCGACTGTTCATCACCACCTTGATCTTCTTTTTCATCATCATCGGCTTCCATATTGGCGTGATCATCGGCTTCTGGACGTCTACGACCCCGTATGACACGGTAGTCATGGCACCTGTCCACACTGCAGTCAGGTGCGTGGCGTGCTTGGGTGTTAGCGTGGCCGCACACTGCGACTCTTCATACCCACATGACCTCCTCCTCATCCTCGCTTCTATTCCCGCAGCGTCGTCTTGTCCTGTCATTTGTTCATGAATCTGCGCCAGCTTGCATCGGGAACCTCTCCAGCGCAAGGCTCTGGCAGCGGGCAGGGAATCGTTTCGAACGGCAGCGATCGACGACGCGGCAGCCGTGCACAATACGCCGGTGTGGCCGACGATCCCGAGGTACGTTTGGGCATTACGAAAGGGCTGATCGCTGGATCTTGATCTGATCGACGCTTGCCCTTTTGCAGTCTGGACGAGGCGGTATTCGCCTCCAGACGACAGTGTCGCGACGATCGCAATTTGCTTCTCCGCCTGTCTTGTCGGAGCCGACGAAAGCGTTCACGTGGGCCAACACCACGCACTGGTCAGGACCCATCTCGCTCACTACCGAAATAACACCTCCCAGCTTGAGCTCGAGCCGCCCATTCGCCGAATCATCCATTGAAGCGCACGGCTGGACGAAAGAACCGCAATGAAAAAGCCGAGTGTAGCGGCATCATTTCGCCATTTCTTGGCCACAAGGCAATAGCATTCATATCATACCCGCAGTACCTGACATGATGATAAAGCCAAGTGTCGCGGCATCATTTCGCCATTTCTTACTACAGTGCAATAGCATTCATACCCGCGATACCTGACATATGTGTTGTGCTTAGTTCCTGGTCTTAGCAGCCCCATGCGCGCTGATACGTGACAACTTCGTCACTTTCCGACCCTCGTCCACCGGAATGCCAACAATGCGTCTCGGAGCAGAGCATGGCTCTACAGCGCAAAGTTGCGACAGGTCATCAATCCCGGGATGCCATACAGACCCGTCACCAACATCGTCTTTCTTTGCCTGTCCCAAACAGCAGTGGTAGAAGTCTTTAGACCTTGCAATCCTCCATTGTTTTGCTTAACCGTCCCTGCGCCTTGGTATAACGTCCGCACCCCAAAGCCATTCTGATTCTTCTGAACACCTCGCTTGGACACAGTAAGCGGCGCACCGCCATCCACATCTGCCTCGCGATCGGCATCCGTATTTGAGCCAAGGTAGGAGACTTGGACGGCCCAGGAGCCCGCCTTGTTGACTGCATCATTGCGCGGATCTTTTGCTGCGTTGATCAATGCCAAGCCACTCGGATGACCAGCAGCTGTAATAACACTGTTGTCCATCTTGACTGGCGATGTGGCATCTGAGGGCACAGAGCTGCTCTGTGCAGGCGACCACATGATGTTGTCGACGGTCATGGGCAGATACACTCTCGCTTTCTCCTTCAGCAGCTTGCGGTCGTACCACTCTGCGCCGCGCTTGGCATCGAAAAATAGCACGGCTGGAGACTGACCCGAAGCTACGGCCAAAGTGGAGCCTCGGGGCGATAGTGCGATACCGTTGGAGTAGATGATGTCGCGAATGACGATGCGCGCTCCCACCAAGTCAGTCGGCGAGGCAGAAGAGTCTGTGAAATTGACATGGCTGACCTATCAACAGAGAAGCGGACCGCACATCAGCGTTGCACAACTGAATAAGAGGGACAGTGCAAATACTCGCCCAAGTCAGTGCAGGCGCAAGGACAGTCTCCAACATGGGCAGCGTGTTGGTCGCAATTGCAGTCCGGAAGGTCGCTGCCGCTGCAGCAGCAATGACACCTTTGCTGGCAGGATAGAGCATCTCGATGGTGCTCTGCAGTTGATCTTGCGGTGGGGCGTGGTAGGCAAAAAAGTGATCTTGCGTTACCAGGAATTCTTGAGCGGAGAGAGCGACAATCGAGTTGGGCGTGTGGGTTGCCAGCGGATGTGAGATGCTTCGCACATGCTTGGCGCGCCAGCCAGATGACCGCAAAGAGACATCAAAAACTTCGATGAAGGAGCGGGCACCCGCCGCATTGACCACAAATGTACGGAATTGATTGGGTGCAAGACGCTGGGACAGAGCAGAATGTAAAGGGGAGGACAAGATTGCTCTCAGTCTGCAACTGTAAACATTGCTGAGCCGTGCTCGGCGTGTTCAACTCACAAGAGTAGAGCTGCCCAAAGGTTTGAAGTCGCCAGAGTCAGGGTAAGCGTCAAAGGGTATGATCTGCGCGCTTCCAGCGCCTTGTCCGGAAGAGTAGTCAATGAGCCACATGGCGCCTCTGGACGTTGAGCTGCAACGCGCGATTCATATCAGCACTGCGCTCGAGCAGCAAGAGCAGCGCAATTACAAAGGCATCGACTCACTTTGCGAGCGGGCCAAGTAGAGTGTTCCATTGGTTGCGATTCTGATCGCACGTCACCAGCGCCCAGCCTTGTAGCTCATCAGACAGCAACTCGACGTTCTCGCAGAATTCGAGACGCTGCTGCGCGGGATCTCTCTGACCAGATCGGTGGTAGGGATCCGGAGCTGAGGCGGAGAGGTCAGCACAGCTAGTGGAGGAGTTGTTGGGCACCCAAAACGGCGGCAGCGTTGGCGTCGATGTTTGAAAAGCAATCCACGCTGGCGAGAGCGAAGGCGGAATTCCACCAAGAGAGCGCAAGCAGTCCTCGTTTGCGTCGGTCAAGAAACAAGGCAGCTGAGCGTGCGCAAACGTCAGCGCAGAGAGGCTTGCGCACGCATAGAGGATGTGAATGTGGGCCTGCAAACGCATCGTTGACGAGGACTGTCACGACAGCGTAGTGTGCTGATACCATTCGATGTCTCACTCTTGTGATGTTTGAAGAAAAGGGTGAAAAGGACTCACATGCATTCTGTCTTGCGCTTCTTCTTATATGTGCTTGAGCGCAACAGGCAGCCTCGTATCATTCAGAAAGTCAAAGTACCCCGCATTTTCGCATCGCATTGCATCACCCCACTCCATGCAAGCCGCCTACTCTGCTACTTGAATTCGTGGCTTGCAGATGATCTTGGTTGCGTTGGCAACTGATGCAGCACCTGACAATGGTGTCGCAAAGCAGAACAGCCGTTGCAGTCTGAGTGCGTAGTGATGAGCCAACCCTCAGCTTCTGCAAGATTTGCCTCATCTACCCGCCCTTGCCGCTCTTTTCTGCCGGCACCACAACTTCTCCTCCGCATCATATTGCCTTACTCGCTTGCGTCTCGGCTGCGCGTAAGTTGCACGTGACCCGCAAGACGTGCCGCATTGATTGTTGCCGGGCAACAGAGACTTTCAGGCACCGCATGATCAGCAAGGAGCTTGCTATCCGGCGCAAAGCGTTCAGATGGTCATAAGGCTTCACCTGGTGGGCTGTATGCAGATGAACAACCACTTGTGATTGGAGGATGCCATTGACCGAGTGGCACTGCTCTCGTGAGTGAGGCTGTCAAGGGCCATCTCACGCTCAGATCACCATGTATAATGGATGTATTGAGTCAGGAGGTGAGACAAGCGTACATGCATGAGATAAACGCGTATGTGTGTATGCGCACGTGACAGGCCAGGGCCAGCCCTAATTGCTAACCCAGCATCACTCACAATCTGGCACCAACCACCAGCCCATTGGACTGCAAATCACAATGAAGCCTTGCGCTTCAAAGAGGCATGCTGGGAAGCAGCACGCAGCAGCCCTGGCCTGCCCCTCAGGACCAAAGGATATCAAGCACCTTTTGAGCCTTGAGGAATCCTTGAAAGCTGCCCAACAAGTCTGCAACCGGCTGCAAGAGCGTGAGGATGTCAAGGCAACAGTCAACAGCAGGAATTTTCTTCAGAAATTTGTTAAGAGCGCCACTGCCCATGGCAAGCTCTGCTGTTCCACTATTGCCGACCAATCTCGCAGGGTAAAGGCAATTGGATTGCAAGATGGGAGAAGCATGGCGGAGGAAGATGGTGGTGGGGTCTACGAGGGCCTTTTCTTTGATGAAGAAGGAGAGCCAACTCACCGCTACACCGGCATGACCACCAACTTTCCCTGCCGTTACCAAGAGCACATTGTTGCTTGCCTGTACTCACTGTTGGTCCACTACGATGCTGCTCGAGAGGCAGAGCACTTGCCATTGTCAGCAAGGGACAGTACAACGACTCTGAGTGTGCCCATATGCTCGGATGTCTAGAGTTCATATGGACCATTGTACTTGGAACCTGGCAGGGCAGCAAGGAGTACAACAAGATTTGAGGTGAAGAATTTCCTTCCCCTGGAATCCTTGGCGTCAATAGCAACAACTGCTCCAGTATACAGCATGTGGTGCTCACTGGCCACAAGACAACTGCTGCCAGAGCTTCTGTGCTCAACCCTTCCCTCTCCCCTCACTTTGCGGCACTGGTCGATGCAGAGTGGTGAGTCTTGGCGCGTACGGCATGAGATACGCCTACAACATTCGATTGTATCTCATGCCTTGCTCTTTGGGCCATGGACAAGCTCAAGCTGAGGCGCGCAGCCGTACTGAAGGCCACCAACAACGTTGCCCCTTACCTCGCCGGCGTTCCTGCCAATCAGCTCACTTGTTGCCGTTCGCGACCGCCTTTTCCCCTTCCCCAACCCCAACATGGTACCGCCTGAGGAGCTCGACATCAATGCTCGTGCTTCCGGGTCCGGCAGCGCATAAAGATCTTGCCCTCCTCCGACCCTGTATGCCAAATACACCCGTGCAAAGAAGTTTATGCTCGTGGCAATGTTCTCTGCCCGCATGGCATGCCAAGGGCGCCCGTGATTTGTGATTCTGATTCATGCAATCATGCGTGCCAGTCAACTAAGATACATGTATTTGCGCGCTCCCAGGACTAGGAAGCTGACAAGGCGTTTGGAGATGTCTGCTCATCTTGGGCAGCGTTGGCAGGAGTCTTGCGTTTTGAAAGATAAGGGGTCAATCCTGCTGCGCATGTCGTTGAGCGCTTCAAAGTATGAAGCAGGAGTGGCAGCGCCCAGGTTGCGACTAATCTCAAAAGCAGCGTTGAGAATGGCAATTTGGCGCTGCCTGAGATTTGCTGTGCAAACAAACAGAATGAGCCACCAATCCATAATGAAGGAGCACTTTCCATCTCACCTCTGGGTGCATTCATGTAAGTTGAAAGCGAGCTAAAGTTTGTGTCAATCTCTTCATCCCCCCTGATTTGCAACCTGCGTCGCTTGTGCGGCGTGGCTGAGGGTGAAGATGATGAAGACCCATATTTGCTCACACTCATCAGACCTGCACTGATGAGAGCACGATTGTTGTGAATCAGCGTGGCTGCATTGCGCTGTTGCAGCATCTTGTCCAAACTCTCAGCACAAGCACCTTCCTCAATCTCCCAGTCGACCCTTGGCGGTAAGGCCGCAAGGCTGAACGACGGATCGAGTCATCTGCAGCTCAAAGCTGGAAACATTCTTCCAATGACGCAATTGGCTTCTTATGTCCTCCCTCGTATTTGAGCACGAAATCAGTTCAGTAGAATCCTTTTGTAGGTCAGCATTGCTGTTTTTGTGACAGCTGCATTGAGCTTGGTGAATCCTGCATTGCGCCAAATTTACTTGCCGTCTGTCTTGTTTTCAGCCGCTCCCATGCAAGCGCACCACTAACGCGCGTCATTGCTAGGCATGTCCAATAATATGCAATCTTTCAAAGCTCATTGATGGCGCCATGGACACGTGAAAGTCTGTTTTGGAGCAATTGGAGGTTGTGACTACTTGTGACGCAATGATACTTGATTCCGATTAGAATCTGTGGGGTCAAGAGAATGCTCGGCCTTGCGCGTAGGTCTGCAAAGAACATTGCCTTGATTCTGCAAAAATTGACATTGAGCAATTTTGGCCAGCTCGTGAAGTTCGAAAATGAAAGGAGCCACTATTTGGTAGACGGTTTGGGCTATTTGGTCACCAGACTCGTCGATGGGCCGAAATTTGCGACAAGGATCATGTACAGCAACTGAAGAGTCAAACAGCTATTCGGGAACAGACAGGGCCAACGCCAGGAAAATCAAGGTCGTTCATTTCTGGCGTCGAATGCAACGGTATCCCAAGCAACGTTTAATCGCAAGAACCCCACACTTTTGCATATCGTCATCGGAGTCTCTGGCAAGTGTTTGCCGATGCGTCACTATCTGTTTGTGTTTCGACGATTGAATCTTTTCGGTGTGCCAGCTGTGTCGGTACAGTGCCGGACTGGCGATGGACGTCTCGCGAAAGCGAAAGTTCACAAATAGGGACTGTCGTGGCTGTATTGTAATGTCCCGACCACTATCACTGACATTCGCCCCTCTTCCGCTGTTGTTCTGCAATAATTGATCTGCATGTTTGCACCATGGGGAAGAAAATATGAAAAAAAAAAAAAAAAAAAAAAAAAAAAAAAAAAAAACCAAACAAAAATGTTTCTGAGGGTCCAGCGTATGAATGGTTCACGTTCAGTGAACGGAGCCATTGCATTCGGGAAAAACTCGGTGCCTCCAAGCTAGCTTCATCTCTTTGATCTGCCAATTGCGAGGCAAAATTTTATCTGAGTCAAGTTCAGCGGGCGCGGCGCACGACTGTTGTGATAAACGGCAACAAATGAGCAGTCACACAAATAACAGCATCCGCTCCACACGATCTGGCACGGCGCGTGTAATCGAGTCCTCAACTCACAATTAGAGGGAGTTTTGCGACCCTTCGACGAGAACATATGCTGGGAAAATGCAATAGCACTGATATCGTTCGCAAGTAACGCTGTGCTTTTCCTCTCTTAGCTAAGCGCTACTGTATGGAGCGGAACGACCCCATTACACCTGCAAAGACTGTTCAAAGTCTGTCTAATCTGACACGCGTAAAGGGTAGGCACTCGCGGTTTTGAATAATTGTGAGCGCAAATCTCACCCGTCAGTCCCGTTATGCATAAGTTTACTCGCCGTGCGATCGAGCAGAGTCTCCCAGATGTAGTGGAATTCTCCGTTCTTGGGCGGCAAACGCCTCCATAGTGGTGCAGAAACATTCGGAGACCGCCATCTCTCACTTTTGCTTTTGTCCATCTTCGCGCGTCACAAGCATTCTGAAGCGTCTTGATACTCCTTTCGTCAAGGTCACCAAGCATCACTGCCCAGACTCAGGTCTGGGATCAAGACACCTGTAGGGACATGCCGCGATTTTTTGTACTACTTGGCGCTTGTGTGAGGCGTTGAGAGGTCGCCGAGCCCGCTTCTTTCATGTGTCTTGGTGGAATTTGATGGCACCATCAATATTTCTCCAGGAACAATTCGCTCCTGAGACAACTTGCTGTGTCATCCATTCAGAAAAGTCTGGAGAACGGATCGAAGTGACGGGATGATTCCTGCGTGGGCTTCTGATCTGATCGACTAGCATGCAAAAACTAGACGGGCGTTTGTTGCGCGTCAGCATCAAGAAGAGTAGCGCGCCTAGTTTATTCGCGCAAAATTTCACGCGACCTCCCGGTCACAACATGCTTTGCCGCATGCGAAGTCGACGACTAGTGCAAGATAACAATTTAGATAAAGCCCCGGCACAGGTCACCGAAAAGACAAAATTTTTCGATTTCCTGAGGTCTCGCGTAATCGCGCGCGGCTTCTCTCAGCAGATCCCTCGAGGTGTCGAGAAAAGATGGCGGCACAAACGCGTGTGCCGAAGCTGCTTACGACATCGGGCTTTTGTCTGCTAGGAGTGCTGTCTACACCGCATCCATGGGCTTCGGACTTCACTGCGCCGCAATGTCCTTGGCAACATGATTGCTCGCCAATTGAAATATCTTCAATGCAAAAGACATGTGCTTGACTTGCATTTTGTTGATGTGAAATTCTCATGTGATAAAACACGCAATTCTGTGTCAGACGTCTTGAAGCTGAGCTTGGTAGAAAATCACATTTCTTTCCTCATGAAACGCTTTTACCATTCTCCGAAAATTGATTTCATACAGATCTTTCGTGCTGGCTCAGATTACGACGAGAAACCCGCGAATTAACACAGCTCTTTCGTGATCGCTGGCCCAGATTACGGCGAGAAAACCCGCAAATTCACACACCAAATTGCTTGCATATTGCTCGTGCAATTGCTTGAATGGGCGATCGACTCCGAGACGCCAATTTTGAGTAGTTTCGGCATTTCGTAATGAATACCCGACCACCGGTGATCAAAAGTTCAGGCAAATTTGTCGCAGTGAAAGACGATTGCCGCTGTTCGCAGGCTCTTGTCCCTGGTTGACGCCCAAAAGAACTTTTGTGACGCCATGTATGACTGCTGACTTGGAGACCTAGGCAGCGCGTGATAAGTAGACTAGGCTTGTGTGCCGCACGTGGCCATACACACCTGAGTGAGCCCTTTCGATGTCGTCTGCCGCGAAGCCAAGCAGAGCAAAAGCTGCGCATGGACCTTTGTAACAGGAATCGAAGCAGCTCAAAGGCCTTGCGAACCGATGCCACGAGTTGCGTTTTATGACAAAATCAGAGAGCTCGTATCCTATCCCAGCCCCACGCGGTTGCGATTGCCACGCAGGCCCTGAAAGACGGGTTGGCGTGAAAAAAAGTTAAAGATTGGAGATCGACAGTGCCGCGACAGTCACACGTCATAAAATTGGCGCGCCGCTTCGCGTCGCGCGAATCGTCTTCAGCCTCAAAAGCACACAATATGGCATGGTGCGGACTACGGTCGGAGAGTAAAGATGCGCGAAAGCGTGTATGGTATTTTACATGATGAAAGCTGTGCACGGCAAGGAGCGCGAAAGGCGGATTGCATATTAAAAGGCCGTCTTTCTCTTCCGCCCAGTATACTTGGAGTCAGTGGGCACATCCTGACGATGGTGGACAAGTCAACGTCAGCTTCTGACCAACACGCTTCGCCTTGCATGCTGACGTGGTCCTCGAACACGGCTCACCTCTTTGCCGCGCTTTCTATAAAGATCCTTTTTCCTTAAGATCCAATCCTTGCCCTTGTCCCTGCTTTTGCTCTTCTTGTCTGCCTTGCCCCCTTTGATCTGTCTCCTGCCCGAACTTTTGACTTGCTGCTGGCCATGGACGACATCAGGATCCTCGTGCTCTCCGACCAAGCCTCTGGGTAGTTGCTGCTCTTGCATCGTGTCCACAGCTCCGGCGTAGCCGGGAGGGGGCAGCATGACGCCTCCCACCCACAAGACCAGAAAGAGCTTTTTTGCCTTTTTGGAGTTCGGATAGTCGACGACGAGACCTCCACCGAAACCTGCTCTGGTGGCTGCTTGCATGCACAGGCGCACCTGCTCATCGGACTCTGGATAGAATTGCAAGACGGCTCTAGCACCGTTGCGCAGCGCTGCGTGTAGGGTGGTGAAGAAGCTGGAGAGGCGGGCAATGGGGGAAGCGTCGATCTTGTCTGCATTGAGCAGCCATTGCAGGACAGATATGCTGCAATCGGGCGACGATTAGCGGAGATGCGAGTCAGCATGGGAGGCGAAGGTGCGTGTGCACCCAGCAAAGCACGGCTGACCGACTGACTGACCTGATGGCGCCATCGAACATGCCCGGTCTGAAGGCCAAACCTTCGCCCACATCGCCCAGCAGCAGATCGCCTTGCGACTCTTCTTGCAGCGCCACGTCGAGCATGCTGGGGCTGATGTCCACGCCCACCCACTCGTGACCCGCTTCTTGGATCACCTCGCCGCTCAAGCCGGAGCCGCAGCCGATGTCGAGCAGCAGACCGCCGCCTTGCTGGAGGAATGCGGGCATAGCCAGCAGCTCCATCGCCCTCTCTGCCATGGTGGCTTGGATGTGGCGTACGCGGGTGGATGAGGTGTACTTGGATGCTTCCACATCGTTGTAATACACCTCTGGCGGTGCCAAGTGTTCTGGGCGCGACATGACTGGACGGCCGTGGCCTGTGGTAGGGGTGGATGTGTGGTGTGATCCTTGCAGGTGTGCGGGTGTGCGGGTGTGCGGGTGTGCAGTAGTTGTGGTGAGTGGAGCGGAGTGAAGGGGTGGGGGCGTGCTGCTCGGCCAAGTCGCACATCACAAATTCCTGATTTACGATTTCCTGATTTTGTTTTGGTGCGCGTCGTTAGTCTGAGGATCGCTGCACGTGACTGAATTTTTTGCGTCCGATTCAAATCAAAATCAAAAAACACTTTTGGGAAAAGTTTGCTGCGTGTGATTCGTGATTCGCGATTCGTGATTAGTCGCACCGCACCTTCACTCACCACTCGTGACTCTTCACTCTCTCAGACACCCGCACTCGCGCTCTCTCGCACGCCCAGGCTAGCGCTGCACTGCACTGCGCTGCGCTGCGCTGCCATCATGGCGAAGCAGAAGAAGCGACGTCAACAGCAAGCGGGCCATGGCCATTCCGCCAACGAAGATGCCGCGCGCCACGCCCCAGCTCAGACGGATGCGCGCTTCGCCAGGCTGCACACCGATCCCCGCTTCCTGCGTCCCGCAGCGCACACCAGCAAAGTCGTGCTGGACAATAGGTTCGCGCACTTGCTCAAGCCTGGCAGCGGCAGCAGCAGCAGCAGCAATGGCACATCCAACAAGCACCGCGTCGACAAGTTTGGGCGCAAACTGAGTCAGCGCGATGAGCAGGAAGACTTGGCCAGATTCTATACTCTGAATGAGCGTGACGGTGGTGGTGGCGGTGGTGGTGATGAGGAGGAGGAGGAGGAGGAGAGCGAAGAGAGCGATGGTGGTGCAGCCGTCGACTATGCTCGCGGGGAAGGCTTGCTGGACAGCAGCGAGGAAGAGGACAGCGACGAGAATGATCGAGAAGTACGAGACAAGGACGATCAAGACAGCCTCAGCTCCAGCGACGACTACGATGGCGTACTCCTTGGCAGAGCAGATGCCAGGCGAAGAGCTAAGAAATTGGCAAAGCAGCAGCAGCAGCAGCAGCAGCAGCAGCAGCGTCAAGATGGGGAGAGCGAGAGCGATGATGAGGGGCATCACGACATTCTGGACACTGACAGCGAGGATGCCAGCCGAACTGCAGACGCCGCCATCGCAGCCAACGCCAAACTGAGCAAAAAGGCGCTGCGCAGCATCGATCAGCTCTCCTTGGCCAATCAGCGCGCTCAACAAGAGGCAGAGGAGGAGCAAGTCAATGGTAGCAGCAGCAGCAGCAGCAGCAGACAGCGTCCACGTGATGCTGACAACGTCCCTCGTGCAGGCTCAAAAATTCTGAGGGGCGATGCTACGCGACGATTGGCCCTCGTCAATCTCGACTGGGATCACGTCAAGGCCATTGACCTGCTCATGATATTCACCTCCCTCGTCAGTCCAGCATCCACCCGAGACGCTGGCGTAGCCCTGCCGGCCGATGTCGCTCAGGGCGGCGACAGTAGGAAGGACGGTCGCGCTAGCAGGTCCAGCACGATGCCGGTCAAGGGCCGCGTCCTTAATGTTCGCATTTATCCCAGCGAGTTCGGCCAAGAGCGCATGGAAAAGGAAAACAGAGAAGGTCCTCCTCGCGAAATTTTCAAGCAGGTGAGCGACGGTCCAACAGGCAGCAGCTCGAAAAAGTCTCGCGAGCGCGCAGAAGACGAGGACGAGGAGGACGAGGAGGATGAGGATGACATTTGGAACGTGGACGAAGGAGGCGAATTTGACGAAGAGATGCTTCGACGCTACCAGCTTCAAAGATTGCGGTGAGTGTGCGTGTGTGGCGCTGATACGGCGCACGAGACGATCTGACTCGCCATGATAATCTGCAGCTACTACTACGCGGTCGCAACCTTCTCCTCGGCTGCCGTGGCCCAACATGTATACGACGAGTTGGATGGGTCGGAAATGGAAAAGACAGCAAACGTGTTCGACTGCCGCTTTATCCCTGAAGAAATGGAGTTTCCCCATCACCAAGGGGGCGTCGACGGGTGGCGAGACGAGGCCAACGAAAACACCCACGCCTCGCTGAGCGCCTACAAGGGCGTGGACTTTACCACCGCTGTGAGGACTGATCGCTTGCTCGCTCGTTGTCTTGTCCCATCCTCTGCATCTGTGCTGACATGCTGCCTTGGCCACTCGTGCAGGCGCTTCGTCACTCCAAAGTCAAGCTGACGTGGGATGCTGATGACGCGTCTCGATCCAAGATCACCCGCGCCGCGCAGAGGGAATTGAGCAAGACGGAGCTGAGAGACGAGGATTTCAAGGCGTACTTGGCTTCGGGCTCGGAAGACGAAGGGGACAGCGCGGCACCGGCGCAAGAAGAGGACGCACAAGCCAAAGCTCGTTTCAGAGCACTCATGGGCCTCGATCAAGAGGATGCAGGCAGTGCCAGGCGCAAAGGTCAGACGCATCAGGTGTTTGACGACTACCGGGAACCCGATGCGGAGCAGGGAGACATGCAAATCACATTTATGCCTGGCTTGTCGGAAGCTGCTGCGAGAAAGGCGAGCGGGGGCAGGAAAGAGGCCGAGGACGAGACGACGTTGGACAAGTACAGGCGAAAGCAAAAGGAGAAGAAAGCCAAGAAGAAGATCGGCATGCAGGAAGAGCTAGCGGAGCAAGGCGAGGCGCCCGAGGATGAGACCATCACTTTTGACGATCCCTTCTTTGCGGGCGGGGATGAGGATGATGATTTCGCTGCAGCGCTCGCCGCTGAAGAAGGGCGCGGCGCAAGCTCGGAGGAGAAGAAGAAGAGAGCAAAAAGCAAGCGGGCAAAAGAGGCAATCGATGAGGATGGCGAAGAAGGGCAAAGGCGCAAAGCGGAGCTTCAACTCATGGTCGATTCGGAGTCGGATGGCGGTGGTCAGGGTCACTTTGACATGCGCGATGTGCTGCGTGCAGAGTCGGGAAAGGACAAGAAGAAGCGAGGCAGACGAGGCAAGCGGTCCAAGGACAAGGCCGGAGATGCTGCGCAGCCAAGAAGCGGCAAGGTGCAGAAGGACTTTGACCTGGACGTGGAGGATGCTAGATTCAAGAACGTCTTTGAGGATCACAGGTACGCCTTGGACCCTAGTCATCCAAGCTTCATCAAGACCAAAGCCATGGACAAGCTTTTGAAGGAGAGACGCAAGCGACGCGAGGAGGGTGATGAAGCGCCACGTTTGGGGCATTCAAACGGTAGCGCGCGCGCGAGGGACGATCCGCCTACCGATGTGCGGGACTTGGTCATGGGACTCAAGCGACGTGATCGGGGGGCGGGCAAGGAGCAGGCGAGCCGCAAGAAACACAAGAGGTAGCAGTAGTCTCGCCAAATTTGAGATGCATGCCATTATTAATACGTTTACATGATCCATTTGTGTGATGATTTTTTTTTGGGCCTCAATCGAAAGCGCTGCCAAATGTCGTCGAGACTTTGGAAGCTACAATGGCGGTGGCTATCGTGGCTAGTAAAGCAGAGAGGTCTCCAACAAGGAGCTGAACGGAAGCGAGCATGTACCTAGGCGTCCACAGCTTGAAGAGCATCAAGTGTCTGCGGAACCAAAAGGCGAAAAAGGTGGCGCCGAGGGAGAGGATGGTGTTGTACAGTGCGATGGCTAGGAATGCGGAAAAGAGGTGGGAAAAGGTGGGCATGCTGATCGTGCTTGTGCGCGCAGCAGCCGTACCCGAAGCGGCCTTGCTGGTCGAGGTGGCAGCAGCAGCAGCGGGTTTGCCCGCAGTCGCACCGGGTCCCGCTCGAGGCCGCGGGCTGAGGTTCCACAGGACGAACAGGGGGAGCATCAATCCTGGTAGAAGCGCCAAGGGACCAAACGTGTTCAAAGAGACGAACAAGGGGGCGAATGGATAGGTTACGCTCTCAAAGCCCACAAAAGCTGTTCTCCATTGGATCGTGGGGAATGTGGCTTGATGACCAGTATTGAAAAAGAGTTGAGATGCGAACAGGCCCAGCGTGGAGACTTCTAGCATTGTGGGCGCTAGGGATAGCGGAGCATGCATAGGCTCGATTTTGCTGGCCAAAGCCCTTTTCTCCTCCGTCCTTTTCGCATTGGCATCCCTTAGCAACTTTTCTCGAAGCATGCCACCATCTCGCTCGCCATCGCCTAGTTCTGCAAATGCCACTACGGTCAAGAACCCCGCAGACAGGACGACTTGACCCATGGGCTGCGCGAACAAGAAGAGCAGCGCAAGCGGGACGAGACACAGCCCCAACAGGTAAGAGCTGCCTAGACTATTGGCAAAGCCCAGCACGATGATCCGTTTGGTCGGGGCGTGCGATGGAGTAGAGGAAGCCGGCCTAGCGGGTACAGTAATTTCCTCCTCTTTGAGCTCCAGGGCTAGCGGTGCGAAGGCCCAAATGGTCAAGCCTAGAATGAGCACAGCAATCAGGTCTACCCGCGCCATCACTCTCATGAGCCATTGGAGCCATGCGATGGTGGGTTGGGGCAGAGCAAGCGTCTCGGAAGTCGTTGTCCAGTCCAACAGCCAGTACCCAGCTCCAACCAATAGGGTAGGTCGGAGCACCCAGCTCTCAAAGGCGGGTGCATACCCTGCATTGCTTTTGGACAGCTCCAGCACCTTGCCGATAATGGCAGGCAAAGCCAGAGCACATAGATAAGCTGCACCAACAGCCAAAGGACTATTCAGAGTGCTGCCCTTTTTCGCGTAGAATGTAGATGCGCAGTCCGGACCTTGTTCTTCTCTGCAGACTCTGACGAGCGCCAAAAGCCTCGCAAGACCAGCCAGCGCAAGCGAGAGGAAAATCTGCCGCCTCTTGAGAGTTCTGGTCGGGGCGTACGCGTACGCGCAAGCTGCTCGGGAGAGCAGCGCAAGGATTAGCAAAGCGTTGACGAATGCGTCTTCCCAAATGACGAATTTGACGCTGCCAAAGCCCGCAGCGTAGAGCAGTGGGAAGATGAGACCGAGAACGGCATGGATGGACCATCTCGGCGAAGCTGCCCAAGTGCTGGATTGGGAGATGAGTAGCGAGAGTTGGGAGCCGATCGACAAGCCTGCCAGAGTCAAATCTGCCATGCCCAGTCCGCCGAGAACAAAGTCGAGTTCCAAGCCAGGCAGATACGCCTTGCATGCCCACAGAACCAGACCCACGACTGCGCCTGATCGACCACCGGCAACGATGCGGTCCAGCGAGAATTTTGCGAGCTGCGCAATACCCTGCGTGCGCTTGACGACCAGCCGACTCTTGATCCGCACGCTTCCACGGGGCTTGCCAGCCGATCCCTCCACCCTCTCGTCCATCCGCGCGAGACCAGAGATCAGACCCGAACGAGAGGCCGAACGAAGTTGCAAGAGCGTACCAAAGCTGAGCACAAGCAGGACTAGACCGAGCGTCATCTTGTGCAGTTCGAATTGGGCCCAAACGCTTCTGGCTCTGCCTAGGGCGATGCGCGTGAATCGGAGGTAGGCAAAGGTGCATTCATGCCGAGCAATGGCGCGCTCGGCATCGCTGCCCTGGACGAGCACCTGAGCGTACTCGGCATCAGCACGAATGGCGCTACGCCAAGCGCTGCTTAGCTCCTGCTCGAAACGCTTGAGATCCTTGGATCGCCTAGAGTAGTGGGACAAGTAGTTGCGAATCTGCTTGGCGTTGATGCGAGCAGCTCTGAGGAGCACATCGTCCGAAGCAGACGTTGGGGCGAACAATTCAGGAATGATGGATCCGAGAGAGTTGTAAGGGATGGGCAGCCCGAGCAAGAGGCTGAGCGTGGGTACCAGATCGATCTGACTGACGCTCCTATGCAGAGGAGGATGCGGCAGCGGGCTGAATGCCGCAAAGGGAGGCACAGCATCCGAAATGCTGGCATCTGCAGCCAATCGATGCAGCAGGGCTTGCACTTCGCGTGCGTGGGATGCAGCGCGATCCGCCTGCTCTGCGTCCCCGTCCCCGTCGCCGTCTCCAAGCCCATGCTTGGCGTAGATCCACAGCCCAGCGCCCACTTCCAATTCACCATCTCCGCCATGATCGCCGTGATCATCCATGCCATGATCTCCGGCCAGGATGAGCAGAGCATCGTCGGGCAAGTGCTCGACCACCTCTTTCAAGAAGCTCTGCATCTCCAGCAGCTTGACCCTCATCTTTGGATGGTGCGCACCGAAGCGATGACCCACGTGATCGACACCCAGCGTGTGCGCCACCAGCAGCCTCCAAGAAGCAGCATCGGGAGGAGGCGGAGCATGCGAGCTGCTGCTGCTGCTGCTGCTGCTGCTGCTGCTGCTAGTGCTGCTAGTGCTAGCAGGCTGCAAGAACGGCAGCAGACGCGACTCTACGCCTCGATCGACCGTGTCCAGATCATCCACCTTGAAGCTGTCGTAGGGAAATGTCCAGTCATTGTCGAATAAACCTGGGTACACGGCAGACCACGTGTCGTCGCCCATGAATGCCAATCCGGCTCTACCACCTGCTGCGCGCGCGCGCCCATTAGGCTGAGGCTGAGGCTGCGAGAGGGAAGCGTTGCGAAGCTGGGACAGCCAATTGTCTTCGTCTATCTCGGATCCGGCAAAGTTGGATCCGGCATCGATAAAGGTGGGAAGGGTGCCGGTGGTCAAGCCCTTTAGCCTCTGCAATGTGGTGGTGGGAGCATCGGCATGAAAGTGGGAGAGAAAGGAGAGGCTTGTGGATTGGCCATGGCGATGGCGATGGCGATTGCGGTGCAGCGATGATGGCAGATCGAGGATGCCGTGATGGTGGGGATTGGGGGACCACTCTGATGCGGATGGGGATGGGGATGCGGATGCGTTGTGCGCGCGCGTAGTGTCGGCGATAAAGTCCCACCTGAGAGCGTCGATGATGAGCAGCACTGCTCTGCGCTTGACGGGGGGTAGGGAGCATTCGGCAAGCTTGTCCAGCTCATCTTGCCATGCGCTCACATCCAGCGAGGCATCATGGCCTGCAGCGTGTGTGATTGGGGGAGGAGGTGACCAGGTGAGGTTGCTTTGGTGAGGACAGGAGGCGACACCATCGAGCGTGACCCTGGTGAGGAGGAAGCCGCTGAGAAAGATCCATAGGGCGATGGCGTGCAGGGCGGCGATGAAGAGGAGCAGGGCAAAGGAGCTGAATGCGGGTCTGAAGACGCTTGGAGGCGCGCCACCTTGTTCGCCCAGATGAGCTTCGCGTTGAGCTGCCTCCTCTTCGGAAGTGTCGGTGGAGGAGCTGCTGTGGGAGACGTTGGAGTCGTTGGAGTGGCTGCGTTGAGGTGGAGGTGGTGGTGGTGGCCGCGGCTTTGCACGAGGTATGGAGGCAGTGTCGAGCGCTGGCGTAGGATTCAGCTTGGACTTGCGACTGGACATTTTAGTCGCGCGCGGGGGTGCGTGAGCGTGAGCGTGAGCATGAGCGTGTAGTGAGTCAAGAGTGAAGGAGGGCGTGGAGAGCAGGCAGGCAGGCAGGCAGCGCGCTAGCCGATGTGGGGATTCTGATGATTCTGATTCGAATCGAGTGCGGGTCTGAGTGCGTCATCTTGAATCACGAATCTTGAATGAAGCCATCACATCACGTGCAGCACCAGCACGCACCACTCACTCACTCACGACTCGCAACTTCTTCTCGTCGTGCCTCCACGCTCGGGCCACTCAGACTCACACTCATCGCGCGATTCTTGATTGAGGATGCGTGCCGTGCGTTGCTGCTGTTGCATATATGATGGTTGCATGCGTGATGCACGTGCACCCCCTGCCGCGCGCGGTGTCTGTTGTGTGCTGCGTTGCGTTGCGTGCCTGCATGGGAGTGAGTGAGTGAGTCGTGAGTGAGTGAGTGAGTGAGTGAGTGAAGCAGGCAGGCATTCGTGATTGCACCTACACCACCTATGCACGGTGGAGCTAAACGTCCACACCTGCACTCTTCAGACTCACGACTTGCAATCACAGCTACCAACCAGCACCCTCGCACCCTCGCACCCTCGCACCCTCATCCACGCTGCACCTACGCCCCTCACTCGCAGCATTCATCTCATGGTCACGCACACGCACACGCATACACGCACACGCATACACGCATACACGCACACGCACACGCACACCCTCACCCTCACCCTCACCCTCACCCTCACCCTCGCCCACCCCACGCTGCCACCATGGCCACCTCGCTGCACGCCATCGCAACTGCGCTCTTCTACTACCTGCTGGGAGGCTTGACATTCCTGCCCCTCTGCGCCATCATCCTGCTCCTGCACTTTACCTTTACAGCCCCCGTGCACAGCATTGTGGATCAGCAACAGCATCGCAGCAGCGACATTGTGAATGCACACTCATCAGACTCGCTCGCAGATCCATCCAAAGGTGCATTGGATGCTGATCAGAAGCGCGCAGCTCTTGCGCTGGCCAAGGACAATCACGCTAGGGTCAATGCAGCAGCTCATGCTGGCGGCCAACATCACACGCGCACGCGAGAGGATGCCATTGCGATTGCTGCGGCAGATGCGGCCGGGGCGGGGGCGGGGGCGGGGGCTACGGCGACTGGTGTGCCTTCATCGGCCAAGCGATTGGGCCCATCGCCCGCGATCCATCCCAAACCTTTTAGGAACGGGTGGATCGTGGTGAGGCGCAAATTTGAAGGTCAAGCTGCAAGCGCTCTGCTCGCCAGTCAAGGCGCTTCCAATCGAGCAGCCGCGGCCGTCGCTGCAAAGAAAGATGGGCAAGGGCGAGCGGGTGATCAGAGCAAACCGGCATCGGGTGCGGGTGCGGGTGCGGGTGCAGGTGCGGGTGGACACGGTCAGCAGCCATCCTCTTCGGGCTACATGAGCGCAATGTACAGGGGCGTCATCAATTACAGGCAGCACAGGGCTGCAAGATCATCTCATGCCGCTACAGCAGCAGCAGCAGCAGCAGGTCTCGATAGCGCCTCTTCGAGTTCAGCGTCAACGTCCGCGTCCGCTTCCAACTCCAACTCTCGCGATGCTTCTCCATCAACCAGCACCACCACTGGCACTCGCGATCCGCGCAACGCTACACCCCAAGCCGCGGCAGCAGCAGCAGCGGCGGCGGCGGCGGCGGCGGCGGGCAATGGCGCCAATCGCGAATCCTTTCACGCCATTCTCAAAGGTCCCGTCCTCTACCTCTACTCTTCCAGCGACCCATCCGCACCAGACACGGAATGCCATGCGGCCATCGATCTGCGTGGCAAGCGCGTCAGCTTGTACGTCGCTCATGCAGGCGATACCGCAGGAGACCCGCAAGAAATCTTTGACAATCTAAAGGAAGAGGAGAAATTGGGAGTGGTCAAGGCGGAATTAGATAGCTCCGATAACGTCGCTGCAGGTCTGGCCACAGCCAGCAGCTCGACGACGGTGACGGATGATGAGAATGTCGAGGCGATCAGCCAGAGCGTCAGAGCGCGGGCCAGGTCGAATTGGAACAGGGCCAGAAGAGCTGCTGTGAGGGATGGGGAGCTATTCACCAAGCGCAACGCGGTCAGGATCGTCGCCATGCCATCGTCATCTGCGCGTGCAGATGCGTCATCGGCACAAAACTCATCTTCAGCAGCAGCAGCAGCAGCCTCATCATCCGCGCAAGATGTCGCTTCGAGTCTTGGCGGCCGCTCCATGTCGCTCGCGCAATGGTTCATCTTTGCGCGATCTGCTAGCGCTTTGGAAGATTGGTACCACGCACTGCTGCACGCCTCCATGATCCCGTCGGATGTGACCGCCGCGAGGCACATCAACAACGCCTCGAGCATCGACGGCTTGGCGTCAGACGCGCTGTCCGACGTCTTTTCCCCGCTAGACATGGTGCGGCTCTTGTCCAATCTGGACAGTATCCCCGATCCCATCCCGCTGCGCTGGCTGAATGCTCTGCTCGGAAGAATCTTTTTCAGCATCTACAAGACCAAATGGTTGGAGGAGTACATTACGAGAAAAATCATGAAAAAGGTGTCGAGAGTCAAGACGCCGGGCTACTTGGGAGAGGTCAAGGTGAGGAGCGTGGAAGTGGGCAGCAATCCGCCTGCATTTAGCAGACCGATGCTCAGGAGCTTGACGGGCGAGGGCGAAGCTTCGATGGAGGTGAGCAGGAGCAGAAAAGAAAGAGCGGGCACCGTTGTGGCTCGATGAGTGAACTCGATGCAACCCACCCCTCTTTTTCCCCCAACCGCGCAGGTCTCGGTGCATTACACTGGCTCCATTCGTCTCACCATCAGCACCTCTCTCACGCTATCTCTCGGCTCGCGCTTCAAACCCTACACCATCAACCTCTTGCTCGCGGTGGTCATCAATAGTCTGACGGGCAATTTGCTGCTGCAGATCAAACCTCCTCCGAGCAACAGGATATGGTTCGGGTTCACAAAGTTGCCAGAAATGGGCATCGATGTGGAACCGGTCGTGAGCGAGCGCAAAGTACAGTGGGGAATGGTCCGGAGATTGATCGAAGGCAGGATCAGAGAATTGGTGAGCTCTCAAGCGTGCGGCTGGAGCTCTTACGCTCGGCTGGCAAATCGCGTATCGCAGCACGCCTATTTTTTGACCGTCTTGCTATCCCTTTGTGCTAGATCACCGAGAGCCTCGTGTTACCCAACATGGACGACATTCCATTCTTTGACACGAGGGCGTACGAACATCGAGGAGGCATCTGGTCCGAAGCGGGCAAAGGCGCATCGAGCGAATCAGATGTGGGCACGACCACGCAGGGTGCGGCCTCGGGCACCGAGAGCAAAAAGGGGCGAGCAAATCAGCTTGGTGCGCGCGCTGCGGAGAGAAGGGAAAGCGCACCAGCTGCAGTCGAGCCATCTACCGAGTCTAGATTGAGCGCACACTCCACGTCTATGGCTGCTGAACCTCAGCTCATCGACTATGGAAGCTCGAATCTAAGAAACAGAAAGGGCGGGCCGAGCTCGCAGAGCATCTTGTCAAGTGCTGGTACTTCGCCTTCCAGCCCTGCGATTGCGGGCCTGAGTAGCTTGCTCGCCAAAGATCAGGCTGCTTCGGCCGCCGCTGCAGCTGCAGCTGCGGCGGGGATCAACACTCCTACAAACACGCCCGACGAAACGAGCGGGATAGACGTGAGCGGAGCGAGACCGGCTTCAGTGCGATCCATGCCTTCTGCTATTTCCACGCCGTCCAAAAGAAGATCCTGGTTCGCGCCTTCCCGTTTCGGCGTAGGTAGTGCCGGAGGACTAGATGGCACCTCATCCAGCGCGAGCATCACCAGCTCTACAGATGGCGGTGGCAGTGTGCCGAGCCAAAGCAGCATTCCTCCAGGCCTGCAAAGGCTGGCAGGCTCCAAAGGACCCAAGAGCAGCCTAGCTTGGGGAAGCGCTAGCCTGGCGAATGCCCCCTCGAAGGACGCACCGAGCGCAAGTGCGAGCGAGCCACCGCTTAGAGAGGAGGAGGATGCGGAGCTTCCGCTCTCTGCTTCACTAGAATCGCAGACTTTGAGCGCCGAGTCTCGGGCTGCGCTACCTGATGCTATCCCCTTCAAGCCTACGCACGGCCAGAATCAAGACAGTATCAGCTCCGAGCTGTCAGACGCTTCGGCTGCGAGCGGCATCAGCGCAACGACAGAAGATCTGCAATCTTTTGCTGCGGATATGCCTAGCCAAGACGAGGACAATGGGCTGGTGGAAGCCCTTCCAGCGTTGCATCCAGCGGACCAAGTCTCTCCTAGCTCTGGCTCTGCTCTTCCGCTGAACACCGCTTCGTCTTCCATACCGCCTGCGGTCCAGGTCACCTCACCGCGAGACGACCACGATCCGCCCGAGACGCCGCGCGGAATAGCGTCCTCTACGGCATCGGATCTGACAAAGACGGACGTGGCTGAGGGAGAAGAGCTATCCAAGCTGGCACCGAGCTTTGCACCCGTGGTAAGCAGCTCGCCCGCTGCTTCGCCGCAGAACTCGGAACCTGCTTCTCCGTCCCTGTCCGACGATCGGCGTCCGTCTTTGAGCCCGGTTGCCGTGCCCGAAGCCCCACCAGCGCGCGTGGATCGCAGCATGTATGGTTTTGCTCCTCCGCCGAGGAGGGCACCGCCGAGCCTCAGCACGACAGATGTGCCTGCTAGCACTTCGCCATCCGGTTTGAGCGTTCTGAGCGCCGGGACAGGCCTGAGCGCATTTCATCGTGACAGGTACAATACGACGATTGCGATGAGGGACGATGCTTCGGTTCGATCTGCCGCTTCCACCTCTTCATCTGCCACTAGCGCCTCTCCAGCAGGCGCTGGCGGCAACATGACCGCTTCTGCGCTCTTCAACAAGGCGAAAGCTAGTATGGCGGACAAGGAGTCTAGACAGGCCGCTGCCAAGGAGGCCAAAGATGCGATCAAGAGGGGCTGGTCCAATTGGAATACCAAGAGGGCGGAAGCTGCTGCTCAAAGCAGGAGCAGCAATACCAGTCCTGCACCACCCGTGCGGTCCGAGATTGCCGGTCCTGCCCAGTCCGGCTCAGGTCTCACCAGCACGCCGGCCGATTGGGTATCGGGAGGAACACCTGACCTTCCTGGTGCTGGTTTCGATGCGCAAGGACCACCAGCAGGGTTCGCGCATCCATCTTTCGAAGGGAGCTCATCTGCCGCCATGATTCGGACGGGCTCCTCGAGCTCATCCGTGGCGTCTACGTCCACCGGAGGTGGAGCTGGTGAGAAGAGGTCGTACAGGGATCACAGAGAAGCTAGGAGCAGAGCTAAAGATTCAGCTTCTCCGAGCGTCAGTGGTAGGAGCACGCCTGTTGGGAATAGCTGGGCTGAACGCGAGCGAGAAAGGGTGCGCGTTGCGAAAGCTATTGCTGGGGCGGAGGTTGTCGACGTGCAGCGCACCTCTGATCAGGGTTTTGATGGCAAGGTGGCTGCTTTGAGCGGCGGCGAGGAGCCGAACAGGAGTGACGTTGTATCGCCAGCGGCCACAATAGCACAGCCTAGGAGCGATGCAAGCGATAGTCCAGCGACTAGCGTTACGCAGCAAGCTTTGCCAGCGCCAGCGCCAGCGTCCATCTCACCCTCGTCATCACCGGCACAAGCTGCGCCGCCTTTGCTGTCCTCCCGGTCTCGGAACTCTGTCTCCTACAAGACCGAGCGGCGCAGATCTTCGGCGCACTCTCATACCGGACAATTAGGCTCTGCCGAGCCGAGTGGTGCGGGCAGATCGACGAGCGGGGGCGCAAGCGGGAGCGGGAGCGGCATCAAGACGCAACCTACCCGCTCGTCGATGATGGTGGTGCCGGGGATACATTCGGCTCATCGCATGGAACCGCAATCTTTCTCGGCGCCTGCGCCGTCGCTGCCTGAGCTCGGCAGCGCGGATGGTGGTGTTGGTGCCAACGTCGACGGATCGACGATTTGGAACAGCAGCAGTCCCAAGGTGGGCATGGGGTTGAACCTCTTCAGAAGTCCCTTTGCTGCCTCCGCCACCACCACCGCTTCGGCCAGCGCTTCGCCTGCTCTGTCAGAGCGGCGCCTCTCCACGCCTCTTCGGGCGCCCAGCATGGGAGAGTCGCCTGCGAGCGTTGCGAGTGTGGTCGATGATGCGCAGCAACAGCGCAGCCTTTTCCTCGACCCTTCCACCTCGCAAGGGACGGAGATGGATCAGGCTACGCGCACGACGGTCCAGACGAGCGCTGATGCGCGGGATCAGCAGCCGCTCGGCGCGTTGGGCGTCGATGGGATGCTGCGAAGCGCCGCGGAGGGAAGCTGAAATGTGGCAAAGAAGGGGGGCAGGCATGATGTGCACAAGCTGAACCTGCCACGCTTGCCAGATGAGAACGGTGCGGATTGGTGGAGCGCCGGCGGCGGCGGCGGAAGCGGGAGCTGCCTATGGCTGATCAGGTCGAAAGATGCTGCGAGAGGGAGTAAGGGGAGAAGTGGAGCGCACTGGCGATGCGCTCTTCCTTTCGAAAGCGTCGACTCGACGCCTGGAGGGAGCAGGGGAGGTGGGCGGTGCAAGTGGAAGTTTTGTCAAGCCTCGAGCACGGCCCCCCCATCATCGTCACGCGTGTTCACCCCCCCCCTCCCTTTGTTTCGACCCCTCCTCACAATTCACAAGCGTGAGTGCCGCGCACGCACACGAAAATTTCATCATCGAATTGCACTTTTCCCGGGCCCAACGAATCGTCATTCCAGAAGGCTGCGCCGTGCGGCAAAAAGAAAAAAAAAAAAAAAAAAAAAAAAAAAAAAAAAAAAAAAAACAAGACAAGATAAAGGGGGGGCAAGTCTTCTTTTTTTATCTTGGAAGTTTCTTTTTTTTCCTTTGACCCGCTCCGTCGCGAGAAGAAGCTCTGCCCCTCCCCTTCCCCCCTACCTGCCGCGACGGCGTGCGGTGGGCGTCGTGACAAAGGGGTACGGAAATGTCCTTTTGTTTTTGTTGTTTTCTCGAAGGGTTTCATGCTCAGGACATTCAAATTCGCGAGATTCGTGAGATTCGTAATCCTCGTGGACCTGGGACGGCGATGCGGTGCGGTGCGGTGCGATGCGATGCCACGAGCAAATGCGTTGGGCGCCCGAGCGAGCGAAAGAAGGAAGAAAGAAAGAGCCTGCCTGCCCTCACGAACGCCAACTTCGATTGCATGGGCGACGAAGGGAAAGCGCGTCGCGTCGCGGGGGGGGGGCGGGGATGGCGATGCGATTTGGCTTCCGGCTTTTTGGATGGTGCGTGGGATCATTTGCTTGGGCGTGCATAGTCCACGAGGCAGGATAGAGAAAGGGGGGGCCTTTTGTCCAAGAGCGGAGCAGACGAGGCCCGCACACTTGTGGAAATGCGGCGCGTGAGCATCGAGGCGCATGGAAGCGAGGTTGAGGGACTGCTGGGTCAATCTTGGTCTGGATCTCGAGCCTCGATGTCGAGGAGTTGCAGAGCCCGTCCAAAGTCAAGACGAGGCGGGGGATGAGAGGGCATGGCTGGGCAAAAAGTTGCCTTCCGGTTTTTTGGGGCAAGGGAGCGGAGGTTCTTCCAAGGAAGGCACAGATACTGGTGTCGAGAAGCGACGTTTCACTTGCTCGGACCGCACGCGTAAGAAGAAAAGCGCCCACCTCATTTGAATCCTCTGCATTCCTCGTGCGCCGCCTTTCTTCCCCTTCCACGCAACGATATCAATCCGACCCTTGCCCTTCTGTGGCCGGCGCATCGGCCATCATCGCACCTCCAGCGCCCCTCTTTCTCCTCTTTCTCCTAGCAGCTCCAGACCTTCCCGAGGCGAGACTCTGCATCCGCTTCGCATCCGCCGCCTTGCTCGACGACTCTTCCTTTTGACTAGTGGTGGAGCCATGCGCTGCTGCCAATCTCTTCGGCCCATCGCCATCGATCAAGCGCACTTTTCTCTTCTTGACGCTCAAAGGATTCGGTTCTTTTGCCTTTTTCCTCTTCTTCATGTCCGATGAGGCTGAGAGCAAGTGGTTGGAATCGGATGATGGCCGACTGTTACCGCTGCCGCTCGCACCCGCATCCGCATCCGCACTCGAAGCACCAGGCTGGTGGATGGAGGATGAGCTGATGATGTGAGGTGAGGATGTGCCGGAATGCGATTGGGCCGCTGCGCCTAGCAAAGAAGCTTCGTGCGCGTCTGTAGACAGTTTGCACGCTTCGAGCTGGAGCGGGGAGACACGAGGGGTGTTGAGCTTTGAAGGCGAACAGTGGGAACAGTGACAAGAGGGGGACCGAGGTGCGCGGCATGAGCAGACAGACTCACTTGACGGACCCTGTGCATGGTTTGCGTGCTTGTGGGCTCCATGACCAGCACGCCGGTGGGGTTTGTGTGCAAGCATGGCACGCCCGCTATTTGCTGCCTGACGTATTGTCTGAGCGCAAAGGAGTTGGAGCAGAGCACATAACGATGTTTGTTCGTTGCACCTAATGTCGAGGTGAGGCGAGGCGAGGCGAGGTGATGAGCAAGTCAGAGGGGAATGGATGCGCACACGCGCGCCACGCCCACGCCCACGCCCACGCCCACGCCAGAAACTGACCGATGCAGGATTTGATGCAATCTTGGCTGCTCAGATGCACCTCTTTGTGACCGCACAATCTCCTCTCGCAGCTCTTTGCCAACTTGACAGCTCTTCTGTGCAATGCTTCATCCTTGTCCAGCTTGTACAGCTCCTCGATGCAGCACTGACTGATCAGCAACTTGACTTGCGACGGTGCCGCGGTGCTGCGACTGCTGCTGCTGTGACTGCTCCCACTATCTGCCTGCTGCCCGTGCGCCTGCGCCTGCGCCAACTTCGCCTTGACTCGAGCTTTGCTGCCCAGTGCAGCTACAGCGTGGACTTGAAGCGCATCTGCCAATCTCAAAGGCAAGGCTTCTGCGCTGATGTTTTGCTTTGCTAGAGCGAGGATGAGGTCAGAGTCGAGCAGGAGCTGCAGTGGCAGTCTAAAGTTAAAGTGACGCAGGTAGAGGGAAAGGCATTTGCGCGTCTGTTTGGCTCGCTTTTGACGCATTGTGGGCGAGTGTGGGGGGGGAGGGTGTGAGTGTGTGGTGTGTGGGATGGGGCAAGTGTGATGGTGTGATGTGGTCGAATGGCAGGCAGCAAGTGTTGAAGCAATCAAGAATAGACAAGAGAATCAGGTTGGGCAGGGTCACGTGGGCATGGATTGATGCGAAGTCATGAGTCTTTGAGTGTGAATCTTGAATCATAATAAATGCGAATCTGATCAATCAATCTGCGCACCCAAACTCGAATCTCATATAGAAAAAAAAAGTTAAAACAAAAAAAGGAGCAAGAGGGACGCGTAAGAGTCAAGTCACGTGGTTCCCTTGCGAACACGAACTCTTCTACGCCGACGCAAAAGAACCGGCAAAAAAAGCGACGCGTTGCGCGACTGGTCGGCAGCCATGCCGGTGTAGAAGAGTCATCAGAGAGAGGGACGCTCTGCTCTGCTCTTCGCTTGCGGGGGTTGTATAGGTGTGTGATCGTTGTGTGCAGAAGGGAATGTGAATGAATTCAACTTGCGAGTTGGCCCATTGCTCCCCATCATCGCCACCACCACCACCACCACCACCACCACCACAACATCACAACATCATCCTCTCGCACTGCCATCACCCATCTCGCAGCTTGAGAGCGCAAGTGGATGTGCGGCTGTACACACGCATATATACACCCGTGTTCCAAGCTGCACACCTCTCGTCCAGCTTCCTCCCCCTCCCTTGTGTGTATGCACTGTCGCAGGTGAGTGAGTCGAGTAGCTGCGCGGAACGAGGAGAGGGTGGGGGGAGTTCAGCAAAGCAAAGCAAATGATTAGAAATACGTTATCATTTAATCTGTCAATCCTCAGAGATGTATGTGGCCCTCCCGCAAGGGGGTCCCCCAACATCCATGATGGATCAAGTAACCTTTAGATCCGTTGTCTCTGATGCTCTTGCTCGCGTATCCTCTCGAGTCCCATGTCGCTGCGCATGGCTGACCATCTGCCTGGCATGCTCTTAGCTCTTCCAGCAATTCAACCGATACGCGCATACACACACTCTCTTCTTTTCGAAGCGCTTTGCAATGTGAGTCACCAAGTCATCACCTTTGTGTTTCATGCGGGGGGGGGGGCATAAACGACGAGAGGATGAGCATTCACCGACAGGCGGACTGAAATTGCTTCTTTGTACAAAGAGGGCTCAATGCAAATGTTAGACATGATTATCGGTTGCTGATTGTTCGTTTGGCTGTGTTGCAAAGAGGGATCCCGTTTGCACTGCACGCGTACAGAGCATGCTGCTGACGCTTGCCCGCACGCACACGCACACGCACACGCACACGCGCACGCACACGCACACGCACACACACACACTCTCTCGTTCGTCTGCGCACGTCTTTGCACGCTCATTCAAAGGCTGAAGCAGGGCTGAGGCGTCGCTTCAACGGGCCAGGCGCAGGTTAAGCATGTAGGGTTGCGCTTTCCCTCAAGCTTCACCCCCCAATCTCGGTCCTGCGTTCAGCGTCCGTGTCATTCGCAAGGGAACACGCCATCTCTGCCGCTGAGCCTTTCGTCATGTCTCCGAGCGCAGTGGAGGTAGGGCGTGCAAACGCAAAGCCCGTCGCTAGGACGGCATCAGCAGACACGAGCAGCCAAGCAGCAGCGGCAGCAGCAGCAGCAGCAGCAGCAGCAGCATCTCATGCCTCTTCATCACCGTCACCGACATCATCGCCATGGCACAGCCGCACCCTCTTAATCATCTGGGCATTCCTCGGCCTCCTCTTGACTCCCCTTCAAGCGCTGATCTACCTGCTTCGCATTCCCTTGCGCAAATTGCTGCTCCGCATGCTCTCTCTCGGTCCCATCCCGCGCCACATGGCTTTCATCATGGATGGCAATCGACGCTGGGCAAATTCTCAAAAGGTCCCGCTTCCCGTAAAACAGGGACACATTTCGGGATTCGGAGCGCTCAAGACCGTGCTGGAAGTGTGCTTGGAATTGAGAGGCTTGGACACGGTCAGCGTGTACGCTTTCGCCATTGATAATTTCAAGAGGGAACCGGAAGAGGTGGAGGCGCTCATGATGCTGGCAAAGAGAAACTTGAAAGAGCTTGCTGGGCACGGGTGAGTCTTTGCCATCGTCGATGGTGGAGTGCAAAGGTTTCGGTGCAGCGCAAAGCGGCGTGAAAAGCACAGCGTCGAGAAAGGCTGATGATGCGCTTGTGCTCGCTTGCTGCTCCTCCTCTTCTTCTTCGCCACCCGCACAGCGAGGTGTTGGCCAGACACTCGGTGCGCTTGCGCATTGTTGGAAGGAGGGAACTCTTGCCGATCGACGTGAGAGCGGCAGTGGAGAGCGTAGAGCGAATGACGCTGGGTAATAAGAGGTGAGGGTGGATTTGGCGTTAGAGCAGACTCGTTTTGGCCGTGAAGCACGGGCTTTTCTACTGGCAAAGCCTCGATTGACGATGCTGACTCTGAGCGCGCGCTTCTCTACTTTTTGGCAGGGCAACGCTCAACGTTTGCATACCCTACGCCTCGAGAGACGAAATGGCAGGCGCTGTACGCTCGCTCGTCGACCACGCATCGAGAGTGAGGCAGAACGACATGGAGCCGCAATGCACGCAGGATGCGCTGCAGCAGAGAATGTTGCTGGCTCATAGTCCGCCCGTCGACGTCATGGTGCGCACGTCGGGCGTCAAGAGGTTGAGCGATTTCATGCTCTGGCAAGTGAGTCTGTGATGAAAGAGAGAACCCACATACAACTTTCTCTCTTGCGTTCATGTGGTCTGGGAGAGTCACCCCACCCTCCTGCTCAATTCGGACGCAAGCCATTCTATCGCTTTGTTTCCCCCTCTTTGCGTGTTTTATTCTTCGTGCTGACTGGTCGACTTTCTTTCATCGACAGTCTTGCGAAGAGACGCATCTGCACTTCACGGCTAGATATTGGCCGCTCTTTGGACTGAGGGAACTCATACCCATCATACTGGACTATCAGCGCGCAGAGTGGAGGAGAAGATTGATGAGCTGGGCCAGCTAAGCTCAGCTAAGCTAGCTCGTGCCTTTTGTCCACGCTCGAGCATCCGCTTCGTCACGATACTTGGAATTTCTTTTGGCCTCGAGCATACTCGTGCAGAGCGACGAGATGAAGGTGGCCGTCTGGCCCACCGCACAAGCGCGCCGATCTCGTTGGTATGGCCCGCACGCAGGATTGCGGAAGGGATTGACTTGCTCCCTTTTCTGACGCTGCGGTGCAGTGCATCACTCACCAACTCGATGGGGCTGGCACACCGCGTCTAGTTTGCCAATTCGCGCGCCGCCCTCAAATCACGACTCGCGACCTTGCGCCCAGGCAAGATGGAAGGAAGCAGGCCATCTGCATGTGGCCTGCTCCTGCATCCCCGCCACATCACGCACAAGCCGTATCGATCCGCCGCGGAAGACTTGCCTGTTGCAAAATGCAGCACGAAGGAGCCGATGTGTGTGCTTGCAGAGAAGGGTCAGGTGGATGGTCGATCTTTGTCGTCAAGGTGCGAAAGCAGAGTGCGGGTCAACGATGACGGAATCCCTTGGGTCTGTGCCAACGCTGGGTAGAGTCACGGACCGCATGAAAGCCCATACCATCGTTCCTGTCAAGTGAGACGCGTCCTAGCCTTTCGTTGGTTTTCTTCTCAAACGCTGGATGAATCAAGACAAGGTGCCCAAACTTTCAGCGCGCGCAATGGTTGCGTGCGCTTTTGCCTCCTTGCAACCGCTCGGACATGAACGGAAATACGAGCGAGCACCTTTGAGCCCTCTCTTCCCGAGCTTCCTTTTTTCGTGCGGCTGAATGGCGAAGCTTGCTTGCTTGCGAGCTGCGCTCTGCGCTTCACAACACCCCCCTGCACTCTCTCGACGTAGTAATCAAATAGCAAATTTCGCGAGCGCGCGCGCGCGCGCTTCTCTTTGACTTCTCTTCGTAGCATAAGACTGGCCCACCATGCCAGCTACGCTCAATCATGCCTTTCTGGAGAATTTCTTCACTCGAAGCGTTTGTTGTCTGTCAGTCCCGCCCCGCCCCGCCAGCTTTCTAGACGGACCCCCGACGCGACATTGCGTCAGTTGATCAAGTCTTGCGCCCATTCAATTCAGGGCTTTGACAGAATCCTGCTCACTGCATGGGATCTGTTCGACGGCGCTATTGCCCCACTAATTCTCATACGACCAGCAAAAGGCGTTGAATATGAGTTTTGCGGCTTCTGCGGGACCTCCCGTGTTCGGATCGGTTACACTGAGAGCGGAGCGGGGAATGGGGGAAAGGAAAAGCATGTTCGTCATCCCACCACCGTTCGCTTCGAGTGGGACATTAGTAGAGAGAAATTCTAGACGTACGTGCAAAGTCCATTGGCTTCCCCATCGCTGTTGAGAGCGCGTCGATGGGAAAAATTAGCGAAGAGAAAAACGTTTCGGTTGGCTCGATCGAGCGTTGACGGTTGCGATGGATGGGCGCACGGCCCCATGTTCCGCTAAAGTCTCTCTCGCTCGACTCACACACTGCTGTCTGCCCAATGGGAAGCACCCGCTATGGCGTAGCACTTGTCGCCAAACTTTTTCGCAGCATCCTCCTTGCTAGAAGAAGTGACGAACGGTGCGCAATCTGCAGCTTGCACCTTCCAATGGACGATGACCGAAACGGCAAAGCTTGGAAGAAGAAGAAGCACAGCTGCAAGGGCTGGCACAGAGTGAACCCTCATCTCGAAGGCTGGCTTTGGATGGAGTTGCGCGATGATGTAGTGGCGGGGCTCGAAGGTCAAAGATCTGCTTGCTGGGAGCAGGGAAGGTGAGTGTCGAGTGGGGCAAAGAAGCTATTGGGCCAGATCATGCACTCTTATGAAGTCCACGGTGCTGACACTCGATGGCGAGACTCGCAGCACGACCCGCGCTGAGCCGACTACTTGATGCCTACTACAAAATAGCTCTCAGCTCAACATGCAGCGAAGGCAAGGGGGCGCACTAAAGGAAATCTCGGGATTGCACTTTCAGGTCCGCGGAGGTGCAAGGCAAAGCTCTGACGGCTGAGCAGCAACTCGACCTCGCGTGGACCTCAAGGAGAGAACAGAGCAAGTGGCCCATAAGCACGGTGTCTCCAGAGCCACCTTCAACACAGAAATACGACCTTTGCGATACTCTTTTGCGTGTTTTCGGCACCGTTTGTAATCTTCGGACCGTGACTGAGCGCAGACAATGGGAAAATTTAGCAGCGGTGGGCCGTTCGTTTCGCGGGCCGTGTCGATTTCGCCACAAACGTGCGACGTACCGCGAGTCGAGATCTCCGCGGAAGTCAGGCCGAGGTGGAGCGCAGACAGCGCCACAGCAGCACGCGACCACTAAATCGCTGTTAGCGCACCGCAGGCTCACCGTACTTGAGAGTCGCTCGTATTGCCGCGACTTTCTTCCATTTGGCGAGGGCCGGGCGTGCCTGACATGAGACACATCCTGGTCGTTGCACAGTCTCGATGCTTTTGCTGGAGGGCAACTGCACAGCGCTCTCAGCTTCATTGTCCATCGATCGCGGCTCAGATCGATCGCGTCTCAGAGCGCAGACCGACCGCTCGACGCGTACGACACTCCTCGACGTTTTTCAGAAAGCAAAGGAATGACATCACGATTGAATTGGTCCAGGTATGATATGACTCTGATTGATTAGATTGGATGATAGGCCCCTCGTATCTAGAAGGCACCCTGGTCATATGTTCGTAACCATTCGCAGCGTACTCGAAAGATGTTCGTGGATGCTTGGCATTTTCATGAGGCCTGCATGAGTTTGGGGGAATGAAATGCGTGATTCTGCGCTAGGTTCAGCACCCGATGAGTGGCAGGGACAAGGCGAATACTCACATCGCTGGCAGATAGCCACGCTTGTTTCTCGCAAAAGAATCATAGTTTTCTGAAGCAGACTGCTGCGGCGACAGCGGTCGAGATATCCACCACCTCGCCGCGGCGATCAACCCTTTGATCGGAAAAGAATGGATTTGTGTCAGTGCATGCAGCATCATAGGGCGGACCGCATCGACACTTGCCGGCACTCCGCATCAGCAAAACCGGAACTTTTGGGGTTGTGAAAGGCGTCGGTCAGCGGTGGAAGATTGGACGGATCTTAGGGGCCAAGCATCGATTCGTACTGACTCAAAACCATGGAATACATTGACCGTGGCGTCAGGCTGGGTGTTGCATGCACTCGTCCACGTATCCTCAGCCTCTTTTACGGAACCGGGCGGAGTGACTCCTGCACAGTCTGCTAGCAGCGCGACCTGACGCCAGGACACCCTGAGCGCAGCAGTACCGAGAGACAGCATGAGCATGCTTGCGAGGACAACAACCAAGGGGAGTCTCATTTTCTTTCGGAAGTATTGCTGATATGCTTCGCGCCAGATCTTGTGAAGAGTCAAGGTTTGATGAGGTATGCTTGAGACAAGTAAGCTGGAAGTTAGGAGGGTCGGACGTCTCGTTGGGGGACAGCTCCTTTTTTATGTATCTTTTGAGGGGCGCCAAAGACACAGCGAGAATTGCATGGCAGCGCTACCACAACCAGCCTCCGATCCCCGAGCGCGGGCCTTTTCGCGCTTGTGTTCTACAGGGATGATGGTGATTCATTGACAAGATGCACGCGGTACGTTTACATGCATGAGGCGCGCTCGCGACAGCCTCCTGTACGTCATCAACAACCTCAAAGCGACAGCTATGTTGGTGACTCGATGAACACATACGGGTCTCAACACGCTTTGATACGGGTGTCTCGCGAACGCAGACAACTTACGAATCACGAATATGCGCGGCGCGTTCTGATCATTTCGGAGTATGTCTTTCCGAGCAGGACCGCGGTGCCTGCATTGCACCTCTCAACACTATATACACCAACATGAGAAGACTAGCGCTGATGCTGTTTGCGTGCGATCCCTCGCCCACTCGAGAATTCGGAACTTAGCTGGTGCATGTATTGCGGCCCGCTATAGTAAATAGGCACTCACACCCGTTCTAGTCAAAAAGGTCTGCCCAAAGTGTGCTGCTGCGCGAGTTCGAGAATGATGCACCTTGATTCGGTGGACGCAAGTGTTCCTCGCGGCTGCGTACACTCACTCGTGACTTGCAACAGACTTAATGGAGGGGTCAATCCAAATGATAAGTGAAAAGTGTCTGCCTCCGCGCGGACGCAGGCCTGAATCAGCGAGCGCATAGAATATTCCCACGCGCATCAGACTTGGCGTCCGAGTGAGTGGCTTCCTGCGTCGTCCGCGAGGGTGTGCGCTCCGCGGAAGCAACAACCCGAAACAGCCGGCCCAGTCACGATTTAGGCGCAGCGCTCGGCAATTACTGAACGTCGTCCCGCCCTCCGCGGACGCGCCTGAAACGTGGAACCTGCATGCATGCCTTCGTGATTGTCATTCTTGGCCGGTGCAGACCGAGTGGCCCCTTCCCGGCTGTCGACAAAGCGTGTACTTGTTGCTGTACCGTCCGATGAGTATCGGCCGTGAAGTCCTCCGCGGAGGAAAATATGAAGGCGAAGCACCTGCCATGCTCCCTGAGCTGACGGTCTGCTGGGCCGCAAGCAGCCTCATTGCTCTTGCTCGAAGCCGCACCCTGCAAAGTCCAAGGCGCGAGGCAAGCCGACGGCTAGCACTCAGAGTCCAATGTCATGAAACGTGGTCTTTCAAACGTGCTGTGTATCAAGGCGACTGTTCTTGGGGTGAGGTATCCCGCATTCTAAGCTCATGGTCTTCGCGGCCCCCAGGACAGCAAGGCTGACACTTTCAAGGCGCGCTACAAAAGCGTCTTCAAGTCACGCCCTTCCACTGACTACAGTGCCCTTACATGGCGAACCTTCGTAAATTTTGCTGCAGAAGAAGCACGGGCAGCGTCAGAGATTCGTGTCGATCCGATGCGACAATCAGGTAGGGCAAAGAAAAATGATGGCGACTCACCTGCTTAGTGCACCCGCGCAAGTCATTAAATTACGGTCCAGCAGGCGTACGCCGCAGCATCGCGGTTTGCCTTCGCCTCGTTGCCTGCGCTACTTGCGCCAAGTTGTCGTCAGCGCATACGTAAAGTCGTCCAGATCGATGTAGAGTGACTCACGGGCAATTGACCGTTGCCGTTCCTTGATTTCTACGAGATGACACGAGGATGGATGAGCACAGCTAGTTTCAATGTAGAGTGGTCGTTCTGCGCAGCGGCTCACCCATCGCCCGTGAAGGTGGGAATTGCCTCGCTGAATTGTTGACGACATGCTTGCCACCACTGAGATAGAGCATCGCTGTCGTCCATGGGCGGTGCAAAGGTGGTTTGGCAGTTCGGGCGTCGCGAGTTGTATCTTACGCGGATCGATGCTGAAGCCGCAGATGCAAGCATCAGGAGGAGAGTCAGAAACAGAGGACTCAAAGAGCGTCGCATTCTGTCGTCTGTCATACGCTCGGTGTTGATGCGTGTCGAAGTCAAAGCATGTGAGTATCTCGAGCTGATGAGACCACAATTCGTCGGCCTGGTATTCCAGCTGACCTTTGTACTTCACCATGTGATGCGATGGCCGCTTCACGCGAAGCTTCCAAACATCAAAGCACGTCGGCCACTTAGAGACACATTTCCAAAATATCAATGCAAGTCGATTACTTGGAGATACCAATCAGAAACCTTCCTCCTCATCCTGCATTGAGTGGACTCAGAGTAGTTGCATTTGAGAAGATATTCATTGAGGACCTCAATGATAAAGTTTCCACGAGGGTCCCCATTTAGCCTTTGCACTCACCGTCAGCCTCGCATCTCTGGCGGGGAAAATCTCTTCTCACTCTGGCATGGGTAAGCTCGGCTCCGCGAGAATAATCTTTGAGTAGCCTCAGAGCGTGGTTTTTATTGAGTGCACGGTCCCCTTTCCTGCATGAGGCATCTGAGCGGTCAGAATAGCGCACAGGCCCCCTCTCTATGCATGTATATAAGTCTCTTCCAGTTCCTTGAGTCGAGCCCCCACTCGCTATGAATTCGATCTCTTCTCACAACAGTTTTGTGGGCCGAACTAGCTTGAGAGCCCGTTCAGGCGGGTAGACGCAAGACTTACGAATCCGAATGTCGACGGACGGCGGGCGGCGTTCTCTTTGAGGTCTGTGCTTATCTTGCCCCGCTGCGGTGCATTCTTGCAGAAATCGCGCTCTTCGGGAATCGAAATAGTCCAATGCCGTCAGGCGAAGCCACCACCTACGCTCTCACTCATTAGGCTACTGAATCGATCAAGGAAGCAAGCGCTGAGCAAGCCAACCTGCCAGACACCTTTTGCACGTCTTCGCGCACTCCTTCCCCTCAATTCTGACACCTGGAGCGCAGAACCAAAGCGCACAATTCATCGACGTAATTGTTCGGACGCAAAGCAGCTGGCAAGTGCCAAGCGTGGTCACATCGATAGATGAACATAAGGTGTGCCGAAGTTTCACATTGACTCGTCGCTCGGGTTTAAATTGGACCTAATTTGAGACGTAGAGCCGCGAATCGGAATTCTTCAATCAACCCCACCAACGCTTTGGAGCATGACCTCACTGATGCTGTACTTGATAAGGGACGCCGTCATCATTTCCCCTTGCTTTCGATAGCAAGCCACTCTCCGTAGGAGCCTGCCGACTGCAATCACCATGGAACCTCAGTCCAGCAAAGGTTTGCTGCCACAGTGGATGCCACGCTTATCCAATTGCCCAGATTGTCTTTTTTTGTGGAACTAGCAGGAACATGCAAAGACGAGGAAATGTCAGCCAGAGATGAGATGATCGACCATCTTTTGTAGGCAGGGTGAAGGCACAAAATAGCAAGGACTCACCGACAGTCTCCTTCAGCCATTGACCCACTGAAAATTGGGCAGGACTCGAACAAATCAGGGATCTAAACGACTTGACCCGAATGTTTTTCTCCGAGGAACACTTCGCTACTCACCCGCCATCGGAGAATAAGGGCTCTTCAGGAGGGTTTGGGACGACTTTTTTGCACGCCTCGTACCAAAGGGCTTTGGCGTCGTCAAAATCCCTTGGATTCTTGAAACTGTTGCAGCCTGGGCGCCCCTTGTGGTAGTCCACCACTGCAAATGCTAGAGTCGCGGGTAGTAGCATCAACAGTCCAGTCAGATGTATGAGCTTCGTCATTTTGATAGACTTCGGCGAGGTTTTCGTAGTCAAGTCTTGAGTTGAGACTGCAATGCGTTGGCCTCGGTATGTTGGACTTGCTCCGGAAGCTGTGAACTCTGGTTGCTGGAATCGCCCGCAAGGCGTGGGAAGACAAGGTCCGCCTTTTAAAGTTTTCAATTGTGCCTGCTGACAGCTCCTCGGACGCAACGATCCATAATGCACACAGCCTGCGTTACAGGGCACTTTGTCGACCGGTATATTGAACTTCAGCGCAGCCTGGATGTGTTGAGAGATTGTTCGAACCAGCATATGCAGCCTGAGTCTTACTCCGATGTGGCAAGCACCCTCGTCTCACAGCTCACGACAAAAACAACATGACCTGCAGAATGCCAGCCAATAGGCGGTGAGACAATCTAAGATTGCTCTCGCGAGATATGCCTGAGCCGAGCGAGGACGCAGCTGACTCAGAGACCAGTGATTAGTGGCGTCGTCCGCCGCAAGTCGCATTGATCCGCGCTGTTCAAGGACCTCATCAAAGGTGGCCGCGGCACGATTAACACATCAAGCCAGCGACGAAGAGAGTGATCTCTTGAGGCGGCCCCATACTTCTTACCGACAGCGTAGATGGTGGTATTGAAGGTAGAGGGTGACTCAGATGCATACATCGCTATCTGGATTCAAATTCAAGATTCACGATTCTGATTGGATGGATGCACGATGCACGTTTGCGTGGGCATCACGTGACAGCGGCTGTCACGATCAATTCTGAAGCATTCGATTATATCGTGTGACAAAATGCTTAGGAAGCGATTCTTCGTTCAATGCGAGGGCCTCGCTTGCAGCGTGCAGGAAGGATGTGTGACGCACGCGCCGCCGCGCACGCATGCATGTACGCTACCGCACTAACAGAGCGTCACTTGACTCAACACTATCACCATCAAGAGCCGCCAATGACGGCAAGACATATTCATCAAGCTCAAATAGGCTCATTCCACTGGATGAGGTCTAAATGTCAATGGTGATGTTGAAGAAAAGGGGAAGGGGGGCGGGAAGGAGGCAGGCCTCGGAGAGTAAGCAAGTTCAATCATGCTTTTTGGTGCTAGTCGAATAGCGTCATGGCATGTGCCGAAAACCGCTTATCGATGGCTCGAGCAGCTCATCTAGAGGGACTAAAGCTCAGTCCGAGCAACCAAAAGTGGTCAGGCAAGACCGGAATCGAGCTGCTTTGCAGCGCGAAAAGGAGCGCAGTTTTACACGATTCAAGCAATCGTGGGCCAGCATAGATAGTCGGCAAGGGATTGAGTCTTCCCATTGCTGTATGAACAAAAGTGACGTAGTCAGCGACAAGCCCAGTAGAGCTCAGACAACATCGGCGATGCATTCTGGTCGTCAAGATCACGTCTCGGACACACGACTTCCTCGACCTTACTCACGAGCACGACACATCAGCCGTAGATCCTCTGGGATTCGGGACTCGGTTGAGTCAGCAATGGGTCTGGCTGCGAGCAAAGAACATCGGCTGCGAGCAGAGAACATCGGATATACGCAGCAAGCATTGCCGCCTTTCAATCTTTCAGTTCGCTCGATACGTACCCCTTAGGAGTAAAAGTAGGGGTGCTCTCCCAAAGAACGTTGCAAAGCTCGTTCCAGTCTTTGGCGGCCGATTGATCATCGTAGGAGTTGTAAAGCAGGGTGCACCCACTCTTAGGCTGCGCCCACGTTACCGTCGTCGACGTCACAGCGGACGCAAACACGAGCAAGACGAGCAAACATTGACTGACGCCGTGGGCGACCATTTTGCTGTGAGGTAAAAGTTCTTAGTTGTCGGAGTAGGCAGAGGGTAGCGAAATGACTGTTGCGAGCGAAAGACGCAGCACTGGATGAGCGATCTGCTCTTGATGGGTGTCGAGGGTGGCACCTTATACCTTTCGTCGACTGCTACAGTGGTGTGCGAACATGGGCCTCATACTGTCATGGACTTTCTGCTTTGATCCTGCCGACCTCTCCTCCTCAGCCCCATCCCATTTGCGGCACCGTGGCCGCTCAAAGGCTTACGAGCCCGTCCGAGGTTACGAATAGTGTTTTCTTTTCAGCTTCGCTGCATGACTGCGTCTCCAGCGCTGACGCTCCTCCAGGTCAGTGCTGAACGTTGTGCTCAGCGGGCGGGACGTGTATGTATTCGCGCCAAGGTGATCATCGACCCAGGAGCGCTCGGTGTAATGAGCGCTTGCTTCTGCGCCAAATCACGAAAATTTGCACCTAAAATTTCGAGACTCAAGACTGAATGCGGTGCGGTGTGCTGGTCAGCACTCCGCGGAACACTCTCCGCGGCCACGCAGCTATGTATACATATAGATACATGTATATCAGCCCAGCTTGCATAGACCGATGGAGTGTTTGATTGCTGTATAACGATGTATCTGCGGCGACGCTCCAAGCGACGCGCGGTGTTCCCTTAATTACGACGAGACTGCATCGCTTCCGAGCATCACACGCGCAGATCGTACAAACGCGCGCGTGAACCCACTCATGACCATGACTGAGTATATATTTTTGATACTTGATTGCTACCGGTGTAGATAATAAATAACACATTTCAGACAGGAGACACACACTGCGCCAACGCGCCGCGCTGCGTACTCGCCCAGTATCCGGCACAGCGCGTCTGCGCCGTAAGGCACGGGCAGGCATTGGATGCCCGATTCCGCGCCGATCGTCTGAACGTGACTGGCGCTGCGCCTGCGTGGTTTTCTGTGAGCGCCGCGCGCGCGCTACCCGTTCGATTTACGCACAAAATTGACGCATTTCCGCAGACATATGTCCGTGCGCACCCCTCGTTTCGCATCCGTCACATACGATGTGGCGTACAGTCAAATTGCTCTCGTCACACTCGGCCGGCGCATTCAAGCTCTAAGCCATACTTGCGTTCGAAGTACGCCTAAAGCGTTGAGTTGTTCGGTCAAAACATGTGCAGAGAAGTCCGATTTCCTGGCGCGATTATAGAAGACGCAGAATATAAATGCGTCCGCGGGCGCGAGTGGCGGCTTACGCAGACCGCCTTGTCAGTCAAGAGTGTGCCGACTCCATTTACCGCGGTACTGATGCCCATACCGCCTGACGAGACGCGGACAGCAGCTGCACGCGAGAAGACGTATCCTCGACTGCCGACTTGAAAGGTCAACACATATCTTGATTGCCGTGACCTGGACCTCAGGCAGCCCCGCGTATCGACGAGGGGATAAAACACCTAGTGATTTGATTGAGCTTACATCGGCTCTGATTGACTTGGTGAGCACAGGATGGCGAGGGTGTTGGGAACGGAAGGTGCACGGGAAGGAGTGAGATTGCGACGGCACAGCCAGTGTCTACGACGACTTCGCGGCGGGTCTCTTGGGACTAGTTGAATAGCACCACATGTTGCTCGCACAGGGTTGGGAAAAGGTCTGCGGCACTTCAAAGCAGCCACAGATACATAGGCGTATGAAAGTCAGCATTCAGACGAAGCACGATCAATTCAGTGTCTGATTGAGACTGACCGATCTTATCAGATAGTCGGCCAACAAAGATAGTCGGCAACACCTGAGACATAATCTACGGCTTTTCCGTTGGCTTGCCTCTTGGTCGCGTCGCTGCGTCGTCAAGCGTGGACGTCGTCAGTGATGGTAAGGCGGGCTCCGGGCTCCACAATTTGCGCTCGTGAGCATCCATACGTTTTCACTCACAAGCAATACACATCGGCGGTCTTTCCTCTGTGTTTCAAGAAGACTGGGTCAGTGATCACTGTGATTACGCAAGGCATCGGCGAGACTGACTAAACAAATTCTTTTCTCCCTTCAGTCCGCCAAGCCTCGTTCCCTTGCTTGATTCGCACTCACCCTTGAGGATTGAACCCGAACACGCCCTTGTAGATGTCAGAGCAAGCTCCCACCCAGTCTTTCCTGGCGGCCTCATCGTCGAAAGGGGTGTTCAGCAGGTTGCAGCCCGCTTTAGGTTGCGCCCACGTCACTCTGGTCGACGTCACCGCGGACGCAAGCATGAGCAAGATGGATATGGAGACAATACTGCGCTTCAACATTGTGAACGATGGTACTGCACCAGAGAGCGTAGTGGGGTGGTTGTCGCGAGTGAGACGATGTAGGTTTTGGCTTGAGATGGGGCTCAAAATTGTGGCAGTTTATATGCCTTGAGCGGATTCCTACGGGCCAAATGGCCCCGTAGACCTGTGCCCCCAGTCTCTTTGCTGCCAAAAGCTTTCAGACGTCCTGCCAGCGTCCTAGAGTCCTCGGCCGAGGTATTCCTACTTCCTGTATTTGTGGTTGATCATCCCACGAGCACGAGGTCTGTTTCTCAGCTCATGTGGCTGCTCGAGAGGGCCCTCACTCGCCCCCTTTTTGTTGCCTTGGGCTGGTGGGGTCACGCGCAGCAGTAATCAGCCCTTGATATCGAGAGCGCCGGGTTCACTGGTCTCCTCAATCTACGGGAAAGATTAGCACTCCGAGTCCGTGACTGCGCTCTCCGCGGACAAGACCTGGACGCGCGCAGCCTCGTATGGGCATGCTTGCTCGCGGCTCCGTGCGCATACTTGCGGGCTCGGGCGAGAGCATGCATCTGACCCGTTGAGGCCTCCTACCACGCCTGAAACACACAAGAGATGATGATGGTATTGAAGAACGAGTGGATGTTCAGGGGTGCATGCATGTATGCGTGCGCGCACACGTGACAACCCCTATCAAAGAGAAATTTGCTCGGAGGGTCAAGGTGAAGCGCGAGTCTTGAGTACGTCGAATTCCATAAATTTGGGGGCGCGGGTACTGTATATGCTCTTCAATCACCCGACGAAGACGGCCTCGTTCTTTGCGAGCTCACTCGCGATTTGCCGATGTCTGACTACGACCTCCGCAGGTACCCACGATTGTGCTGAAGACTCACGATTCAAGCAAGAATGCTTTCAAGGCACATCCTGGGGGAGTCGAAGTGCAAAGGTTTCACATGAGACGCGAAGAGGTGTGTCAATTAGCGTAGCCAGGAAAAGTCCTTATATCTTCAGGAAATGTAGCGGAAAGCGCTCGAGAACGACGTATGCTCGTCAAGACCATTCTGTCAACCTGGCATGGAGCCGAATACCTCAAATATTGATCATTTCAAGAAAAGCGAGCAAAGACCTTTCGCGAAGTCAAGCACGCATTGATGACCCATACACGTTAGTCTGCGCTGACCTCCACCGCTATATGCAGCACAATCAGTGCGGCAGAATTAACCACAACAGCGGGGACCCCTTCCTTCTGTATGGCAGAGACGCATTCGCCAAGATCCTCCAGCGCCGCCAAGGAGATGATCCAGGCTGTCCTTTTGCACCCACTTCATTCAGAACGCCGGAATCTCATATCCGCGGACGCGACCTAATTTGTCGGCGGAGAGCTTCCCCTGTGATAAAGTGACCGAGCAGCAGGATAGAGGAGCCCCTTGACGACGTCAAGCTGAACCGTGCTTGTCACCGGCATATGGTTGGCTGGATCCAACGAAAGGGGCTTTTTCATTGGCGCACCTGTGAGCATAGATCTCGAAGAGCTGCGAGTGAATGGATCTCTCGCGACACTCTGACACGGCACGATTTCGAAGCTTCAAGGGCAGCTACAAATGGGCGCACCATTTCGCCTCTTCCTGAGGCCCACTTAGCAAGTAATTCTTCAAGCCTTGCGGGCCATCCACCAACTTGCTCACATCTCCAGACACGTACAGACGCGACAGCATGAAGAAATTCTCAACGTTTGGTCTCTTCCCCTTGCTCATTCTTGCATCTGCAACTTTGGCGATCCGAGTAAAGTGGGACCGGCAGCCCAACAGCTGCAAAGGTCCGGGCGTGCCCGCAAACGATGACGACGCTCATTCAAAGTGGGATAAATGCTGTGACAAGCATGTTTCCAATGCGATCAAGCAGTGGGAAAATGACGGGTGAGTCGTGAGGATAATGCAGAATTTCGCATTGGACAGAGGGGATTAGCAGCAGGTTCTCGTTGCGCTCGAGGAGCCCCAAGCATGCGTAACAACGAAGCTGATTTTGATCGGCTTCGAGCTACAGAGGACAGACAGCTACCGCGTATTGCTTGTAAGTGAGGTTCTTGCAGGAGCGATAGCATTGTCTAAGCCAACGATCTCGTTCTTGCCCGCATGACACTACAGCAACTCGCAGCAGCTTGATCCCGAAGGATATCCCATAAGCTATGGCCCAATCTGCGCAAAGGAATTGTGCTGGGTCGAGATCTGAGAAATTAAGGTCAGTAACTCATATGGCTGAAACATCCTGGCGTCCTCGTTGCTAGCTTCCGTTGACCCTCAGGTTTGCTGCAGATCCTTCAGCATGGCACGTGTGATGGAGACGCAGCGACGTAGTCATCCCTCGAGCGGCTTCTCAACCTGTGAATTGATGTTCCTTCCCCGCCTCCACAATGTGACGCAGATGCACAGCGGAAGCTGCCCTTAATGCGATACTTCACATCCGTGGCGCTGTTCATCTGGACTGACATCTCGATCTCGCTCGAGCTTGTGACGTGTGTGATGCAAAGTACGCGCCTACAGAGTGCGCTTTGTTCGTAAAGCACGCGCCTACAGAGTGCGCTTTGTTCGTAAAGCACGCGCCTGCGCAAGCACCTTGCCAGCACACAGGCGCCTCGTTCGGTGCAGCTGAGACTCACTGACGCACGACTGGAGGGAATCTAAGTCACAAGCGCGAACTTGTCATTTACCAAAGTCCACTCTGAGCCTGAAAGATTTCACACTTAGTGATCCACTCGAGTATAGCGGACCCGCGAGCAAATGACAGGGGCCGCACAAAGCTTGACTGCTCTGAAAGACGGTCCCTCTGGTCGACGATGTAGTGAATTAGACGGCGCGCAGGCATCCTTGTGCACTCATTGACTGGACGTGAAAAGGTTGAAAGCTCGTAAGTGGAATCATCAAGTCTGAAATGAGTGACTGATTGACGCACACACCAGAGTGAATGTGGATAGTTCTGCAGTCGGTGCAAGACTAGTCGTGTGCCCAGCAGAGCTGGTCAGCAATCCTACGAGCACCGCTGATCTCAGTAGGAATGCCGTTGATAGCCTCTACATATCTGTGATGGATTTTTGCGTCATTAACGTCATCTTCGAGCCTCGCTACGCTTACAGATCCGTAGGGCAGCCATCTCACTTGCATTCCACGGTAGCACTGACGCCACTGCCACTGCGGCTCAGAGTCAGCCGTTAGCAGTGAGTCAAGGAGCAGGTGATCGGAAGACTCACGAGATGGGTTGGAAGTCGGGCACGGCTGTATTGCTGTATGCACGACATTTATCTCCCCATACCGTCTTTGCCGTAAGTGCATTGATAGGCTGACTGTAGCCAGCACAATGTGCCTGCTTGAGTGTCCAATCCACAGTGCAGCCCGCAATGACTAGTCCAGCCAGGCTACTTATGAGCATCACTTGTATGAGCTTCATGCTGTAAGTTGAGATGTATGGTGTTTGCTTTGTGTCAGAAAGGATGAAGACGTAGAGAAACAAGCATTGGAGATGCACAAGATGACGACGCGCGCAAAAGGAACATATTTGCAGATCAGAGAGAGGATGAACTTGCGGGACACGCCGCGTAGACGGCCTCGTTGATGGCTTGCGTACAACCCCATCTCAGAGGTCCTCCCAGCTCAGCGATTTCGAAGTACGGCACGGTCCACCCGGAAATCGCGCCTGTATTCACCAACGAGCCGACGTGGCCTGAGCGACTTCGGTGTGCAGCACGGTTCCGCAGACACTGGCGCCTTGATTGGCCAACGGGCCGGGTCGATGTGACCTCCACGGTCACCAGACTATTCGAAACATCATTTTTGGACGTCTGCAACAAATTTGGACGGTTTTGATTTCCTGTTCGATTGGCCGCGCATGAGACGCGAATGTCTCGCTGTCTCGCTTTCTCACATCCTGAGCTGCTGTACGCGCAGGTAGAACGCTCCGCCCATACGTCTGAGAGGTCGAGCACCTGCACCCTTGCTTCACTTACAGCATTCACTTCTGGTCCACTCGAGGCGTTGCTGAGCTGTCGACTCATCGGCACGTAGCGCGTTTCGTATCACGCATTCATCCAAAAGGCTGTCGTATGAGCTCAGGTGCACGTTGCCGCATAACAACACAGGTATATGCGGTCGTCGTGCAGTCTACTTTTGTCTCCCATCATCATTCTCCTGCCTTCTTCTCTGGCTGGTTCGTTGAAGTGACCTTGGCTCCAATCCCCTTGTGCAGACCCTAGCTGCCGTTGACCCAACATAGGGCCCTGGCAACGTCGAAGGTGATGTCTGCAGTGCCAAGGTTAGACTGCAGCCTATCGGGCGACGAAAAAAAGGTCAATGTGGTCAGACATCAATGAATTTCTCTGGTCTGTTCAGTCCAGCAAGCTCCCGTGGTAAGCTTCCGTGGTGTTTGAATGTGACACCACGAGAGAATTTTTTGCCGTGCGCTACTTCAGATACTTACGTGCATGAGACTGTGGCAGAGCCAGCTCTGCAAGGGTCGTGGCAGCGTAAAGGCGGTCAGAAATCGAATTGAAAGGCCTCACTTTTCCTTGTGCCCTCGCATAGCTGTCCCTATCCCCGCACGCACTCTGTCCGAGGCACTCACGTGTTCGTCGGGGTGAAAGTAGGAACGGCAGTCCCAGCAGCCGATTTGCACTCAGTAGACCACTGTTGTGACGCCTCTTGAGAAGAGCCCGGATTTTTGTATTCGACGCACGGCCAGTGAATCTTGCTCCAAGTGACCGTCATGCCGGCCTGGGCTAGCTTGAACATGCACACGATGGCAACCGCATATAGCAGCCTCATGTCGATCTTTCCCAATTGCGCGGGGCTTTGATTGAAGAAGGTAAGACAGTAGCTTGAAGATGCTGTGCTTCGGTGAATTGGTCGGCAACACAAGTAGAACGGAAGAATGGAGTGGCCAAATCCACCCGTACTTATGGTTGTTGGTCGACGAATCGCTCCATTGCTGGCTTAGATGCACCGAAGACGGTGAATTCCAAATTTGGGTGCACTTACCTCTAAAGAGCCTACATTGCTGTTGGTCTAGTAGTAGTCTGCGCCAATGGTTTCCCCATGACTCTCCGAACGCACAGTGCTCGCGTGCCGTAATTTCCGCACGATGCGCTATTCGTGTCATCGTTGAGGGCCTGCGAAAGGCTAGCTTGTCATACAGCACTGAAGGCACTGCAACGCTCTTGCCGCCAAAACCGCTTGGAAATGTCCTCCTTGCCGATTGTCAGTTGAGCGCCGCAGACTTGTCGCTGTGTTGGCCTCAGACATTCGGAAGCCCGGAGCCGGGCGGAACGTTGGATACCAAGGTGTGACTTCTTCGAGTTTGTAGAGCAATCTCCACATCGAGTGTCAACAGACGGCGTGAATTGTCTGCATCGCTCGGCGCACTTGAACGGGAACCATTGCACTCCCCAGCCGTCTTCGTCTCTCCGGACCTGTGCGCACCTCCGCGGCTGCAGCGGTGATGCGCTACGTGTTCGTAACGTGTGGCCGCGACTCTTACGAGTGCTGGCTTGGTAATGCTTCGACGCAGAACCCACGGTAGAGTTCAGGTCAGATAGTCAAAAGTGCAACATCGAGGGGATGCGCCTCATTCATCTTCCTGCCGGGAGCCTCTGCTTATGGCTCGGTTTCTCGGATGGTTCCTCGGGTCAAATTGCTCTGCCACCAGTCAGGACTTGGCTGAAGGCGTTGACATGTCGGCATTGGACTTCGCGCCTCCCGACGCGATGTCGGGCGCACACAGCTGCTCTTTGAGGGTCCAATAACGATCGAAAGCTCCCCGAAAGAGCGGATGCGCGTCTGCAGGTGCGTCGACTGCTTTCCTATCTTCAGGTTTGCCGTATCCACCTCTCGGACTTTCAGAAAAGTGAAGGATGTGAGTCCTTTGGGCAAGCTGATCCACCGTTGCACCAGGCACGAAAGAGATTCGAGTGCCTGACTGTCTGAATCCGCCATTGAGGACGACGAATGAGGAAGGCAAAATTGCGGTCGTGTTGCGAAAGTACGAGTTGAGCAAGTCCATGTCGAAGCCCGGTTGCGTCCTGGAGAGCTGCAAGAGACCTTCAAAAGTGCTATTGCTAGGTTGCAAAACGAGCAATGTGGATTGAAAGAAGGTTTGCGGTAGCCAATAAGCTCTAGGCGCATACAAAGGCCATTCTTCCAGCTCGAACAAGTTGTCCAGGTTGCGTAGGATCAAAGCGTCGCTATCAAAGTATACTACGCGATCGTAGATTCCTTCGAGCTGAAAAATGCTCAATTTTGTAAGTGAGTGGGACCAAGTAGAGAAGGATGGGCGAGCGAGAAGGTCATGCCTGTGTACGACGACTCCGAGTTGTCCAAGTCTTTGCTGATACCGTCCGAGCGGCAAATTCGTTGGCACGGTCACCACTCGGTCGATATCTGTGCGTGGATGGGTCTGTAGAAGCGTGTCGTGTGCTATGAGCGTGTTGCAGAGTGCGTTCGCATCCGTGGCATACGTGACTTAGGCGTTGCGAGAGGAAATTGAAAGATTTACATGGTTCCCCCCCTCGTCTTTGGCGGATGACAAGGCCTCCAAGCCAGCTTTGGACGATATAGTCGACGAGTGCGTAGGGGATGGGATCCAAAAGACGTGCGCAGTGCTGATGACTGAGACGAGGGTAAGAGTGAAAATGACTGCGAGCGCCCGAGCCCCCCCCGCACATTCGGCTATGCCACCGACGTGTCTTGTTGTGCCTTTCTTCGACATCTTCATCGCCCAGCGGTTCGTAGCTAGCTGCGAGTAATTCGTGGGAGCGCTGCATATCTCGCGTTGACAGCCGCTGAAAAACGAGAGGCGGGGCTGATGTGAAGGAGCTGTGTATACGCATTACTCGCTTTTTGTTGCGGCGAACTCAAAGTGAGGGGGACTATTTGGCGTTTCTATACATATTCGTGTGCGAATCTCTGAACCGACCATAGTGCGCTGCCCAGTCGTCTTCGCTTCAACGAGCTGACGGCTTTGGTGGCCCAGCAATCCTTCTGAAACCAGCTCTTGACAAGGCACATGCCTGCCGCTTGTCTTTGCGCCTTTTCGCGAATGTATTGCACATTTGCTTCGGACAGTCCAAGCGCGGAGCCAGCCGAATTCCTCCCTTTCAAGACGCCCGCGAGTGTCTCGGGTCCTGTAGAGCTCGCAGGCATAGTCGAGCTATCCCGTTGTTCGTGACTGTGGCTTGCCGCAAGCAAAGCTGCGCAGGGCTGGCCTGAATAGAAGCATTGCTCCCGGAGACGTGTGACGACTGCTTCAATTTGAGCTATTTTCGTTACCTAGAGAGCAGGTCTCAGAGCGACATTTGACATGAATGGACTCTTCGACTGACGGAGAAGAGATGGATTGTTTTACGATGCTCGCGACTCGTCACACTGTGAGGCGAGACCTGCAGCCTTGAGTGCCTTACTGTCGTCTACAGTCGTGATTAGCAGCAAGTTTGATGATGTTAGTTGGTGCGCTGCGTGCACCCTGTCCCTGCGGTCTCGCGGACACGCGGACACGCGCGCCTCTCTATACATCCGGACCACCGGCGTCCATGCAAGACATCGGTCCAACTCTCTTCGACATTTACATACTCGAGACTACGGCCCATACTTCTTTGGTGGAAGCTGATGAGGCTGATAGATGTGCTTCGGACATTTCTTGCTTTGTCAAATTGCGGGATGAGCCTCCACGCTTCCGAGTACCGTACCGCGGTCGGACATCTACAAATCAGATGCAGGATCACCGATGCAGCCTTGGCGCTCTTGATCCACGAATCTGTGATTTGAGGTGTCTCTCTCCCTCTCCTGTGTATCCAGTGTCTTGCAAAAATTGCCCTCACGGCGCTGCGACAACGTTCGAGGAAGCGGATAGATGAGCCGTCCGCGTGATGCCTGCCATGTCTTAACGTCTCGCCTCCATTCGTGATTGCAACCACGAATGCTGCACCATCGACTGTCGCGAAAAGCAAGACTCGTCGCTGCACGCTCGAGAGGTGCCGGTCCCCACGCGCATCGCCAAGCGCGCACAAACGTTCCGCCGCGGGCTGAGCACAGCCACCAAATGTCGCCAAAAGCGGCCAATGGAATCTGCCACTTTTCTGCAGGCCGCACAGAGGAGACGAGTGAATAAAGCGGTTCATGGTCGGAGCGGAAAGGCTTGATCGATGCTAATCGAGCGGAAATCAAAAGCTCTCCTTAGCTGCTTGCACATGCACGTGTTCGGAAAAGACGGCACGCTCTAGACGTATCACGTGATGATTCCGTGGGCATCGTGGATTATCTTGTGACGTTTCGCCACTGGTGACTCCATGCTCCTTGAATTCAAGGGAATTGAAGATCAACAAAGCTTCCAAGAGTGATGAGCCACGGTCTCCAGTTGGTGAACGCGATATCTAGGTTAGACCATCGGGAACGGTTTGCAAGCTCGCAAGCCGCCGTATTCAGAGGCCCTACCACTTAATTCAGCCCTACCACTTTCGGCGGATGGTGCTCAAGCGACTGAACATCTTTCCTCGAATCCCGATAGGAGAAGCGACCTTCAGCGATTGATGATGTCTTGCTGCAGCGCAATTGGTCACGCCCTGGGCGTCAGAGTCGGTGACTGCACATTCTGGACAGCGAGCGTCTACACTGCCTGAGGCTGGCGTCGATTGACGGCTACCTCGTGGCTATCGTTTGATTGCACATACCTCCGACGATAAGTTCTTGCTGGGTTGCGTGTCTGAAGCCGACGCTGGCCGCTTCCAATTTTCCCCTGATACAAAGCTAGCCAGCCGGCAGAGGAAAGACTCCTCAAGACCATCTCCTATCTTGAGAGAAATGCTTCTACCAACCTTCGCCATCACGATGGCAAAAAGTGTTCTGCCCCTCGCGCATTGGTGCGTGATCTTCTTGTTGATGCAAAGTTCAGCCGTCCGTGCACTCGAAAAGACTTGAAAGCCGCACGCGCTGAAACGAGATCCAGCAGCGGCTCTCGACGTCAGCTACACTCGACCTCCAGAGAAATGCACGGGCTACTTTTGGCCTGCAGCGTCTTACAAGGATGCGGTAGAAATCTGGAAACAGTTCTGTCTGCCGTTCGATGCCAAAGCGGTTCCCTTCATCAAGGAAGACACAGAGGCAGAGGATGCCAAAAACGATGGAGCTTATGCGGAGGTTGACCGCTAGTGAGTGCACTCTTGTGCGAAGGAGCAGGCCGGCAGCTATACTCAGCTCTGATTTCTTGTCTGTTCGTTGCAAAGCCTGCCTAAGACAAGCATTTTGGTACGACAAACAAGCGCGCGAATTGATCTGCCGGGCTGAGTACTCTACGCTTAAAGATTGGTGAGCTAGCTCAAAGCGGACCGTCAGCTTGTTGTGATGATACGCCTGGCCAAATTTGACCCGAGTGCCGGTTGCAGAACGTTCCTGAACGACGACAATGAATCCAAGAGATGCTCACCAATTCAGGATTGCCGATCACTCTAGGCGCCCATATTTGCTCTGCGACGGGTGCAGCGTTCTCTGGGTGCAGCCGCACTCCTCGAGCAAACATGCCGAGCGTCAGGCTGCGTACATGTCGAAGGCCGTAGACGAAGATTGTCTGTTTCGGCTGGGCGTAATTAAGTGATTTGACTTGGCTGTTGTGCAGAGATCCATCCCGTTCGATCTCTATTGCGGTGCACTGCTCGATCGGGACGGCGATGTCCGGACTTGACACACACACAAATTGAGCAAGGCCTTGACGCCGCCCAGTCTGCGTGATTGGCACTTTGTCGTAGGGTGCTTGACACTCGCTGACAGTGGCGCACAAGTCTCTAGAGATAGCGGCGTGCTTCTATCATTTGAGAACTACAAAGAGCACACGGGTGCTCCTACTTGCTTCGCACCTTCCTCATCCGCTCGACTGCTCCACCGAACGTCGCCCAATCGCTCTTGTCAACATGCTTGCCACAATGCGTTCCTCTTTTGCGCGCTCGATGCTCTTCTGCGTCGCCCTAGCAACGGCACCAAGTCTTCTCGTGCAAGCTGCTTACCATTCCGACGACCTTCCGGGTCTTCCGGGGACACCCGGGTACGAAGACTATCCTAAAGGCCCTTGGAAGCCTTACCTGGCTCCTGGGGACCCCAATGCCGCAGTGACGGTAAGCTGGACACTCTCTCAGCTCGGTTGTCCTGGCACTTTTCAAAGCGCGTCGGACTTTGCCAGCGCCAACACCATGTGGCAAGAAGAGTGTCACAAGCTGGATCCGAGCGCTGTGGCATTCATTCGACAAGACAGCGAAGCTCAAAAGGTCAAGAACAATCCAACTTGGGCAAAGGTCGATTGCTAGTGAGTGTTTTCCAAGCGTCCTTTCAGCCGCTATCGTGTCCTCCTGAAGGGCAACGTAGCACTCGTCCGTTCCAAATTGCCCATGCTGAGATGTCCTATACTTACAATGCATCCGATGCGTCTTGCAGTATCGGCGACCCTAACACCGGTACGTCCATCGACGCCGACGTGCTTTATAAAATCTGCTGGGCCTACTACTTCTGGTAGTACGCGTAGAGAATCGCAAGGTAAGGAGTGCGAAGGTCCTTCTGATATTTGTACCGAGTGCTGACGGGTGGATCCCCACATTTGGTTCGCAATGATGGCGTCACCTCGGAAAGGTACATCCGTCAAGAAGTTCCTTGCCGATTCGTGTGAGCTTCGCCTTGCAGGCCAATTGCAGGCCCTGACATGACGCGTGTCATCTAAGAGTCTGATCGCGCATGATGTGTTCGAGCGCGCGACCTCCAGCGAGCGCATATTCAAACCGCACACCGTCGTCGACTTTGTGCCATTCTGACATGCAGTGCCAACGAAAACGCTGTTCCAACGCTGTTCTCTGCCCACAATATTCTCTGCCCACAATAGAGTGAGCAGTGCGCCGACATTGTCAATGCTAGGCGCGAAGGTTCCTATGCTGAGACCAATGCCCAAGGAAGCGTGAAGCCGCCGCGTATTCCTTTATTACTGTACCTGCGATTGGCTGCGCGTCTTGACTTGCTGGTAGATGTCGGTGTCCTCGCGACCGCAAGCTGGCGCCAAATGAGCGTTTGGAAGCGGCGGTGGCGGTCGATCGTCGGCCGCCAAATGTCAGTCTGGCCCGTCTTGGCCCGTGTTACAATGGCTCATTTGTGAGGTTGTCGATGCATGCCGCTGATGAGTGTCTACCGATGGCCGACACGCAGGAGCCGATTCTCGAGACTGCTGCAGCTCTTATTGTGCTTCCAGAATTTTCTTTTCAACTAGGGTGAGCCTCGAGTACCGTGCTTGGCGCTGCTTCATTTGCGCAGACGTTGCCTTTGGGACGAGGTGACCTGACTTTCCGCCGCACGAGTCCCTAGAAGCGTTTCTTTGTTCACGTAGGAGAAGCGCGTATATAAGGGCCTTCGATCTGGTCAGTGATCAGCTTGGTCTGGATTCCCTCCACACAAACAACCTCGCATCCTCAAATTCTCGCGACGATTGTCCCAGCTAAACTCACAAAAGTTAGCTTTTCATCATGCGAGGCTCTTGTTTGCGCTCGGTATTGTTCCTGGTCGTCTCGATCACGACCAAAAGCCTCTTCGTTCAGGCTTCTGGTATGGGCATGGGCGAAGAACCCGTCGAGCCTTGGAAGCCCTCTCTGCAAGATGGAGATCCCATCAACGCTTTGACCGTCAGCTATGTCCGCGGGGAAGAATACTGCCCAGGAAAGTATCGAGGCGCCTCTAATTTTGCCGCAGCTCGGGCACTCTGGGCGGCTACCTGCACCAAGATCAATGCTCAGGCAAAGCCTTTCTTCAGGCAGGATTACGAAGCTAGTAGGCACAAAGATGGGCCATGGGCAAAGGCCGATTGCTCGTGAGTATTGCCCCTGCACCTGAACTGCCGATTGCTTTGCTTTGCTTTGCTTTCGAGAAGTCTCGCCTCGACGCTCTGTAATGTTGACGTCCATCACGCATCCCGCCTTGTATTTCAAAAATGCTTCGTAGCGTCGGCAATCCCGACGACGGCGATTCCTTCAACAACGATATCCTCGACACTATCTGCTGGGAAACGTACTCGTGGAAGTGAAGCGCTGCACAGTGGCATGTGAGTGACGCCGACCGCGTGCGCAGTCTTGAATGTCGGCTGACTTGTTTAGCGCATCGACCTAGGACGCCACGCAGCGCAGCGCCTCTTCCCAGGTCCATCGCTTCGCAACAAGAGCCTGCGCGACCCAAGCCGAGTTTTCTTTGGCGTCTACGAGTGCCTTGCACGATTCTTTTCGCGCTTCTTCGAAATGTTCACATGCTCTTTCATGCCCATCTCGAGGGTTTCCATCCAGATTCTTGTCAAGTTCCCTCTCGTTTCGCGATCAAGTGTTCCAATCTCGCGATGCTGAACCAAAAGCACATTGCAACTTCATCTAATGTCGACGCTTCCAAAATCTCTCCTCCTGGCCCTTGCAAGAGCCTCTGTCCTGTAGCCATTCAGGTCGAGACCGACATCTTGAGCTTCTCTACTCGGCGCCGTACGCCTCTGATTCTGGCCGATCACGAAATTTCCTCGTGCGCCTTTTTGCTCCACACTCGTCTCATCATCTTCATCCGTCTGACTCTGCTCCTGCTCTTCGTCATCCACCAAGCTCTCCAGATCCCCATCTCGAATCTCGTGCCTATCCAGCAGATCAAGCGCCTCTTTTGCTCTATCCCTCAACCTCCTTCTATCCAAAGACTGAGCATTCATAGCTCTCCTTTTCGCATCCGAAGTGGTGGATGTGGAAGTAGCGAGGTGCGGCTCTCCGCCCCGAAGCTGATCATACGTTCTGCTCGACTCTACCATGTTCGAAAAGCCTGAACTGCGAAAGCCCATGCCTGTATCTTGACCCGTGCGCAGGGATCGGAGGCTAGTAGTCGAAGTCGAGTGATCGCCCGATCTGGATGAGATTCTGGTAGAAGTTGAAGCTGGTCCCCACACTTTAAGCCCTCGCACGTGCGTGTCTTTGCCGTTCAGATGACACTGCTGAATGCACACCTGCAGCAGGTAAGCTTGTATGGGCTGTCGAAGCACGATATGATGGTGAGCAACGCACAAGCTGAATTGAGTCGGTCCCTCTCACTATCAGAATCGACCAGCCGTCGTCCTTCCACAATCCTTTCGTCCCAAAGGGTACTCACCTCTGGTCGATTCGCTCGAATCTCACTCGGCAGATTCCGTCCTCTCCAGCTCTTTTCTTCTCGCTCCTCTCGGCTTGCACCACCTCCACCTTTCTGAGCTTTCTCCTTCCTCACCACAGCATCTAGCTGCGCATCCTCCTTCTCATCGTCCGTCTCTTCGCTGTGCGTCGCAGAAGGCTTGGACAAGGCAAAGTGATACCAGCCTACCGGCTTGTCCAGTGTTCTGATGAAGAGATCAGACAGTGCGATGGAAAAGGCGAAAATGCGGATGCGAGACGACGAGAAGCACAATCGAAGTGAGCTTGCGACCTGAAATGGGGGGGAGGTGTGATGCGCTTCGGACTCACCGAGTACGAACGTCGACTAGATCGTGGTAGTGCGTACCAGCCCTGATAAGGATCTTGCTAGGCGTATAGCTGTCGTCCAGCGAGTGATTCAGGTGCAAAGAGATGTGCTGCGATGCGATGCGATGCGATGCGATGCCGCCGCATACGCGCATACTGTTCAGCGCTCTAACCAGTGGCGGCGAGCACACGACTCGATGTGCCACTATTTGCAGACTCACGGTGAGCATAGTGCTCTTTGAGAATTGGATATTGATGAGATGAGGTTGCGTGCCGTCGGAGCTAAAGGGCATTGGCGCAGCAAGCAGGCGACGAGCATTCAAACGATGCCACATGTTGCAGCGAGTGGTTCACACAGCGCGCGCGCCCCCCCAACGCAACTCACTGCCAGCTCGTCTCCACATCATCGTTCCTCAGGGCTTGCACGCCGCATCCAGGCTTGTAAGAGGACAAGCTCCACATCGTGCCAGCTTGACATCCCACCTCTTTCTTCTCCGACGTGTCTTGGGGATACGGAGCATCAGCGAAGCACTATATTGTCATATTGCCCTTGCTCACCACATCCAGCTCCTCCAAGACTCACTCTGGACGTCATAGTAGCCCATGTTGGAATGTGCTGGCGCTCGTGTGCTTCCTTTGAGGCTAGCTCTCAGTTGGAGATGCTCAGAGCTTCGAGCTTCGAGCTTCACTCGGGCTTTCCTCTTGAGCACAGCAGACACGTGTCAACAAACGGCCACCCTGACATTGCAGACGTTGTCTGATCGCGTGACTGATTTTGAGTTGCCGCAAGGTACCTCTATCTAGGCGTCTTCAGTTCGAAGCTGAAAGCAGAAAAGCGTGCGTGATGGTGGGAGTAGGGAGCGTAGGACGAGAGCGGTGTGCGTGCGTGCGTGCGTGCGTGCGTGCGTGCGTGCGTGCGTGCGTGCGTGCATAGGATGCTCCACAACGGCGCACGCCGCACGCGCGCACACGCGCGTGCAACGCGGGATGCTCAGGTCACGTGGGCCTCATCACCTGACTGACCCGCCGGCCCAGATCCGAAGTTGAGTCAAGCCACAGTCACGAGTCAAAAGTGCTCCACGTATGGGCCATGTACTCGTGACTCACGCCTGTACGCAGTAGTCACGAGCGGTGAGTGGAGCAGAAGGCAGGAATCAAGAATCACGAATGCAAGAATGGCGTGGTGCGCAACTTGCATACCAAACGCTCCATATAGGATCACAGCATATATGCGGCTGAAAGATCTCATGATCAGGACGTGACTCTTGACTTGAAGCTCGTGAATGCGAATGCTTGCCTCGTGACACGACTCATCAACACCCGCTCGAGAGTCTCGAGTCTCACTGCATACACCAGCGACCATCTCGCCAAGCTCATCCTTGCCAGACCCTCCCCGCACCACCCCTTCTCCTTCTCCCTCTCTCTCCCTCTCACGGCGCACACACCCACACACTGCCCATTGATATCATGTCCGGTGCATCGCTACTGACCCGTCTCAACTCCACGCTGACCACTCGCAAATCGGAATTGGAGAGCAGGAGCAAAGAACCTGGGCTCAAGAATGATCTCATCATTCGTGCTGCTCGTGGCGAGGAGACGGAGAGGGCTCCGGTCTGGGTGATGAGGCAAGCAGGAAGATATCTGCCCGGTGAGTTGCATTCTCCTGCCCATTGGCCCCGCTGGATTTGGGCATGCTCCATCGTATGCTTATGCTGCTTCTTCTTTCTCTCCTTCTCCACTGCACTGGCCGCCGCACCGCCCGCGCAAGAGTTTCGAGCGTTGAGGGAAAAGCACGAATTCTTCGAGTGTTGCAGGACTCCAGAGTTGGCCGCAGAGATTACGCTGCAGCCCATTCGTCGCTACTCGGGTCTCTTGGACGCGGCCATCATCTTTTCCGACATTCTAGTCATTCCTCAAGCCATGGGATTAGAGGTGGAGATGCTGCCAGCACGCGGACCTCACTTTCCCAATCCTCTCAACGAACCATCGGACATGTCTCGTTTGAGCAAAAAGGTGGATGTGCAAAAGGAGTTGGGTTACGTCTATGAGGCTATCAAGTTGACCAAACAGGGATTGGATGGCGAAGTGCCGCTGATCGGATTTTGTGGGGCGCCTTGGACTCTCATGGCTTACATGGTCGAAGGTGGTGGAAGCAAGACTTTCGAAAAGGCCAAGAGATGGCTCTTCAAGTATCCAGAGGAGAGCAAAGAATTGTTGCAAAGAGTCGCCGACCTCTGCGTCGAGTTCTTGGTCGGTCAAGTCAAAGCTGGTGCTCAGGTGAGTGGGGGTAGTAGGAGGGAGAGCACCAAAGACGCCTCTCATGTATGCTCATGTGCGCTTTTTGCCGCACGCCTCGTCGATGTTGCATCGCATCGTAGTTGGTGCAGGTCTTTGATTCCTGGGCCGGCGAGCTCTCTCCGCACGATTTCAGGACCTTTTCGCTCCCCTATCTCAAGTACATAGCATCCGGCGTTCGAGATTCCCTCTCGTGCACATCCTGCAAATCCGTCCCCATGATCGTCTTTGCCAAAGGAGCATTGGGTCATTCTTTGCCCGATATTGCCAAAGCTGGGTACGATGTCGTGGGACTGGATTGGACCGTGGAGCCGGCTGTGGCTAGACACATCGTCCAACAAGCTGCGCCTGGCGTCGTCTTTAACAAGAAGGCGGCGGGCGCAGAGGCGGGCCATCGGTGAGTGGACCATCTTGCAAGCGCAGAGCGAACGCTGCATCGCATCAGGACTTTGTGCGCTTCCGAGAAGCGCATGCTGATCGTATTGCGACAAACACCTTGTTGATACCCCGAATGCCGAATGGCGCAGTGTCGCTCTGCAAGGCAACATGGACCCCGCAGTGCTCTATGCTGGTAAAACGGCCATCGAGAGAGAAGTGGAGAGGCTGTGCAGGGCCAAGAAGGGCGGCTTTGGAGGATCGGGCGCTTGGATTGCCAACTTGGGTCATGGAATCACACCTGGTGAGTTTGCTCTTTCACTCAGAGGCGCTAGCCTGAAGCATGCATGCGACAGAGCAGCTCCTGGTCTGGGTTTCGAGTCTCGACGCGAATGCTGTCATCCTCGTGTGAGATGGATCCCGCTGGGATGTCGGCTATTCTCGCTCGGCTTGGCTCCATCTCATCTCCAACACAGCCATCAAGCGCGATCCTACTAAATCTACACAGCCGGGGCAAAGGCACTGACACGTCCTCACGCCTTCCCTTCATTTCGCCAGGCGTCGACCCGGAAATGCTGGGTCATTTTCTCAAGACGCTCAAGCGCGTATCTAGCGAGGTGGCGGGTGCCAAGGATGAAGAGTAAAGGGCATTGCTTTTGCCCTGCAGCGGAGGGAGAAATCGTTGAGCTGTTTGTCACAGAGATTTTACAGTTGCTCCTGGTGCGTCGGGAACGAGGAGATCGACCACGAACGAAAGGCGGTACGAGTGTGAAAGGACGATCGCCTTGCGCCTTGGCGCAGTGTCGGCAATAGCGGATGGTGCCAGCACAGGACGTCTCGGCCGTCGAGGAGCGCGGTTCACAGATTGGCTTGGGGTCAAATTCCCTCGAATACAATTGATCGGAGCATTTGCAAATTCGAGTGATCCGTGAGCAGCGCGAAGTACCTGCATGACTGATGTGCAAGTGAGGCCTCCTTGTCTATGCTTCGGAGTTGGGGGCTTGTCGATCGCTCGAGATGAAAGTCGAACGCTCTTTGAAGCTTGTGAGTAGCTACGCGACCGTGCAGATGTCTAGAAGACGAGCCCATCTCAACGAGCGTCGAGAGACTTAGGCGTGTTGCGCGTCTTCATGAACAAGATTGACGCGCATCGGATGGGCAGATCAGGCGGATGTGTACATCGCCACGCACGGAATGAGTCTAAGTTTACCCCAAGCTCGACATCAATTTCTAGGGGGGGGGGGGGAGAGGGGGAAAGAAATGCTGTTGACACCGTCAGCAATAAGCCAGTAAGACGCGAGACCATTCCACAACGTGCAGAAAGAGGGGGGGGGCGGCGCTGTGATTTTCTAATTTGAACTTGCAAGAAGAAATCAAACCTCGGCATGGGAGGAGAAACGAGCGCGTTGGGCGCCTTGCCATCGCATCACTTCTCAGTCTCCTCATCGAGCCGTTGACACTTTGCAGCCTCGGAATGGGGTCATGTGGGCGCGTACGCATTCCCAGCAGATTTTTCGCTTCGAGGCTTCCCTTTTCTGCGCGTAGCTTCGCACCGGCCTTGGCATCACCAACGGCAGAGAGAGAGAGAGAGCGCGCACGCACGCACGAGAAGCGCGAGCGAGCGAGCAAGGGAGCTCGCACAAAGCCATTTTTGCGGAACATCTGTTGCCAGCTTGCAATGCTTTCACTCGTCCGAACTCCCCTCAGTCGCTAGCACTCGCACTCGACTATAAGCCCTCCCGCGCACGCTGCCCTTTCTTCCCTCCAATCGGAGCGAGCGAAGCGCCATCCATCGCCGTTTCCCATTGACGCTCTTGCAGATGTTCGCTCTCAAACTTGCGCAGTCGCTTCGTAAGTGGCGGCGATGTGAGCCTTGCCTGGACAGTCGACTAGCATAGCTCACCGTCATTGCGGCGTTTGAATGTGCGAGGCGCGCAAGCATGACGTGAGCAGTCCTTTCGAACGCTCATCTTCGCAGACCTCATAGACCTGCAACGATTGGCCCATGACTCCGGTGATGCAGAAGCAGAAGAACATGATCCATGGCATTCTCTACGATCCTTTACCAGTCGGACATGGAGTGCTGCGCACAAGGCTCAAGCGAGGCTGATCTCTTCGCGCAAAGGCGAGAGAGACAAGCTTGCTAGGCTAAGAAACAGACTGCCAGTCACGCATCGTTTTGTAAGGAGATCATCTCATTTTTTGGTGTCATCGAGTCGTTCGACATCAGGGTAAAACGGGCAAATCGCAGGTGACGTTTCGGATCTATATGCAGGTGAAAGCGGAGCGGAGCTGGGGTGGGGGAAGATGTACATGATTTGACCAGAGAAGATCGATGCGGTGAAGAACAATTGGCGAGCAGGCAGGCAAGCCTTGTGCAGGGCGACCCCCTCAGACACGGCCGAACTGAGGAGCGTTGAGGATGATGCCCATGGGGATACCACCGAGCAGACCAGCGATGGGAATGGTGACGACCCAAGAGAGGAAGAGGAGACCGACACGTTGCCAGTTGACAGCTTGGAGCTTGCCGTTCATGAGACCGACACCGACGGTGGCACCAGTGATGCACATGCTGGTGCTGACTGGCAGCTTGTACTGAGAGAAGATGACGATGGTGATGGCGGCTGCGAGCTCCATGGAAGTTCCACGAGAAGGACTGTGGTAGGTCAATTTGGAACCCATGACCCGCATGATGTTGTATCCGTAGGTGACGAAACCAAGGACCAAGACGAGGGCGAGCACGGCAATCTGCCAGAGGGGAACTGGAAGCTTGGATGCGGCTGCATCTCCAGTGGACCATGCAGAGTAGATGACAGCCCAAGGAGCAACAGCGTTACCGACATCGTTGGCACCGTGAGCGAAAGACGCGGTGCATGCGGTGATCAGTTGGATGAAGCTGTAAGTGTGCTCGACCTCGTTGGGGTACTTGGTAGCTGCATTGTAGACCTTCTCCATGCGGGCGCCTTCGGGTGTTCCGGCCGTTCCCATCTGAGCAGCGTGAATGTCGTAGTTCATACCGTACAGAGCGCCAACGACGATCATGGCGGGAATGCGCCTGACCGCAGTTACCAGGTTGTGCCTCTCGTAGATCATGCCGGCACCCATGGGGTTGTTGTGCAAGAATCGCATGGCCCATGCCAGAGGTCCCTTGCCGGCGCGCAGCTTGGCGTGGAAGCGCTCGGTGGCCTCAGCCTCGAGCTCCTTGTACGACTTCTGAGGAGCGACGAGCTCGTTGACAGCGGGGCTGGAGTTTTCATCGATGGCGATCTTCTCGTCATTGTAAGCACCAGAGTGACCGTCGACGGAAGAGGTAGCAGACTCGTCGCCGTGTTGGACGACGGCGTAGTTGGGGACGTTGGCAGCGGCGGCTTCCGAAGCGTGCGAGGGGCGGCTCCACAGGAGAGGGCCCTTGATGACTTCCCAAGCCTTGAGCTCCTGGTCCTTCTTGATGACCTTGGCGTGGAGCCATGGGACAAAGAACAGACCGGCAAGGAAGAAAAGACCAAAGCCAACGCCGAGAGTGACCGAGGCGATGAACCAGGGTGGACGAGCGTTGAGCTTGAGGTTGGGAGAACCCTTGTAGACGATGGAGAGAGCGCACACGGTACCAGCGACGAGGAAGAAGAATGGCGACGTGTAGACGGCCCATGGGACTGGGTTGCGGCGGATGTGCACGGTGAACTTGATCAGGGAAAAGATGATCATGCCGAAGACTGCTGAGGCAAAGGGAGCCATCGCAAGACCGGAGAAGATGGCACCAAGACCAGAGCCATTGTTCCAACCCCATTGCTGTGTGCGTAGGAGCGATAGAGACGTGAGCGAAAGTACGCTGCCTGCTGCGCTCGAGACTGTGTACTCACAACGTTGCGAGCACCAGCAGTGGCAACACCGACACCAGCGACAGCCGAGATCAAAGAGTAGGTTGAGGAGACGTGAGCAGAGTGACGAGTGCACCACATGACCCAGGTGGAGGCACCAGCAAGAGCACAAGTGAAAGCGAGCATCTGAACACCGGCATTGCCCTGGAAGGCAGCGTTGGGAATGATGCCGTTCTTGATGGTGTCGGCGGTACGAGCACCCACTGTCAGAGCTCCGAGAAGCTCAAAGACCAAGGCGCAGACCATTGCAGCTCTGTACGAGATACTGCGACTGGAGACCGAAGTAGCCCAAGCGTTGGCAACATCGTTGGCACCATTGTTGAAGGCATCCAACATAGCAAAGAAGGTGCCGATGACGAACACATAGGTGTATTGAGTGAGGACTGGCATCTTGACTATAGGGTAGGGTGAGATGTAGTCGAGAGTGAGAGCCAGGAGGGGAGGTGGAAGCTGAGTTGGGCTTATCGAGCGGGGAGGAAGGTGAATCAAGGAATGAGGATGCCGCTTCTTAAGGCTTTCAGATGGCAACAGATGCTTGCTACACGCGATCGAAGAAGATGCTGAGACTGACTGATCTTGGTATCGTCCGAACTGCCATTCTGCCAATCTGCAACACCAACAGCAGCCACACCTATGTCGCCACACTTTGAAGATGTGTGCCTGAAAGCGCCGTTGGCTCTGCACGTCTTCGAGAGCGCGACCGCTGCGGTATCGGCGCTCGCAAGAGCTGTCCCCCCGAGCTCGATCAGTTCCCCGATGGCGTTCATTTTGCGAACGTGTACACTCGTACAGATGTCCACGAGCAAGGTCTGGATTTCCTGGTATCACCTCGATCTGCACGTCCAGGTTGTAGAAGCAAGTCTTTCATGTTTCGGACCTGCGGCACGGAAGAGCGGGCGGTTGCGGCTTTCGTCTGGTGGACCGGATTGTAAGTCGGCGGCTGCCTCTGTGCACCTAGTAGTCGCATCGCACCGTGTCTGCAAATGCAGCGAAAGCCCGAAGACGAGGAACCAATTTCGGTACACTCGCATTGTGGCGCTTGCGGGGAGAAGCACTCTATAGGCAGACCACCTTGCCAAGACATGCGGCCTCCTGCAAGGTTCGAACGCCGCAAGAAGAATCCATCCGGGGCCCGCCGTATACTGAGCCGGTGAAGGGGGGGCTTGCGCTTGACGCATTGGTCACTGTCAATGGCATCTTTAGCGTACCTGTACGATGTTTGAGTAGGGCGAACCGTTTTGGCGTCCCTACCTCGTGCCCAAATCTTCTTGGCGAGAGTTGGCGGAGTCTGGACTCTTTGCAGCGCTAAACATGCGCTAAATGAGCTGACACACTTTTGTAGCTGTCACAACCGAAATTAGAAGGTCTTCGGAGGTCGGGTCTCTTTCAACATGTGGACGTTTACTTCAAACTCAGCCTAATCGCTTGCGGCCTAACACAAGACCATCAATAAGGTATCCTCCGGGGGCTGCAAAGGTGCTGCAGAAGCCATTCCGCGACGGAAGCTGGTGCTCGGCTCCGGTCGCCAAAGAGAGCTGTGCAGCTCAGAGCGTACTCTCCAGTCAGTCCTTTCCTCTCGGAGACAGCCGACTTGCGAGCTGAAATGCCACAGCGGCTGTGGTCGAGTCAATTCACAGCGACTCTTTCCTTCACGAAGCACTCGCTGGCGCAGCGGTACATCTTCCTGACGATGTTGCAGTGTCGTGTGAGGAAGGCCGTAGGAGCTTGAAAAGGTGCGTTGATCAGTCTGCGCGTCAAGCACCAGGGCACGTTCTGCTAGCTTGGCGCGCGAAGATGCGCGTCCGAAAGCGTGGGAGCAAAGCTGGGATGCACAGCGCGGCAGCAGGGCAGGTCATCGTGGTAAAGCAGCAAGAGCGTCAACGAGGCGCCAATCGTGATTGCGACCCTCACGCCTCTCGAGACATTTGACCAACAGCTCATGCAAGAGCGAACGTGCGCTCGACGCCTCTTCCATTGGCGGAGTCTGGAATGCTAGATCGAGCGGACCTGCATGCAGCGTGCAGTTCTTGGCATCCGCGAAAGCGCGACGCGTGGAGGGGGGACGCTTGCTCGTCGCAGAGCATGTGCTTTCACCATTCTTTTTCGTTATCCCCATCCAAATTGCTCAGGGCTACGAGCAGACGGCGTGATGGGTCAGTCTGTCACGTGTCAAAGACGTAGGGATAGGCTGCGATGGATGCGATGACCCAACGAACAATGAGCATTGTAGCGTACGCTGGGGTCTTGGATGGCCGTTACGTTACATTCCGAGCTTGAAGCTACTCTTTGCGAGCACGCGTGTATGTACGAACATTGACAGTCTCAAATGTGAGGTTCAGCCCAGGACACGCGGATGCTCAGAAGTGCTCGCCACTGTCACACTCCGAGAAGCGATCACGGCTGAATGAAGGGGGCCGGAACGCCAAGAAGAGCGGAGCTTCAGGCACGTGTCAAAGTACAGCCTGTACCACAAGTCGAGAGGCATATTCTTGATTGGCCACTGTTTAATATCGACGATTCGACCGTGTATTACGACCAAGGGCCCCCGTCACCCTGCTGGCGCCGTGTTGGTGAGTGTTGGTCAGGTTGCGCGCTGCTTGTATTGATGATACACCCGTCCACTACTCGCAAAATTGAGAATCACATTACAGCAGTGATGTGGTGCACGGTTGAGACGAAATTGACAAGAGACGACTTTCGAGTGTGTTCTAATTTACAACATTGAGGTCTCGTCCGGCTCGATACCAGTGCCGAGCAATTTTGTTCCGCTAGCGTGAGGGATAGTGTCGTGCAAGGTCGACCAAGCCGCAGGCTACGAATTCCCGAAGGTCCAGCCCCTAGGTCCCGATTTGTGGCAACATCTATACCTGACAGCTTACGAATGGCCCAATACGAGTCTGCTCAGTAAGCTGTCGGATCACCCTTGATCCAGATGACTTGTGCACGTGCTGTTGCCACCAATGTACCTTTATCTTGACACGAGGGGGCCGAATTGTGGCGATTAGGCCTAGCCCTCCATAGTCAAGAGCCTCAATCTAGACGAGCCGGTCGAACATTGCCGACGTTACCTGCAGTCACGAGTGTTAATCATCCCACGTCCGTGCACGAAATTGAGATAGCCTCGATTGGTGTCCACCTTAGCGTCAAAATCGAGCCACGCACAGGACTCCAATATTCGACAGCTCTGAAAAATTGGAGTGTAGCTTGACCGTCAAAGCACAGCCGGAGCATCTTCTGAACTTTCGTTGGAACTCTAGGCTGATCGATTGAGAATCCGACGGACAGGCAGACCAACGTCAGTGACACGTGTGAGCTTTGCAGCGGTCATCTCGCCTAATCCGTTGCAACACTTCAAATTGACCAAGCGCGAGATCTCAAAGACGAAAAGCGGACTAGCACTCACGCTAAATTTTTCCTCGTCATGTCAATTGCCTCACGCCACCGTCGCGATCGATCAGTGCGATGCGTCGGCCCTTCTCTTCAAAGCGGCCTCGATCGTCTCGATCGTGAGTGGCGACAAGCGCGATCAACGACAAACCTCGCTTCGATCTCACCCACTGAACTCGGATCGAGCAACGAGCGGTCCCTCAGAATGTCCTCTTGGACTCTGAAGTGCACGTGGCCCTCACGAAAGCTGCACGTTCGACTCGGTTATTCAGCTCTCGAGACTGTCCTACGGTCCCCACGACCAACGACGATGCGGCTCTTCAAAGTCATTCCGTCAGAGTCCGCCGCTGGAAATGCCCAGCCGTTCGCTCGCGAAGCGCCCATGTGAGCGTCTTACAGAGGTATGAATGAATTGCAGCAGACGGGGCGAAGAAGGGCGGATGCCGCCATGATCACTCGAATAGGCAAGATGAAATGGAGGATCAGGGCGGTTCAGGGAGAGGGCTGAGCGGGAGCGTTTGAAGTCATTCGGATGCCAGAGCCATGCTGCGCGTAGCCACGCCTGGCGTCATCACTATCAACACGGGCAGGCCATCCACTTTCTCATCCTTCAAAACGCATCAGCGTCCCTAATCTTCGCCGCAACACCTTTGGCTTTCCCACCTGGCATTTTGCGTCCCGTGTTGGGTCCCCTTTTACTCTTGCCATGATGCTTCAACTCCTTTCTCTGCCTTCTCTCCCTCTCCGCCGCAATCCTGAGCTGAATCAATCGATCATCTCCCTCTTTCAGCGCCTTTTCTGCTGCCCCCCGAGAAGGCAGCGGAGCGTCGCGTGCGGAAGCTGGTCCGGAATGAGTAGATGCGGCATGATGATTACCTGGGCGCCTTTGACGTGGTCGACGAGACATGCTCGGAATGTCCGGCCCTTGCATATCGGGGGGCCTGTCTTCGAGAACGGCTGTCCGACGTCCATAAGGATTCTCATCTTCTCCTTCCTGGTCTTCGTCGTCTGTCTCCGAAGTTTGCTCCCTTTGATCTTCATCCTCACTCTGATCCGCGCCTTCGCCTGGAGCTCCTTCGTCTTTGACGTTCAATCGAGACATGTACTGCGGCATGACGGGGATGAAAAGGTAAGTGATTATGTCGCGTTGTGGCGTCGTCCCGAAGATGTCCTGCGACATATTTGGACAATATCCAATCATCGGCAACCCACCTCTTCCAGCTCCCGGCTCTTGATGAGTCCTGCAAGACCGCTCGCATCCGTGATGACATCCAGCATCAGGTCGTCCTCATCTTCCGCTGGCATTGCACCACCATTACCGTCCTCGACATTTGAATTCTGCTTCGAAGCTCTCTCTCGCTCCTTCTGAGCTCGCCTGAACGCTCTGTCGGACGAGACGTAATCGCCGAATTTTGGACAGTCCTCTCGCGATACTTGATATCTGAACCTCTTGTGAAAGAACCGAATGACGCAATCGATGTCGCGATCGAAGAAGCTGGCAGATAGCAACGGAGACGTCTTAGCTGGGCGTATTCGGTGCTCCCAGACAAGTCTCGAACGGCGCTTACAATTCGGCATTCAGATGCTCAACGGACACCATCTGAGGAAAGTCGATGAGGACAGCGGAGAGCGTCGTGCCATCTTGCAAGTGTATCTCAGTCTCGTCTATTTCTTCTCCCGAACCATCCAAGTCCGAGTCTTCATCTCCGGCATCTTGCTTCTCATGCTCATCATTCTCCCCGCAGGCACGTCCGTTCGCCTCAGACGGAGTGTGAGATGCGTTTCGCGATACAATCCTTTCAAACCCGTTTCCCTTCTCCACCACCCCGTCCGCTGTCACACTCTCTTCTCGCTCATCGCGTAGCCTCTCGTTCTTCGTCTCTTCTCTGTACGTTGTGTTCTCCGCATCCACCTCATCCTCAGACTGCTTTTCCAAGACCAAAAGATTGTACTCGTTAAAGTCTCCATGGACCAGTCCTGCCTTGGCCAATCTGACAATGAGATTCATCAGCTGATCGAAGAGCAAAGGAATGGCTTCTTGTGGCAGCGTCGCGATTTGGCGCAGTGGATAGGCGGGGATGCGCGTCATCAGGACGGCGTGACGTGAGTAGGCCAAAGGTCGAGGCACAGGGAATGAATGAGCGTAGAGCGCCTACGAGATCGAGTAGTGAAGTCGAGCGTCAGCGGCGTGAATGACACCGGCGTGCATTCAGCTTGTGTGTCTGTGTCAAGTCCTTTGCCGCACTTGCGCGTCATCATGCCTTGGTCCCCAACGAGCCTCCCCCACCCCCACCCCCTCGCTCATCTACAGCACGTTAACTCACATTCATGAATTCCCACTCCTTCTTGGCAGCCAACTTGGAGAGGTACATCCAGCTCGCATTCTGCCGCTTGCCGAGATAGTCCCTCTTCTCCTTTACAGCTCTGAAAGATATCCTGCCCAATCGGTGGATCTTGAGGATAGCTTCTGGATGATCTTCGAACGATGTCGAGACGCTGTAGATGTCTGCAATGCAACGTCAAAGGAGGAATGTATGCTCAGTCGCGACAGGATCCGGTATTTGATGCTCTGCTTGCCTACCCACCACTCTCTTTTCCCACGCCTACTCTTGGTCCTGTACCCTCGAGGCCCTTTTCCCTCAGCGCTTTCACAGCCAACCAATCCGCCCCCCCATAAGTGATCCTGAAGCCATCATAGCTCGCATTCTTCACCCTAGCCACGAGATTACGCTTGGCTAGTCCGCCTGCTATCCTAGCCAATGACGAAGAGTTGAGGGATCCGACGGCAGATGAGAGAGCAGAGGTGGGAACTACTTCATAGTGAGCCGAGAGCGTCTCGAATGCTCGAAGCACGCGCCATTCGTCCGACGTCAGATAACGCAAATCGGTCGCGTCAAGCTTCATGGTGGCGTGTATGCTACGTTGCAATGCAGCTGCGCGTGTAGTGGACGGCCCACCTGCTTTCTGATCGACCTGTTGTAGTTGCACGTAGCAGGTGAGAGTAAGATGGTATCCGCTGCCGCTGCAGCTAATCGTGGATGCTGCAAATTTGGATTTCGGCGGATGCGGAGAACGCGCTTTTTTTGCACCGCCACTCACGTGACCGTGGGATATGCGTCACGGGGCTTCTGCAGACCTCGAACCGCGAGGACCCGTGAATCAAGAAATTTAATCGGTGGTACTGATCACTTGTCGAGACAAACCCAGGGGGTCGATTTGTCTCGTCGAGCTTGCATCAGATTGAGTCGTACATAGCAGTCAAAATCTCTCGAGATTCGTCTCTGTGACTCCCTCGACTCTGACGCGGCATAATATGCAGCAAAGATTCGACATTACACATTGCAGTCGAGTGCAAAGGGGCACCGCTAGCGACGAGTGAGAGGGTAAACAGAAGCGGAAGCTACCAAGAGCGATACAGCAGCGCTATGCTACAGTGTGGGACCATTCCTCCTTTTGCAAAAGATTTGCAGATCTGATCATCAGCTCTACCTGCAGATCGAGCTCTGACCAACCGTCTTGCATCTTCTGCACAAAGCTCTTCACTTGCGCATCCTTCTCGAGCCCCAGTCCAGCTTTGACGAAGATCTCTGACCAGTCGATCAGTCTGTCCATGATGAATTGGCGGGCGGCTTCGTCTGGACATCGACGAGCATGTGCTGTCAGATGCTGCATAAGACTCAGACGCGCATTCCATCCATTCTTGTCCGTGCCATGGTCAAACAAATGTCCAGCATGGCCCGTCTGGAATTCGAACAGCTTGAACGCGCGGCGAAAGGCTGCTGCTCCCGCATAGCCCCGCGCGACCTTGACGAAGCGCTCAAAGAGGTCGATTGTCGTTGCAGCTTGTTCCGAGATGCTGACGCAGCCCAACAAACTCCACTCCATAGCGTAGATTGCCGCATGCAACTCTAGATCGAGCTTGGTTGAGGTCGAGTTGCGAGCAGCCTCTTGCGTTTGCGAGAGGATGCACCGGGCGGCTATGAGCACCTCTGCGCGCTCGGCAGGTCTGGCGAGGTGCAGATGCACAAGCTCCCGCACGATTGTGATCAGCGTATCTCTCTCGCTTTGCTCAATGTAGGAACCCGCGGTCTGCACGAGCAGATGGATGAGTCTATCCGAGGCGCTGGAAGAAGCTCCTCTAAGCGTCTCGTCTTCCAAAGTGGAGCGCAAAGCTCGGCAGATCGTTTGCACCATCGCTGCTCTCATCCATCGTCTGCTGTTCACACCCCTCAGACGTTCCAGACCATGCTTTTCTTCTGCTGACAGGTCCTCGTCCTTGATCCGATCGACTTGCCGCTGCATCGTGCGGATGCACCTGCTTGCTTGACACAGCAAGCCCAAGAAGGCCTCTGCTCCGTCGCCTCCTGCTCGAGCGATCGCCGCAATTAGATGCGGGCTTGCGCCTTGATTGAGCGCTTCTATGGGTGTTTTGTAGACTCTCAGGATATGCTGGAGTTCACTCGACGAATCTCGATGTATCAACGGTACCAGCTCTGCTTGATGCGCTTCTGAAATTGCTTCGAGCGATGGCAGATACATGGTGCTATTATAATGTACGATTGCGCGGTCGCTCAAATCCAGCTGAGACCGTGTCGCGTTGCAGAAAAGACTTGTGATCTCTTTTTGTTGGTCGGGTGGACAAGGCTGAACGTTGAAGGTCTTGTCAAAGAGACCGCTCCGATGCTCCATCGGCTGGCGTCGAATGAGCAATGCAACCAAAACGCTAGATCGCTCCAATGCAATACCCTTGAGTGACAATTGCACAAAGAGGTTTGCCACAAGCAAGTAGACGTCTATGTGTGGCATCATCTCCAACACAAGGAGCGCAAAGTCGATCGTGTCGTCCGGATCGAAGATGCCCGAGTCGCGCGCTCGCTCGACCAACGCTTTGGCTGTGCTGACCTTGACGGGAGGCGGAGCACTCTTGTCCTTTTCGCTCAGCCGATGGGGTTGCATCGCATGTTGGCAAGCCTTGTAGAGCGTCAGCATCCACCCTCTTGCCACTTGGCGGCGTAACTTCTTCAAAATGGAAAGGTTGAGGCACAGGCTTCGGTGCCATGCCGAAAGATCCGTATCGAGCAAGATGGCCTTGGACTCGGGCAACAAGAGTGCGGGGTTCGAAGCCCGGGCTAGAATGGCTAGCATTTTGAGCTTGAGTATAGGCACGAGGGTCTCGTAGGAATTTGTGAATTTGCTCGCTGCGAAGAGGACCTGCTCCACTTCGATATGTCCCAGAGCAAGCATCTCTTCCAAATCTTCTTGCCAATTCCCTCCCTGCTTCACGTCCATATCATCCTCCGTTTCAGATGCAGCTACAAAGAGCTCCGAGCCCAATCGCGTAGCGTCCTGCCACTGCTGCCGTACCTCGGGATCGTCCGAAGCATGCACGTGGAATCGTATGAGATCCGTCAATCTCGACAGGCTTTGAGCCGAAGTACGATATCTTGGTCTTCTTGCGTCTAGCCAAAGATCACGTGCGCGGACTCGCAGAGTGGTGAAGACCTGGGGGTCGATCTCGAGCTCGTCGACATAGAGCTGTCTGGCGCTATAACGACCCAGTATAGGATGCAGCGCTGTTCGTAGCAAGCCACTTTGCAGGGCCAAGCTACAAAGAGGGTGTATGACGCGACAAATGATGATTCAGTAAGAGCACGCGAGCGGCACGAGAAGGCAAATTTTTCGAACTCACAGACTGATAAGGCGGCCTTTTTGACCCGACGTACCGTGCTCCCACCTCCAACGAATCTCTTGCGCATTCGTCTCCTCGCTCAAGCCCCACTTCCAAAGCCTCACTTCGGCCTGCTCATCGACCACTTCGGTGTCCCCTCCATCAGCATTTTCGAGAGCCGCAGAGGCATTGGCGTACTGACGAGCGAAAGTGTGGAGCGACATGAAGTTCTCACGGGGCTCCACGATCCTAGTGACCAGCGTCCGAAATACTGATGGATTCTTCTGAGACCGTATGAAAGCCATTCGATTAGAGCTGCACATGTTCCATTCCTTCTTGGTCAGGCGATCAAGCCAATTGCCAATCAGAGGCAGACGAGCAGCATCGTGAGGCGTCACTGTGACGCCACGACAGTGTCGCTAGCCACGAAGCAAGATACGGTTTCAATTTTCGTGCTCTTTCATCCATACGCATTCTGTGGACGAAGAATGTGACTTACCATGGACTTGTCGACGTTTTGCAAAGGTGCGAGCAACCCATCCAAAATCATCGCATCATCACCTTCCAGCACGGCCTCGATGCGTCTCTTGAGTACTTCCGAGAGGAAGTGTGCCCAAACCATCGTCTCTTGCTCATTAAAATCCGGCTCTTTCTGCCGAGAAGCAGCATATGCGACGATTTTATCCAGGCACGCATCTCCAATAACCGGGAAGATGATCGCCAATCCTTCGCTGAGACCTCCAGGAACGTGGATGACAGAGTTCAGAGCCACTCTGGCATCTGCATCTCGCCTGCATCGATCCAACAAGGCTCCAAAAGTCTTGGGCACCATTTCTGCATCCCCAGAGACGAGGGCCAAGCACAATGCGACGACGCAGTAATGTCCTCTTCGTTCGCCCGATTTGGCCCTCTTCACGAGCAACTCTTCAATATAGGCATGATGCTTTGCACCTCGAAGAAAAGACTCGACGATGGCTTTGCCAGCTCTCAAAGCTGGGTCCTTCTCAGCGTAGGTCCCTTCTCGTTTTGCTACTTCACTCCATGGCTCGTCCGAGGCGCTCCAAGCAGCCGTGATGACGAGTCGTGCACAGCTCAGAACGAATAGTCGTTTAGCTCGAAGAGAGAGTTGGTCCAGCCTCGTGACTCTCGTCCGTCCGGGAGTGATTCGCTTTGGAGCCCATGATCCTGCGCATCTCACGGGCCACGTATCACCTTTGCTCTGCAAGGCCTCGACCAGCTCCAGCGCATGCGCGGTGTCCAACATGCTCAAAAGACCAAGTCTCACCATCGTCTCTTCGTCCACGCTTTTCAACAGGTCTTGCCACGTCGCCTCGGGACCTCTGTTCAGTATGGCAATGAGGCGCGGTCTCAATGGTCGAGGAAACCGTAGCAGACGATCTTCGGTCAAGTTCTTCAGGTAAGGTGAGGATGGAGTGCTAGGAAGACACTCGAGCAGCCTAGAAGCAGCTGATGCATCTCCTGCTTCATCCCGCGCAAATAGCAGCTTGATGACACGAACGGCACGCTTGAGCAGGGTGTTGCTGAGCGAACCTTTGGTCTGCGAGACTGCAGTATCCCGGGAAAGACTTGAAGCGAAGTAGGCATTGCAAAGGTCCAGTTGATGTTTTGTTGTGCCTTGACGTTGGGAGCCGACAGCTTTGAGTATCGTGTCTACGCTCAACTGGTCCACCTTTGCTTCCGGAACCTGACCCTTGATGAGCCTCATCGTGAACGCAAGACCTATGGATGCATTTTCGCTCCCGAAAGAACTTGGCGCGACGCACGCTCTGGCTATCAATTTTTGACGAAGTGATGCCCTCTCTGGAGTGCGCCTAGAATCCGTGGACTCGATCCATCTTGTGAGTGCGTGCGGCTGAGCTTCGACGAGCAGATCCAAGCAGTTCTGATCCAATCTGAGCAAGATCTCATCGTCAAGTGTCCATAGCAGGTTCTCAATCGACGAAGCGGTGCAAACGGGTAAGAGCTTGCGGAGCGCATCAACTTGAAGCACGTCCTGTGCTAGGCGGACGACGAGGAGCTCGATGGCTGGGACCCTACTGTCTTCAGCCCGATGGACTGCATACTTGATCTTTGAAAGACCCTTGACGAGGAGAGATGCAGATCTTGCGCTCAGTCCTCGATACAAGGCGAACAGCAAAGACTCGTGGGGATCAAGTGCGAGTCGAGCAGCAATGCCACGCATCAGATCCTCAGCTTGATCGCGCTTCTTCCAGATGTCAACAAAGGTCTTTACTGCCGCCTCATCCACGCGCGAATCCAGTGCCCTTTTCCTGTAGACGAGTAGCGCATCTAAGCACCAATCCACTTGCTTGAAAGCGCGCAGGCAGAAAGCCACGCCGCTTGCTGAAGAGATCCTAAGGAGAAGGTCATCGAAGAGAAGCGGACTGTGCCCTGAGATGTTGTTGAGATTTTTGGTGTAGCGCACGAGTACTTGATGCCTCTGGTGAAGCGTCACGTGGGCCAAGTCTTCTTTCAGTCGCACATCCATGACGGCGAATCCAATGGAGGGAGCTTGGTGGATTTGGGACAAAGTTCTTGGAAATTGCACGGGGAGCAATCAGTACCGGAAGCTGTTTCTCTTTGTAATTCACTGGCGCCCAATCCTTGGCCAGCTTGTGCAAACGTTGGTGCTAGTTGACGTCAAAGTCGAGTCACTTGCTCTCAGAAATTGCCACAAGACGAAGTTTCCTACATCCCGAGCCCCTTCTTGCAGCCTTTCCAACAATAAAAGAGGGGCGCGACTCGGCTTGCTGGCTGAAGCACGGCTTAGCGTGGATGTGAACAGGATGAGCGAAGCGCTGAGCGGTGCTGAGCAAGCCCCGCCCTTCGAGTCATCCAGACAGAGCACGCAGGCACCGCGCACCGCCACTTTGCGGGCAAATCAAACCCGATCACAAGACTCAAAACTTGAATAAGCCGAGATCGGGCGCTCATGCTGCAGCAAGTTGGGTAGCAGTACACTCAACTACTCACACTCGTGACTACTTATGCGAGAACGGCACGATTCGCGCCCGTGACTCAAGACTGCCGGTGACTCGCCATCCAAATGCGCGCTGGATGCGTGGTTGCATGTGCCGCACCCTCACAGTGCCGAACCGCCGCACGCATAGGGCCCGCCGTGATGATGATGATCATGAAGGACACTCGTCGATGCTCGATCCGGACGCACTCAGACTAGGTGCCTGCATCATCCAGCACTCAAACTTGTAATTACTCGGCCATTCACGAATCTCGCAGGCGACGTGACCCGTGACTCGAGCCGTCGAAAAGCGGGAGGGATGAGAGCCTCCTGCGCGCGTGGGTGCGTGTCGTCAGCGCGGTCAGGGAGGTCACGTGTTTGTCAAAAAGTCTCGTGCGATAGATGTGTGCCCGCGCGCATAGCTTGGAATTTTCGTGTGTGCATGGCACGCGCGCGACCCAGTCTCGGGCGCTGCATGTTGCTCCACGTCTTCGTACCTTTCCCACCTTCCTCAAAGCCCCATGGCCCCGTCACATCACTCGTGAAATCCTCTTTGCGACTCCAGCACATGATCCATCGACATCGCCCCGGACCAACGACCATCTTTGCTGCGCATACACTGGAAGCGCCGCGCAAGGTTGTAAAAGCCAAAGCTATCCAAAGCCCATCTTGACCTGCCACCCAAGCCTTGCACTTCTGCTGCGATCCATTCTCGTCCTGACCTCTGAAACCGCACGCAAACGCCAAGCCCGACAGCCTCGCCAAAGATGCGTCTCTTGACTCACAATCTGCTGGCCTGTCACGCCAAATCCTGCGTATCCACCTCCAACAATTTCCCACTCTCTTTCAAAGAAGTCCAGCTGGAACTGATCGAGGCTGATTTCAACGAGCCTTTCTTACGAGGATTTCTGAACAAGGTGGACTGGAATGCGTTGGTTGTCGCTTCGAGACAGGTGAGTTCCGCAGGCTGGCTGGCATGCATGCGGAGATTGACCTGGCGACTGGAGTTGCAAATGAGCGAATAGCGCTTGGATGACTCAATTGCGCTGCACTTTGCAATGCTTCTCTTGCATGGTAGTTGGGCGATGCGAGCTTGCCTGAAAAAGGTCCGGATCCGACGGACCCAATGATCGACGGGGAGACGCTCAAGGCGCTGCACCACGTGCTGCTTGAGGTGAGTGAACCTACGGTGAGGGTTGCGGGCGCATGTATGCGGTGGCACAGGGCACATGAGCAGAATGATGAGAAAGATCAATACAAAAATTAATATCAACTAGAAGCTGTTGCTGAGCCTTTTGCGGCAATGCTTATAAAAAATCTCTCTGACAAGCTCGAGTGGTTGCGGGAGGCGCGAAAGAAAGCATAGGGGGCGTGTTGAGATGGTGGTGCTCACCGATCCATCCCTCATTCTCGTACAGATCCACGTCATCGAGGGCCAAATGGTGTGTCCCAACTGCGCCCACATCTTTCAGATCAGGAATGGCATTCCAAACATGGTGAGCGCGAGCGCGAAGTGTTAAGACTAGCAGTCGTCGGATCAGCATCGAGGCGCTTCATGACAAGTGCTGCGCACTTCTGACATACCAAACCCTTCAACTCTCGTCCCCTCGCAGCTTCTAGCAGAGCATGAAGTTCCCAAGTGATCCCGCACACATCTGCCTATTCTCGATGAACACGAGGCATGCGAAGATCATTCAAACTCAGGAGAAAGGCATCGCGCACGTCGTACCGAGCCCGAATTCGGAAGCAGGCGATGGAACGAGGAACGACGTCGTGGCATCCACGATTTGCACGCGCCTCTCAACCCCTTGACGGGCCGCAGACAGGCCCTGAAGGGACATATTCAAAGCTCTTCGCGGCGCAAACGCGTCAACAAATAGCAAGGCAGTCTGACCTAACCTCGCTTCTCGCAGCGCGAGCTGCGGGGAGGCAGGCGTGGTCCGGCTTCTCGTCCAGTTGACGATTCTCAACAATGTTGCGCACGCCCCGATACGAGCTCATACCTGCCAGTCAGATTGTGTGATCATGGGAAAAAAGTCACAGTGAGCAGTCTGGATCTGGCCATCACTCTAGGACTTTGCAAATCCCCAGATCGGGGCGCAAGCAAGAAGGCGCGCACGAGCGAAGCACTTTGTGCGGACTTCGAGCTCCGCACGACCGAGCCATGTCGTCAATCGGCTCGATAGATATGCACATGTACGATAGATGCGCGCGCTGAGGAGAAGGTCCCATCCCATACCAAATCAACTCGTCAGACCACGCTCGAGAGTGTTGCGAGGAAGCGTGGTCTAATTTTCTAGGCGTCAAGCAAGGACCTCCCCCCACCCCCCTTCCCGGTAACAGTGGTAAGGTTAATGACTTGGCTCGGTCTGGGAGGCGAGTGAGACGAGCACAGCTTCAATAACGGCCTGGCGTAAGCAGACGAATCAGATTGGGGGGCATGCGTGTGTTTTACAGAAAATGCGAAAATGCGAAAAGTCAAATGTTGGACAGTAGTCGCTTGCGCGTGAATCAAGATGGGGGAAACGCGGTAGAGGTGTGCCCGCTCCCTTTTTTTTTTTTTTAGGAAACGATATGTTTGAGGTGATTGGTGTATCGACTAGTCAAGTCCGCACCCAACGCGCCGCCCGCTCTAAACTCTTTCAAAATCTGGCGCGCGGTCCAAAATCGAACGAGAAATGAGAAGAAAAGGGCGGCAAAAAGAAGTGAGGGTGTGGAAAGAGTTAAAGGTCAGCAAAGATTGGTCCGGAGAGCGGAGAGGAAGGGGGGGGGGGGGGGGGGGGGGGGGGCGACAAGGTCTTTTGGACATGCCCTTGAGACCTTTTCCGCCTGGCCGTCTTCATGGCGGCTGGCAGCGGCTACGAGCTTGGGAGCTCAGGAATTTTCAATTGCAAGGCGGAACCAACGTCTAGCGGCACTCACCCGAGCAACAAGATCCTCGACTTGCGCCGCTGCTGCGTGCCCCTCGCACCCTCCTCTTATCCAATTCCACGCGCATCCTCCCAGCACCTGCGCAATGCACGCATCGTTTCGCTCCTTGTCCTGCAGGAGCGCAAAGCGGGACCATTTGTGCAGGTTGTGCAGGAGATCCAACAGCTTCTCCAGGACGATGCGTCTTGCCTGTGCTCGTGCGGATTCGGGAGCGTCGCCGGAGCGGAGGTGGGATTGAAGAGGCGCGCCTGCGCTTGGAGAAGGAATTGGCGCGACGGATGACCAAGTGGCATCCTGAAAGACCTCTATTTGTCTTCTGCACATCTCAAAGATCAGACCGATGAAGGACTGCGCGGTCAAAGGCGTAAAGGAGGGGGGGTAACGAAGAGTTCCGGTGAGCCACAGCGCACAAAAGGCGGGCACGTGCGTCCCGCACGTCCAAGCCATTCGACGCTCACTTGAAATTGGACACCTTTCCAATCCAACACAAAGGACATTTGGTCCACGATGTGCAGTAGGCTATCCGTCTGGCGCTTATCCCAAACATTCATCGCTCCACCCTGGACCAGTCTGACGAGCTTCGCAAGCAGCGCGCTGCTGAGCAGCGTAGCGATGGCTTCTTCATCGCCACCCACAGGTTCATCTGTCCATCTCTCCACAAAGCTCGACAAATTTCGATGCCAAGCAAATTCGGACAGATCCGCGACGTTCCTTCTTGCCTTCCATTTCGCCTCCGTCGAGGCGGAGGTGGAAGGAAGCGCTGATTCAGATGAAGATGCAAAAGGATCCCATGCGCACATTTCCATCCTGCTCCAAAAATTCCAAATGTCCGCAAGGGCCAGACCTCCCCAAGCCACATTATACTCTTCCGTATACTCTCCTCTCCACTTTTCGAATCGGCCGTGCACGCTATCTTCATCGTCGCGTGCCCCTTGCGCTTCCGCTTGGTCGATGGAGCAAGGGTACCTGAACACGCTGGAGTGTACGTCCGAAAGCAGGTTTTCGACGCTCGATTGGACTTCTTGAAGCGTTTGCTGCGCCTCTTGATCCGATGCGCCCAGCACATCCCCTCCGCTCACATGTGCAGGCGTTTCGAAGTCCATCGGGCGGACGTCTTGATCGCTGGACTCTGATACGTCAGGATCCAAAGAGGCTGTGGGCGGTCCGTGAAACAAGGCCAGACTATTGAACAGCACCTGCAAAGTCTGTCGCTTAGCTCTTTGCGTTCTATGCACCAAAGCATCTTCTCCCTGCCTCTCGAGCCAATCCAGCATTTCGCCCTGTGCAATAAGCGCGGTGAGACGATCCAGTAAGCAATCAGCTCTGGGCTGATCAAGCTCCGCGCAATGCGCGCTTCTTCACCCTCCATCAACTCACCTTCTCCTCGAACAGTACCGCCAGTGCAATAACGAATTCCTCGAGCGTCTTGAAGAATTGCAACTTCTCATGCGCCTCTTTCACGCTCCCCCTACTCTCCTCTTCCTCCTCTTTCAATCCTTGCAGGCCTCTATTAGCTTGCTCCTTGACGTTCCTGTGCGACGTCTCCATTTCCTCGAGCGCGAGTAGACGCGATGCGAGTGTGCTGGTGGTCGTGCCAGATTTGGGAAGAGGCGTGACTTGGGGAATGGGCGCGGGTTGATAAGGCTATCGCGCAAGTGGAGGGCAAGAAAAAGTTGGCTGATCAGCCAATCTAGCTCGGTGATCCCGTATCGCACGCAAACATGCACTCACTCTTCCATTCTTCTTCTTTCCCCTCTCCACATTCTCATCACCCAATCCCAGTCCCATCCTCTTCAATTGAGCTTTCTCCCACTCATCATCGCTCTCCAGCTGATCCTCTTTGCCGCCATTTTGCGTGGCAACGTCCTCCTTCGCATAAGTCCTCGAGACCGCCTCTCTTCTAATCTCCCTCTTTCGTCTCTCCTCTTCCCTCCTCTCCTTCTTACCAATCAAAAACTTCTCCTCCTCCTCCATCTCCAAATCCGTGTGACCGCGAGTCCGACTGGATGCAGGTCCCATTTCATCTTGCTGCTCATCCGCATCCGCATCCGAATCCGAGTCCCTCTGCAATCGTCCGCTTCTGCCTCCTTTCATCTTGACCGCATCATCCGCCAGCGAGATGTAATCTGTAGCAGCCGCGTCATGTCCGCTTCCGGAAGCAGCGGCGCTGCCGTTGCCATTCCTGGCCGCTCTTCGACGAGCTTCTTTGAGCTCGGCGATCCTCTCTGCGCTCGGTATCTCCTCCTCTGCATATAAGCCCACACCTTGCTCCATAGCACTTTCCGCCACCCCATCATCATCCACCTGGTCAAGCGTCTGACCAGAGCTGATGGGAGCGCGGGGCGTGGCAGCTTTCAAGCTCGCCATCATTTCAGGTCCATACGAAGTCTGATTCTCCGTCCGAATCTTCGCCGCATCAGAGTCCATCCCCACGTCCATGCTCCTCTTCATCCCTATCCCGCGCTCAGCGCCAAGCGCACCCAGCGACGGACCAAGACGCTTCCTCTCACGCGCAGCATCAAAGTGCTGTGCAGAATCAGTACGAGATGTTGAAGGTCGGAGGAGGGCCGACTTGCCTGACGCTCGACCTCTCGCCGCTCGTCGAACTGCCGATCCGCCCTCTTCTTCTTCTTCTTCTTCTTCTGCTTCCTTCTCCTCCTCCTTCTGAGCTCCGTCCGCTTTCTCTGCGCTAGCAATGGTAGAGCCTAGGGATGTAAGATTTGATCGATCCTTGCTGCCCGCAGTGGAAGGGAAGATGGCGCTGGCGCTGGAGCTACCTCCCCCAGCTGCACCTCGTGGTTTACGTTTCTTGAACAATGAAACGCTAGCAGAGCCCGAAGCGGCGGATTGATGGTCCATGATGGAGCACCAAGCAGGGGTTGGATATGATGATCTGAGCGCTCTAGATGCTACGCAGCTGGGCTCACAATTGAGCGCAAGACTTCGGACTGAAAGAGAGCAAGACCACTCGTGAGTGTGAGTGTGAGTGCGAGTGGAGGTGCGCGCGGGG